GCGTTGTTTGTATGCCAATGTTGCTATCGCATCGTCAGATTGCACATCGATTTGAAGATAGTTTATAATCGTACTCTACCAATGGAAAATTGTTTATTTTTACAAGAAAAAGATGGATCCGCTCCAGAAAGACATTTCAAGCTCAACCGCCTGAAGCTTGAGGCAATATCGGAGCTGATTTGCTCGTTTCCGAGTTTACGATCAAAGTGAAAAATTTATTGCACACAAAGGGGGTAAAACTATTCAAATTTCAAGTCTCCACGGATTAGCTCGCCGCCAAGAAGTGGGTTGACAAGCGAGGTCCCGCCGTCAAGCCGGATGCATTGACCGATCAGATAACTCGACTCATTTCTGAAATTCATTTCCGGTTTTGCAAGGGATTCATATTTTACTTTATATATTACCAGCCGATTACAGTCGCTTCGCGACTGTCATCGGCTGGACTTCGGGCTACCCTCCATATTCTACACCACCACATCTCATCTCTACCTTACGCTGATGCCTTCATGGCAATACCTACACTGATGGCTTCAGATACCTCCTCTAGCCACCCCCCACAAAAACATAGCTACCTTCCCGATGGCTTCAGATACCCCTCCGAGCCGAAATTCCCTTAAAAAAACTACTTCGATACCTCTGATGGCTTCAGATACCCCCCATAGCCGAAACCCCCTTAAAAAACTACCAAAATACCTTCCTGATGGCTTCAGATACCCCCCATTGCCGAAATCCCCTTAATAACTACCTAAATACCTTCCTGGTGGCTTCAGATACCCCCCATAGCCGAAATCCCCTTAAAAACTACCAAAATACCTTCCTGATGGCTTCAGATACCCCCTATAGCCGAAATCCCCTTAAAAACTACCAAAATACCTTCCTCTGGCTTCAGATACCCCCATAGCCGAAATCCCCTTAAAAACTACCAAAATACCTTCCTGATGGCTTCAGATACCCCCCATAGCCGAAATCCCCTTAAAAACTACCAAAATACCTTCCTGCTGGCTTCAGATACCCCCCATAGCCGAAATCCCCTTAAAAAACTACCAAAATACCTTCCTGATGGCTTCAGATACCCCCCATAGCCGAAATCCCCTTCAAAAACCACCAAAATACCTTCCTGATGGCTTCAGATACCCCCATAGCCGAAATCCCTTAAAAAACTACCAAAATACCTTCCTGCTGGCTTCAGATACCCCCCATAGCCGAAACCCCCTTAAAAAAACTACCAAAATACCTTCCTGTGGCTTCAGATACCCCCCATTGCCGAAATCCCCTTAATAACTACCTAAATACCTTCCTGATGGCTTCAGATACCTCCCCTAGGCGGAATCCCCTTAAAAAACAAAAATAACGACCGACCGGATGAAATGAGAGAAAAAGGAAATGGTATGGCTCCCGTGAAAATTTTCATCCACGAAACGCGCGCCACCTGGCTCACCATGTTCAAAATCACCCCAACCTCCGTCCCCCACCCCTTTTACTAAGGAAAAACTTTCAAAGTTAAGTTTAATAATTTAAACTAAAAGTTTTTCGTAATTTTTTTATCAGTTTGGGGGTTTCTGACCACGCTCTATCCGAATCCGAAGAGAGCTAAGCTCTAGCTCCTTTCCCCTTCGAGTTGAATTCGGCTTCAGACGGACGGACAGACACCACAACTTTTTTATTTTAGTTGATATTCAACTTTAAACAGCTAAGATTCGCCCTGTTAGCTTCTAAAATTATGATTCTCGACCCACCCGTCGCACAGATAGGCCGTCAGCTTCGCGACATCTTCCGGAACCCCCATACGCTGGACGGGGATCAACGAGAAGTCTTTGGCGTATTGCTCACGGGCCTAAAGCTTATGTAAAATTCTTCTCCTTCAACTTACGGCCTCCGCGACAGCATCGCTAACCCCCTGCTTCTGATGCATTGCCGAAACAACGGCTCCGGGCCTAATATGACGCGACATTTCTGTTTTTCAGGTTTACTAACCTGATCGCATTGACCCGAACGCCTTTTGCGATCATTTCCAGCGCGAGGTTGCGCGTCATCTGATCCATGGCCGCCTTGGACATGGCGTAGAAGGAGAAGGCGCACTCAAATTTTTCTGCTATTGAACTTTTGGTACTATTGAAGTTGGGGGGGGCCAAAATTTTTTGCGGCCAATTTTCGTCATTCTCGACTATTTTGTTCAGTTTTTAATGCTGAATCGAATGCAACTATTTTTAAATTTATTTGATAATAACAACGTAACAATTAGGTCAACAAAATAGCATAACAACTTTCACTCGCAGGGATAAACCTCCGTGTCGGTGTAGGGTTATGTCGCGCAACGCGTCGATTGAGTTGGCCATGGTGTTGGCCAAGTTAAATGCGAAAAGTAAACTTTGAACGCTCCACGTTGCCTTTTATACCTCTATCGAGTGTCTTTTAGGCATCATTACTGTATACCGCCCGAAAACCCGATGATAAAACTACTATTAAAAATGTTGCTAAAATATTCAGAAAAACGAATCCAATAATTTTAAAAATAGTTGCATTCGATTCAGCATTAAAAACTGAACAAAATAGTCGAGAATGACGAAAATTGGCCGCAAAAAAATTTTGCCCCCCCCTCCAACTTCAATAGTACCGAACTTTTAATTGCCCTAAACTTACAGCTTGCCCCTCCGAGGAGCAAATCGAGCTGATGTTGACGATGGCGCCCTTGGCGGACTCAAGATGGGGCGCGGATTTGCGAATGAGATAGACGGGGCTGAATTTACTCTTTTTGTATTGTCATCTTAGGCGGATAAACGCTAAATTCACGCGAAAAACACTCACCAGCGAAGGTTGATCTTGAAAATATAATCGAAGCTGGTCATGTCTTGGCTAAAGAAGCCGGGCTTTTTCCCAGAGTTGTCCTGGTCCCCAACGCCGGCGTTGTTGATCAGGTAGTCGAGACGCCCGAATTTTTCGACCGTCGAGCTAACGAGCTTGTCCATGAATTCCTCGCAGCCCAGGTCGCCGGCCAGGTCGTGGATGTCCTCGGCTTTTGCCCCAGCTTCCAGACATTGTTTTTTGGTCTCCTAAAGGCCGGAATAGAGCGTGTTCCCGAAGAATAATTTTTATCGTATTTTTTATCGTCAAAACAAACCGCCAAATCGGCCTCACTTCGGCCCGTGATCGTAATTTTCGCGCGGAGGCCCGCAAAATGGGAGGCGATCCCGCGTCCGATTCCGTTGCTGGACCCTGAAGAACGGAGAGCGTTCGGAGTACTGTCAGGGAATTCGCAATTTTGCTATTTTTTGTTAGTTTTCTCGATTGTTTGAAAATTTTCGTTCGTCTGTAATCAACAACTCCAGAGATACTGTTTTGGGTCATTTTGTGTTTTTATGTGCGCCTAACAGCATGAAGTTGCTAATTTTCAACTTTAGAATGTTGTTTTTCAACATTTAGATTTAGAATCTTCAGGCGATCTATTTTGCAGATGTTCTTAACCTTTATTTGAGGTTTAGAGCTATGCAATGACTTCTTACAAGCTATAACTCACCAGTGATCAAAGCAACCTTGCCCTCAAACTTGCGGCCAGTCATTCTAGGGTAGTGAGAAAAGTAGAAAAGTAGGAAAGCGTAAAATATCGAGGTTTCTACGAGCGCACGTTGGTCTTTTATAGCGAGTCCGGATGGGCGGGGCTTATTCTGGTGACCGAGTGGACTCTGATCAAGAAAAGCTGTTTTGCTGCTTGTTTAGCTTTATGATTTGTGGGCTTTGCCGGGTGCTCTTTTAGGTGTAGACTCTCGGCAAAATGAACCTGGGCCCTAGCTCTCGGATCACCTCCGCGCCCCATAGACAAGTCTAGCTCTCGTTGCACAACATTGCGGCCTGCTAATTCTGTGATCTGCTCTTTTTCTCTGGGCCCTCCGCGCGATGGTGCCTCTCCGGGGGTCGGGCAATGGCGCTGGCGCCGGGTGGACAACTGGCGCACTTGAAGTTTGCCATACACAACCAATCCGTATAAAAAGTTGTAGGTGTAAAATCGGGGCGCTATTTCGGAATAGGGGACCCACTTTGATTACCCTAAAAACCACTTTTTCTGGTGCAATTTTGCGCGCTTGTTCCGAAATACGGTGTCCCAGCCCGTAAAAACGTACATTTGCACAAAAATATTTTATCTTTATAGGATGTCTTTAGGACACGAGACGGCAGGTCTTGGCGTGGCCAGCGAACTTGCTCGGAAACCCACTTGGATTACTATATTTTTGGCTTGAGCTTGACTTGACTGAAACACACATGCGCTAAGTATAATCTAGTATTGGAACAAACACGCTTCCGTGTTTTAATAACAGCTTATCGCGACCTTACTTTACGTTACAGGGGGCGAAGAGCCGGCCTAGTTTACAGGTGGGCTCTACTCACGTTAACGTAGATCGGGTAGGTACGTACGTAGATAGGCTTGGTCTCAATGAATCTAAGATCGGGCTTACTAGCATTTAGCATTATCTATGCATACGTTTAAGCTTCAAAAACGGAGCTAGGAGTGTATTGTAGCCAAAAGTCGGGCCTGCGCCGCTAGGTTCGCTAGCAGCCGATTAAACTAAAATCAATTTTTTTTTGTGAAAATGTTAGGTTTTAAAGTTAGTAAGGTGTTTTTTCGGAACCAGCGCGCAAAACTATCCAGGAAAACATCGCACAAACCCCAGTTTTGGTATAATAAAAGTGGGTCCCCTATTCCGAAATAGCGCCAAAATCGGGCCCAGGCGGACGTAAGAACGTTTCTCCTAGAAAATTTTCATGGTCAAGGGAAAAGCGTTCTTGGAGCTTCGATATTTATCATTTTCTTATAATGTTTTCGTCGTTTATAAACAAGGCTATCCTAATTTATCACTTTCCTGATGGGATTGCACTTTCGCAAGGGCGACGTCTAATAAAATCTAGTTTTTGTGTACAATTCTGGTCCTCAAAAGAAGAGCATGATCGCTTTCTCGGTGCCTTTTCATCGTTTCTAAGTGGGTATCCCCTAATCCAACATTTTTCAGATGGGATCTCACGCTAACGAGGCCTACTCTCAACAAAATATGAACAATCGAGTTCCAGCGCACATTTCGCAGGTGATTTTTAGCAATCGTGTCACCAATTTCCGGTTTAGTCTGCTCGTCAATTGACCAACGGCCCGCCACCGCCTGCCAACTACCAGATGGCCCAAATGCCTATGAATATGCCGCAGCAGGTATTTTTCAGGCTTTTTGTGTATCTTAAAACTGAAATCTTCCTCACCTTTCATACGTTTTTCTCTAGATGGCAGCGCATGGCACTGACATGTATGGCCAACAGGCGATGGCTGGCCGGCTGCCGCATATGCCTCCGGTTTTGCGGTTTTTGTATGTCTTATGAATTTTTAGGCGCCGCGTCCAATGTCGGGTCCTCCGCCCGGCGCCTACCCGGTGCCGCCACAGCAGATGAACCCTCATCAGGTGGCTTTCCTTTTTGTCAATTAATCTTTTTTTTATAGCCCCACTATCACGGAGCCCCTCCAGGACAGCATCATCACCCTGGCGCTATGCAGATGATGCCGGTATCAATCTTTTGGCTTTCGCACATTAAAAAAATTATTTTGGACGGTGTTTTTAGAAAATGAGAACTTCTTAGATTCTAAAAACACTGTCTAAACACTAACAAACAAAAACGCTGAAATGTTTTTTTAGAAATTTGAAAGTTCTACAACCCATGTTCAAAGCGTTTTTAGAACTTCCCTCCTGGCATGCAAGGAATGCCGATGCAGATGCCACCACCAACGATGTACATGATGCCCATGCAGCATATGATGCAGCAACAGCCCCCTGGTAGCGAATATTATCAGGTAAATTTTTTTTAGAAAAAAGGAAATTTCCGCTTCAGGACCAATACCATCAACAGCACGCCCAGCATCCTCCTCCACAAATGATGCAGCCAAACTACGGCATGGCGCCGCCCGAGCCTGATTATGTGAGAAATTACATAATAGTTTTTCTAAACCAATTCAGGCTATGTACAACCACATGATGCAAGGCGCCGCTAATCCAGCGATGATGATGCCCCGGCAGCCCATCCCTCCCCTGATGGGCCAGCAAATCTTCCAACCTGGCATGGGGTATGCTATCAGTGTCTGCGTAAAAAATTGCTTCATTCTAGCCAACAGCCAACGGAAGCGCATGAATATCAACATACGCAGCCTCCTACCTATCACCCGCAGAATGGCCAGAACAGAAATATGCAGCGAGGTAAGGAAAATGGGCTATTAGCCACTTACGATTCTTCAAAGGAGCTAAAAGAATCGGCCACATCCTTCGATCAGGAAAATTATGCGTAGTCTTATTTGCGATTTGCGGTAGTTAATTGTCGCTGTGTAAACCCAAAACAGCAGATGATGGCCATCAAACTTTTCGTTTTTAGATGGCCCGCTCCGAACCTTCAGCAATCAGCCCTCCCTGAGCCGGAAGCAGAGTGACGTCACGGTATTCTTATAAAACCTTGCTGATTTTCTTTTTTCCAGGACGCTGCTCGCTCGGGTGCGTCAACACCGCAGCGCTCTCAGGCCCAGACCCCGGCTTCCCTTTGCGTTGACGCTGACGGATCGGATGCCGATAAAATTTCGCCGCCTAAAAAGGTTTGCGGCTAGCACACTTTCAATTCCCCATTTTAGGCCGAAGACGATGGAAAGAATCAGACGCGGGACAAGATGCGCCAGGCGGTGCTCGCCAAGCTCGAGGCGGATAAGAGCAGTGAAGCTGAACAGGCGGCCGCGAATGAAGAAAGCTCCAATCTGGAGATGCAGGAGCTGGCCTCGGCTTTAGAGGTCCGAGAATTAAACATGAAAATAAAACCTGTTTAGGAGACCCAGGCGTCAAACTCTGAGACGACGACCGTCATCGAGAACAAGGCGTATGCCGGGAAAACCAACTTCCAAGACGAACAGTCCGAACCTGAGGACAAGCCTGCGCCGGTGAAGCGATGCGACGATGTTCGCGCCACGCAAAACCGTAAGCTAGATGTTTTTTGTTTTTATTCACTCATTCTAGGCCCTTCTTCCGATGTGCGCATGTCGCGTGACAGCACTGGTAGCCGCGATCGCCCAAAGGTTCGACTTTCTTTCTCCAATGATTGTTCCCTCTCCATTATAGCTTCTTAACCTGCTGGAGCCCGCGGACGAGTCGAAGGCTGATCGCGTGCGACGCACCCGGGACTTCTACTGCTCCTACTGTGTTGAGTCCAAGCCGGAAGCCGCGATGTCTCATCGGTAAGGAATTTTGTTAAATCTCAGGTTCTGGTTCACTAGCAGGGAGAGGCTGAATTTTTACCATGTTCTCGTGGATGCCAAATAATAAGATATCCAATATTTTAACTTTTGGAAAATATTTGTTTCTGCCTTTTTGCAATCGAATACTGCAAACAACACTAAACCGATAATAAAATTTAACAATGGAGGTAGAACCTGTATTACCCTTTCCTTGCCTCTCCCGCTAATAAACCATAACCAAATTTGACTCCTCTCGTTCCAGATTTGATGAAGCAGATGGCACAATTATATGCAAGGTCTTCCTCGAGCACTACGTCTGCTGCAAGTGTAAGCAACGCGGCCACCTAGGTGCCGAATGCCAGAAAGCCGGGGGTACGTTTTTTTATTGGTTTCAGGGACAGTTGTGTTGCGTTTTTAGTTAACCCGTCGCCCACGCCGCACACCACGGAGAAGCCGCATCCCCGCGGCGATGGCAACTACAATAGTTACCGGGGCCATTCCGGACCTGGGAACTACGGCGGCCCTCGAGGCGGATGTAAGTTTTGTGCTGGGAAGCCGCCTCCTTGCATCCTCTTCGATCGTTTTACCCGATCCCCATTGATTCGCCCGGATGCTAGTGTCCTTCGGCCAACTTCCGTCACTTTTTTACCTAGAAAATCTATCAGCCCGTAATTTAATTTTACATAACGAATTTCCAGCTTTCCAAACGGGCCGAGGCGGAAGTATGCAACGTCATGATTACCACGGCAGCAGGGAAAGCTTCAAGTCACAGGGGGTACGTTGTTAGTTTCTTGGCTCCTCAACGCAACTTTAGAACTATTCGACCGGCGGAGGGCAGAAGCCGTACCCACCCAATCATAGTGGGCCGTTCCGGGGGGTAAGTGATTGCTGAGATTTTTGTTACTTTAGCATTACCAATGGGGAACAAACCTGTTTATCTTTTTTGTTTCTATTACTCCAAGAATTTGAGGTGAAAATCCTAAAAAAAACGACTTTTGCACCAAAAAGGACCAATTTCCGATCAAATTTTGAAATTTTTATACAGTTTCCCAAGATGTTTCCCGGCTTCGGTTTCTTTTCGCTTCAGAACCAGATTCTAAGCTATTTTTTTAGAATCGTGGCGGTGACCACTGGCGCGGCGGACCCGGACGTGGTGGGCGCGGCGGTGGCGGTCCGGGCAACAGCTACCACCCACGCAACTCGGCATCCCGCGAGGCTCCGGCTGAGGCTCAACCATAAGCAACTCCGGCTCGGTGCTTCATGCCCGTCGTCTTTCGCCCCCGACTTTCAAGCCAATAACGCTGCCGGTGCCCCCTAACCCCCACAACATTTCTGGGTCTTTCCCCACCCCTGTTCGCTGCATTTCATTCACTGCTCCCGTCTGTATCTCGATTTCCTCTCGTCATGGCTGGCTTTAAAATCCTCGCAATTCCTTCTCCGCTCCCGACGGGTCTTTGTGTTGGTAATAACGGCACGTGTTTTTGGCCCCGCTCTATTTGTTTTTGCTTTTTTGAGGGACTGGCAAGTCATGGTAATGTTTTTTTTTGGATAATGGATTTACTGCGGATTTTGCCACGCCCACGACACGCAACGCGCGTTGCCGCCCTTACGTTGCGTAATGGGTTAAGAATATGACATACCTGCGGCACGGCAAAATCCATAGCGATTCCATAGGCGTCTTGCCCGTCCCTTAAAAATCCACCTCCGCGGTCATGTTCGGATCTACTGGGTAGGGGGGCAGCTCTACTCGAGGGCGGCTTCCCCCACAAATCTATTGTCTGCCCCGCCAGGCCCGTTTTGTTGTCCGTTTTTAGCCTGTTGATAGTAATGAAAGTTTATTTTTTGTGAATTTTCGTGAGCACCCTGTACTTTGACGGGTAGCACGACATGTACGGTCCGCAATTTTTGCGCGCTCTAGCTCCTGTTTGAAGTTTTAACTGGATTTTTATGCGAATTGTCCATAGGCGTTCGATTCAGCGAGAAATTACTTTGAAAACTTATTTAACGACCCCGAGTAAGGTTTTCAAAACAACGTTTCGTGCAGCCCTTTGCCGTCACCCCCAAACAGGCGAAACATTTATTCAAATAGGCCGGGGCTTGAGGCAAGTCAAGGGGTACAAAATTTGGAAAGCCTAGACGTTGTGACGGAGGGGGGGGGCTACACACAGACACAAAAGACATGGCGGTGGCGAGATCAATTAGCCCAAGAAAAATGGAATTAGCCGGTCCCACGGAGCGACGCCATCGCCGCGCCCGTCTGGCGTCAGGGTTTTTTCCTGAAATTTCGGCGCGTGGATTAGAATTTAAATTTTATGGCCAAGAAACTCGATTTTTTTTCCCGAATACCTACCCTTGTCCGCCGCTGCTCATCCACCTCGACGCGGCGAACGGAAATCGGCGGACGATACGTTCGAACTCGGCATCGGGTCCGCTAAAATGTGCGCGATACACTACCGTATAAATAGAGTTTGGCGCTGCCTTCCTCCCCTTCAAAGCAAAGGATAATCGTTTTGGTGCTGGTTCGTTAGCGGGGGAGCGAACTTCCTTACTCGGCATGACCTCGATAGTGTTGAAAGGAAAAACTAATGTAGGTTTTTATTGGGTTTTAATCATTAAAATGGTAGAAAAAGTATAAAAAAAGATAAATGTCAACGATTTTTCACTTTTTTGACAAAAAAAACAATTTTTAGAACAATTATTCATTTTTTCAGATAGTTTTACATCGAAAAAGGGCACATACCATTAAAAATTCTTTTTTTTTATTCTAGGGTGCCAATATGGCATTCCCAATTTTGGTCCCCCGCTAACGAACCAGCACCTCCACAGATTCAGCAATTTTAAGCCCCAAATTGTGAGCAGAAGCCCAACACCATTTTTACAAAAAGCGGCAATCGTCAATCTCCCGGCCCCCACTTTGCAACCAAAAACAAAAAAAATCATGCCGTACCCGCGTTCGAACCTCTCCAGCGGCAGCTCCTGCAGTACGAACGAGGCGACACCGCAGATGAGCAGGGCCCAAACGGCTAGGCGAAGCACGACGGCGGAGAGAGAGGATGCCATCGGGTACGCAAGCTGCAAAACGGGAAAGTGGGCGAGAGAGAGGGAGAGAGAGAGCGCGCGTGATAAAGAGCGAGAGAGAGAGAGAAAGAGCGAAGAGAGCGAGAGAGAGCGTGATAGAGAGCGACAGCGTGACAAAACCAAGTTTTGCTGAAATCCGGTCCGGGACTTGAGCCTAACCTTTAGCGCTTAAGCCTACTTAAGCTAAATAGGGTTCACGCTAGCTGAAACTTAGCCTTGCTAGCAACTTAAGCGTAGCTTCTCGTAACATCCTACAGCCAAACCAAGACCCCCCCGATAACAGAAAAAACCCCGAGAAACCAAGTCAGCCTCTGCCCGCCGGTTTTTACAACCCCAAGAAAATTCATAAAATTCTGGCGGCGGACATGGGCTATTTATGTAGTCGCCCGCAAAACAGAGCTATAATTTTTTGGCAGTCTGTCGCCACAGTGTAAACAAGGGACTGCGTGTAAAAATTCGGGAAATTTGGTGATTGTACCTTTTAGGAAGGTCTAAAGCACTTGGAAAGGACAAAGCATCATCCAGGAACACGACCGGATACGAGGGTCGAAATTCCGGGGAGATGGATTTATGGGAAGAGCTACGAAAAAGAGGAGCTTTCGATTCTGGAAGTGACGCGAGCAAAATGGGTGCTGCAGAACACGCATAATAAAATGCGGGGATATCGCTGGGGAAAGCTGAGGTCGGTTCTGGTTCCTTAGCGGGGGATGGTAGGGTCCCCCATTTTTGAAGCTAGGAGAGCAGGGCCTCTTTTTTCGAGACGTAAAGCCATTGAGCTTTTCTAAAAGCATGTTTTGTAGGTTAAAGAGATCCAATCCAATCCAAAATGTCGACAGCTAAATTTCCAAGAGCCAAACTACCGACAGCGAAAATTACGACAGGCCAAAATCCCAAAAGCAAAACCATCGACAACTAAATTCCGACAGCCAAAATGCCGACAGTAAAAATCCTGACTTTATAATGCCGACCGTAATAATCCCGACAGCCAAAATCCCGACGCCAAAACACCTGTTTTAACGAAGAGAGTGGCATTTAAAATAGCTTCAAGAATGTCGGTATTTTGGCTGTCGGCATTATCGCCTGTCGGATGGATCGCACTGCACCATAAAAAAAGCCCCAGCCGCCAAATTTAGCCTACGATACTAAACAAGCTACAGCTGAGAATCGAGGGACTGGGGGGGGGGGGGAACTTTCGGAATAAGTCAGTGCCCTTTTCCTGTTTTTCAGCAAATGGGGGCGGATCCGGTTTTAGGCCCAGAATCACATCTACTGGCTGGCCAGCCGCGATAATCAGGCCAGGGACGGTGGTGGTCAGAAGACTTGCCCCAGACGCATCTGAATACGTATTTCCGGTGGGGTACGAAATGTTCCGAGGAATAGCGCGGGATTAACGCTGGGTTATCATTCTTTTCTATGCGAGTTTTATACGCTCGAGCGGACAGTAACGGAATGAGAAGGCGGCAATGATCGGAAAGAATGAAGTCGTGGTGAGTAACCCGGATTTTCTAAAGAATCGGAAAATTAGGACGTCAATGAAGAGGTTGGTAACTTCCGGGAACCAACATTGACCGATATTGGCGCTATCAATATTTTTACTTGTTTCCTCAATATTTCTTAATCCCTAGTTTTTTTTAAAACATGCCCGTAAAATAAAAACCGAAACGAAAATAGTATAACGTAAATAGTACGCCCTCGCCCAGCTAACACTAGCAGCAGCGTAATGCCCATTTCTCAACCCCATTCAGCTGAACGAGCATTGAAACTTGGAAACCAGGGTGACGCCCTGAAGACGCTTGGCTTGCGAGCTTGACCAACAGGATGTAGCTACTCTTGGAAGCGCGAAAAGCATAATCTCCAATCATCAGAATTTAGAGTTTTTCGAAATTCAGGAAAGGGTTCAGAGATTTCAAAGCCAAAGCCTAAGCCTAAGCCCAAGTCCAAGCATAAGCCTAGGCCTAAGCCAAAGCCTAAGCCTAAGCCCAAGTCCAAGCCCAAGCCTAGGCCTAAGCCAAAGCCTAAGCCTAAGCCAAAACCTAAGCCTAAGCCCAAGTCCAAGTCCAAGCCTAGGCCTAAGCCAAAGCCTAAGCCTAAGCCAAAGCCTAAGCCAAAGCCAAAGCCAAAGCCAAAGCCTAAGCCTAAACCAGTCGGGGACTGGTCCTAAGCCTAAGCCTAAGCCTAAGCCTAAGCCTAAGCCTAAGCCCAAGGTTCCGTCTTTTGATTAAGACGATCGAACAGCTAGAACAAAAGCCAAGGGCAAAAACCCCTTTTTCCAAAAGAAGTCTAGCCAACAAAAAGCACCTCAGAGTACGAAACAGACCCAATTCCGGGGTCACTTCCCCGCGAAACAATTGGCTGACGAAGGGCACCGGGGCTCCCCGGGGAAATACTGTTTTCCGCTTATTCCTCAAAGTTTCCGGGGGTTCCATTGGCCCCGGGGCAAGCAGAGACGAAACGCCAATTGGGTTTCGGGCTCGAATTTCGGTCCTTCTGGGGGTGGGGCTCAAAAGTTATGCTCAGGAGGGCAGGAAGGAGGGGAAGCCAAAAATTGAACGAACGGCTGAACGAAAGCACAAAGTACGGAGCGTCGGTTGCGGGGAGTTCACCAGTGAATGAAGATGATGTAAAATGGGTGGGTTAAAGGACCAGGAAAGGGCTGTAAAAAGAAAAGATTGGCTTCAGTTGCCCGGCTCTTTTGCATTATCGGGGGGGGGGTGTATTAGGAGATACTTTTTTTTTAGTATCCAATTTCCTAAGGTAAATAGGGGACGTTTTTAATACTGTTTTTAGTATTGCAAGCGTAAAAACTAAAAAAAAGCGTCAAGATAAAAAAAAATCGTTTTTCGATTAAAAATTGCCTATTTGAGCAAATTTAATGTAAACTCAATGTATCACATTTTCTAAATAGTTTTTCGCCTCAAATAAAGCTAAATTTGACTGAAAAGCTATAACATAGTTGCCACAACGTTACTATACATTAATGGACTTCTAGGTAAATTTTGGCCATCCTCGCCCTCGCCCCCGCCCCCCGATAATGACAAAGCACCAAAGCTGGCTTTTCTGGCTTTTAAAAATCTAAAAACAGACTCCGCCAGCCAGAAAAAGCAAAAGAGAATCTAGGCAAGTCCCCAGAAAAAGTCCCAGCCAGATCCGTATGCATATCGGAGGAATTTCCGGGTGCCGTAAATTTGTAATTCGGCGGTGGCCCGAGATTAGCTGGTGGTGTTCGCCGGCCGGCCAGTGGATGCAAAAAAGGAGGAGGAAAAGGAGGTCTTCAGCCCCCCATGCACAATGCCGAAAACACATCGTCCACATCACGACGAGCTGTGGTCACCGCCGAAAAACACCAGATGCTAGTATTACGTGGTGGTGGATAGTGCTCGATTCGTCATGGTGGGCTAGATTTAGTAGACTTTAAAAGCTTAAGCGGCCCGCTGGGTATCGTTTTTTGAAAGGGCAAAAATCATCGTATGCGCATGACATCGACATTTTAGCTTGAGCGCCAAGCGGCGTTTTGCCCTAAAATAACGCCGAAACCCTTAGCAAAAATTCGGTACTGGGCTGTTAGCGGGGAGGGAGGAATGGAATTTCGCTCGTAGGGTCCCAAAAATCTAATCTGCGGTATTCCGGAGATTTTTGCGTCTTTTCGAGCATAAAAATGTCATAAAAACCTTTAAATTATCGAAAAGATGAGATTTTTGGGAAAAATGGAAAAAAATTATCAAAAACTTTCATTTTAGGCTTTTAAAAAGAGTTCTCTGGCTTTTTTCGAATAAAAACCACTTAAAAACTAAAAATCCCAGCGCTTAGTCTTAAAAAACTGCCTAAGCTGATCGAAAATAAGTACTTTCTTCTAAACCAAATTACTAGGCAAAATCTCGGGGGGAAAACTCGTCTAATAAACCCGCTGAAGATGGGCGAGCCCCCGGGAGATCCGTCGATCACTCATTCCGGATTCAATCGGAGCAATCCTAACCCGGATGCACAATTCAGTTTTAGACGCCTTCAATGGCTTCTGCAGCACCTCCACGCCATCCGCGAGATCCTAGTTTTCCAACAAACATCGAAAATTATTCGCCGAACGTTCAAGTATGAAACAAACAGTTCGAAGAACTAGGTGAAACATAGCTTTAACATGTAAAAAAAATAAGAAAATTACATCTATTCCCCGGGAAAACCCCCTATTTCTAGGACAGACGGCCGCTCCTCAAATTTCCAATCCACCCCCAAACGCTGAGCCCCAATTCGCCTTCAAAAAGTGAAAGTTGATGATGGGGGTCATGTTATTTGAGAACAGAAGAGGGACGTTTTATGGATTTCTCGAAAATAATAAGCTTTGCGCGGGCGTGCAATTCTGTACAAACACCAAAAATACTTCCTTTTTCTGAAGAGTGCGCCCATGGAAACATAAGGAAAAGTTACTTCCTCCACGCTAATGAACGAGCACCGAAAACAAAACGACTTGCGCTGCAGGCATAGAATAAAAATTCGGTGCTTTTGCATTATCGGGGGAGTGGGGAGCGAACTAACGATTGCAACTGCAAAGCGTAAAACGTTCAAAAATGTCTTAAAACTAAAAAAACTGCATTTTTCGACTAAAATATAATTTTCGATAAAATTACTAATGTAAGACAGTTTTTAAAGTTTATAACTAGTCTAAAGTTTCTAAAAAAATGCCCCCCGTTAATGCTCAAGAACCCAAAAGTCAGGTCCAACTGTACACGACGAAGCCGCCGTCGTCCACTTTAAAAGGGCATAAACCTGCGTAGCAACTTGTGATCTGCGTCATGGGGGCGCTTCTTCTGAAATGGCGCTACGGTGGGCCGGAGAGTTTCTCGGCCGATAATTGGGGCATCTGTTTCCTGTGCATACGAATGACATCAAGCCGGCTTCATGACTCGCATACCAATGTGGGAAGCCCGTCCAGGTCATGCGCGATGGTAATGCCCGGGCAATTGGGTTTGGCGACGCACCAAAGATGTCCTGAAGGAAGGCGATGAAATGGGGGAGATGGACCGTGTTTTTGGAGGATGATTTCCTCGTGCAAAGGTCGTACGACTCGTCGAGACGTCCGCACCGTCAGAAGTAAGAAGAAAAAGGGGTTCTAGGTCGTTAGCGGGGGGGTTGCTCCTGTACCTGTTGACGCGCTTTATAGCAAAAAAAACCTAAAGATTGCATTTTTTAATCTAAAATATATGGGAAATGGTCAAAATTTTTAATTTTCACATTTTTTTGTGATAGAAAACACCTAAAAACACTATAAAAATACGCTGTTTCCTTTCAATAGAGGTTAGGCTGAATAAACGAAGCTAATGCGCCCTCCCCCCGCTAACGAACCATAACCAAAAAAGTGCAAGTTTCGACAAATATCCAGAATTTTCCCTAATCCGCGACTTCTAGAATCTCGCGGGCGGTTCCAAATTTCACCTCCGGCCAAACAATAACTAATCCGGGGCCAATTAGGTGGGATTAACTATGGAAATCGCTGCGACTTCCTAGTCTTGGATGGCCCCAATGCCCATATCGGTTAGTGCTGGACGGTGAACCGGGCAAAACATCATTTTTCTCCTCTGACCAAACCACCAGACATCCATCCAACAAGCGCAGTTTGACCAAAAAATGTAAAAGTTTAAAAATTTATTTCGTCTTCATCAACACCGATTCACATTACTAGTAGAAAGAATCTATAAAACAACAAAAACCGTTTACAAACAGAGAAACAACAGTGGCGCGATATGAAGCAATGACAGAGAGGCCAGAAACCCAGAAACAACAGAAATACCGTCACCACAGGGCCGGGAATTCGGGGAGATGGAATTAGACCTCGAGGAAGAAGTAGTTGCCACTGCGCTTTTGTTCGGCATCCTTGACAGAATCCTGGAAAGAAGAGGAACATTCCTGAATTCATAGAAATCACTCACCTTCTTGTTGATGCGTGGCCGGAAAGTGTCAGCGTCACGACGGAATGTGATTTCGAGCAGACGAAGGAATCGGTTCATACCGTCGAGTAGTGATTGAGGCCTGGAATTGGAACATGGTTCTGGTTCCTTAGCAAGTGGCCACTTTCTTTATTCTTTCCCTAGTTTCACATAGCATCCCCAAAAGTTGAAAGTTTCGTAATTTTTATCAACTTTTTATAAATAAAATTGTTTAAAAGGCTATAAAATAAAACTGGTCTAAAATTCGTGCCGTATTGCTGACGAAAAATTCCTCGCCTCGCCCGCTAAAGGTGAAGCACCCAAAACTCACGTTCGGGCTGTGGCATTCACTGATGGCTCGCCGTCGAACACGATAACCCGATCGGCCAAGTAGGTCGACATGATAAAGTCGTGTTCGACAATGAATGCCGTCTTCTTAGCGTGCATGATGTATCTAAAACACAGTTTTTGCAAAAAATTAACCCTGCACCTCTTGATGACCTTGGCGGCATGCAGACGCTGCTCGGAATCCAGGTAGGCCGATGGCTCGTCGATGAGATAGACGGAGGCTGGCTTACCAAGGCAAAGCACGAGGGCCACACGTTGCAACTCACCACCAGACAAGTTTTGCACCTAAACGGGGGTTGTTGTGTAGAAAAAAAAGATAATTCTACTTCTCGGTCCATCAGCTGGTCCATCATCAGCGGTGTCATGACGTCAGTCTTGAACTGGGGATGTTGGTAGGTGTTGGGGATCTTCTCGTGAAGCAGATGGCGAACGAGGTTCTCAGACTTGGGTGAGATCTTCTGCGGCTTGTAGGAGACGGACATGACCGGGATTTCGACATCATCATCCGGCTTCAGGGAACCAGCCAGCATGCTAAAAAACGAGAATTTGTTTACCGTCATAACGGGACCAAAAATGCGCATCGCTAGGCCTTTCGGCACCTAGGTGGGACGCTAGACGAAACATTAGAAAGAGAAAAATATGAAGTCAAATCAACCAGATTTTCGTAATACTCATTTCTACGCAAGCTTACCGAATCATGGTCGTCTTTCCGGTGCCATTTTCTCCCAACAGCACGATAATTTCCGAATCCGAGAAGTGCCCGGCTTCGACATTCAGCTTGAAGCCGCCCAGAGTCTTTGACATGGTCGGGTAGGTAAAGTGGCCCGTACGTTTCACCTAGAAAAAAAACATAACGGTAAAAATGATAATCAAACCAGTTCGTCTTGACCCTCAGACACCTTGAAGTTCAGCGCATCCTCCCTAAAAAGTTTTCGACATGAAGGACAAAGGGATACCTGAAACGCATGTTCTCAGATCGGATGAAGCCGTCGAGGAACATGTTGATGCCCTCACGCACGCCAGCAGGCAATGTGACGACACCATACACACCAGCCACTCCGTAGAGGCAGCAGATGAAGTCGGAGAGGTAGTCGAGGACAGCCAGATCGTGTTCGACGACAATGACGAATCTGAAAGTAAAGTAAGATGAATAATAGCTTCTTTCTAATATTCCGAAGTTTCATGAGCTGAAAATGTCAGGAAGTGGGAATTTCATAACGACGATTTCACAATGTGTCGCAATGTCAGAATTTCACAATGTCTCGCAATGTCAAAAGGTTTTGCATCGTATTTTCGGGATTTTCCGGGAGATTGGCTCCTAATAAACTTGGAAATTTCCGCACTGTGAAATCAAGACATTATAAAATTTAGAATTCCTAAAGAAAATCCATAAATCCGCATAAAGTAAAAAAGCTGTACTTTGTATCAGAAACACAGTCTCGGATGGCAGCGGCGGCCTTCAGACGCTGTTTCACGTCGAGGTAAGAAGACGGCTCGTCGAACATGAAAACGTCGGCGTTCTAAAGCAGTATTTTGAAAAAGACAATTCGCGTCATCAAACCTGGACTAGGCACATAGCAATGGCGAAGCGCTGCAACTCGCCACCAGAGAGAAGCTCGATGCCACGCTCAACAACGTTGCCCAATTCTAAAAAGACATAAGATGGTGGCTAAACGATGAATACCCATGTCCACAATCACGGAAGCCTTGTTCTCGCGGTCGCATTTTTTCGTCAACAACGCATCAACGGTGCCTCGGGCGGCTCTAAACTAAAATTGAGAAGTTTTACAAAATCGTACTTTGGGATTTGATCGACGTATTGCGGCTTGACGACGGCCTTTAACTGATCTTCGATGGTGCGCTGGAAGTAGTTCTGCAGCTCGGAGCCACGGAAGTACTGAAGAATATGCGGCCAATCCGGTGGGTTCTAAAATCAAAAGTGAGGCACAGGGGAAATTTCCTTACATCGAATTTTCCCAAATTCGGCTTGAGTTTTCCGGAAAGAATCTTGAGAGCTGTCGATTTGCCAATACCGTTGGTGCCGACCAGACCGAGGACCTAAACATAACATTTCCTTGCTTCAAGGCAACAAGCGGTACCTCGCCGTTTCTAGGCGTCGGCAGACGATGAAGCTTGAAAGAGTTGGCCGAGTAACGGTGAGTGGTCTGATCTCCGAGATTGGACGGCAAGTTGATGATCTTGATCGCATCGTACGGGCACTTTTTCACGCAGATACCACAACCAATGCACAGCACCTGAAAGGACGATATTTCTAACGAAATTCCATTCAACCTCCGAAATGAATGCGATTGGTGACGTTGCCTCGACCTGGATACATTGTTTCCCTAAACTTAGGTGAAAAATGTCCATTAAACCTTACCCATGCGTACAACCGGGCAAGACTTCTTGCATGGCAGGCCACAGTTTTTCGGTTTGCAACGATCCTAAACAAGATAAAGCAATAAAGGAAGAAGAAAATGCCAAAAACCTTTTCGACGATGGCAATTCGAGTCATTGACGCCTGCTCGGAGTCATGGTTGACGAACATATTCCGTTTGGAACTCATGTTGGCCCCTAAACAATAGTATGGTTAGAATTCTCAAGAAAGATAGCGGAAAGAACAAAAACACGAGTGTAAAGGCCAAATAATAATTTCAAAACACTCTGGGTTTGGGCCATAGTTACGTGCAACGTCATTAGTTTTGCACGCAAACCAGCCAAACTTGTTTTTGTCGTTTTTTCTTACTAATTTATATAAAAGCTAAAACCCACGAGGACAGGGGGCAAGAAAAATAAAAATAAACCCTCCGCGCCTGGCCTAAAGTTACATGCACCGTAAATAGGTGTTCCGCGGAATCCAGTGAAGTATAATTTTTTTGTAAGTTTTCGTTACTTTTTGTATAGTAAAAACACGTTTTCGGCGTCTTTAGGCTTGAAATAGTCAATTCAAAGAAATGACGCAAAAGGCCGCTTACGACGTGTTTGACTGGCGGGCCGTAGTTTGTCCGCGAAATGAGCCCATGGAATACCCATGTGACGGGATGCACTGTTTCGGTTCTAACTTCTTTTCTACTAGAAAACCACCAATTTCCTTCAATTTTGTACCCATTTTCAGTTGGTCTCGATGCTGGGAAGATTTCGATTATGCGTGACGGTGCCTCAAATGTTGAGCAACCCATCTGCAGGGACTAGTGGAGTGAGTGAAATTTTGTGAAGATAGATAAACTAACGGTATAGGTGTCTTTTGTCAGAAGGGCGCCTTCCTACATTTCATTTACGGTCAAGGTATGAATTTACCTATTTTACAGACCAAAACTATTTTCTAGAGGCTGAACAGCGGTTTGCCCGGTGCGGGGGCGAAGGTCGACCTTGATGCGGCCGCGCTGGCAGCAGCTATGAAGCGGAAACGTTTGTTTCGTCCTTTCTTTTGTGAATTTGTTTAGGAAGATGGCAGGGTTGGATCGGCGGGACCACGCTTCTCGGGATTGGTTTGGGCTACCTGGGGTCAGATTTTTACTCTGAATTCGTGAGCATCGTTTTAGGTACCTGTTTACCCCTGATTGGCGTCAAATGGTCGATTCTAAGCACTACTACACGGATTGGAAGGTAGTTATACCAGTTTTCAAAATTTTATCGTTGCAGATTCGCTCCTATTTTTCTCTACCATGGAACGCAATATCGAGGGCTGCCGGAGGGCTAGCGAGCAAGGTCATTTTAAAACTGATGTTGAATTGCTGTTTAGGAAATTCCGGAATGGCTACGGCCTGCATTACTTGGTGCGTTCGCCACAACCTATGATTGTCAGATGGAAGAAGCCGTGAATCCCGATTTTAAGGTATGGTTTTCGTTGTAGCTCAAGCTTTTCTAGGCTTACCCTACTTTTGCTGCCTTCTTCAATCGGGAGCTGCGGCCAGAAAGTCGGCCGATCAGCGCCAGCCCTCTGGTATCCCCAGCTGACGGCATCGTTCTACACTACGGTCGTGTTGAAAACGAGAAAATTGAATACGTCAAGGTGCTTGTGCTACTGTTTGTTCTAAGCTTTTTCAGGGCCACGACTATAGCATCGGCCAATTCCTGGGGAAAGAAGTCAAGTTGGATCCGGTAGGAAGCGTACTTATTTTCGATTTTCTAGTATTAGGAACTTGACCTGTATCAAGTGGTAATCTATCTCGCCCCGGGGAACTACCACTCTTTCCACTCGCCAGCCCGCTGGATAGCTTCCGAGTCGAGGCACTATCCGGGTAACAAAAAATTCCCTTCTAAAGTTGTTTTTAGGACTCTTGCTATCGGTGAAGCCGGCGTTGCTCGATCGGGTCCCGCACCTGTTCTGTCTGAACGAGCGCGTCGTGCTGAACGGTAAATGGAAGCACGGATTCTTCTCAATGTCTGCCGTCGCAGCCACAAATGTTGGAGATATTGCCATTGATGCCGTGCGTTTTTTAGGTCTTTTAGAGGAGGCTGAGGCGCGCTTTTCTAGATTTCTATGATTTCTGCGTTTTCAGATGCCCGACCTACGCACAAATGTTCGCGTCAGGCGAAAACTGGCGACAGCCGAACCAGCCCTGGGCCAAGTGCGCCAAGCCTACAAGCCCGGCGACAAAGTTGGAGAATTCCGATTGGGCTCCACAATCGTTTTGGTGAGCACGATCAGTCGGGATAATTATCAACACTTTTAGGTATTCCAAGGACCACCGACGCTTCGTTTCGCCATCCAAGCCGGCGACTCTCTGCGCTATGGACAAAGCCTCGTCTCGGATGGCTGCTGAGCTTCCTTCTCTCTCATTGTGGCCTGTAGCCCCTTATCCTCGCTTTGATATATCGATAGACTATAGCTGTATTCCCCTTTATCGAAATCTGTTTGCTGTAATTCTGTTAGCGATACTCGCGTGTGCCTCCCAATTTCTTGTGACCTCTGCCATGTCTTCCCAATTCGGGTGCCCCCTGCTATTAGTGATCCTTGTTCCGAGTTGTCCCAATAAAGAACTTTTATCCCCCTTTTTGTCGCCGGCAAGCCATTGAGATTTGTGAACGAGTGCGAGGAGGGAAGGGACTTTTGGGGCCCGCCCATTGGCCCTAGTGAGGTCGTCGCCGGTTGGGAAGATCCGCCAGAGACCGAACTTTGCCAAAAGGCTTCCAGGAGTTTCAGCATGGGAACAAGATGAGGAGCGGCTGGATACTATTACTTCTTCGTAGGTTTTCTTCTGTTACAAATGACGGTTCCAGATTTCGTGATCGAGATTGTGAGCAGCGCCGGAGAATGCATCGACCCATGTATTGCCACAATGCAGAAGGTGTGTCTTTCTAGAGAATTTATTTTTTTAGACGCTCGAGATGGCTCCGATCTTGGCCAACGAGAATCTCGGCAGTCTCTCCTTCGGCCAGCTCACCGGTCCGAACAGCGAGGATGCCACGCAGCAAAGCTTCAACTCGATTTGCGTGTAGGTTTTTCGGACTGGCCCCGAGTTGAATTTTGAATTTTTATTTTCAGCTTATAAGGAGTAGTTTTACTTTAGGCGATAGTTGAGTTTTGAAAGTGGCATAACTCATTCGATCAGCTTAAAAAGTTGAATAAGTCCGATCCTTTGGAAAACGCGCTTAACGTTAGCTGTCGTTGTGAAATGTACTCTGAAAATACCGATTCTGTCCATTTTTCGCCCCTTTTATAAACGTCTAGAAACTTTTTATCTCGGCAATCGCAATTTTTTTTATTTTATTCCTCAAAGCTGGACCTTGTTCAGAATTTCAGGCCCTGAAAAACACTCAGTGCTTAAAAAAAATTATTTTTTGACAATTTTCTCAATCATAGCGGAGAATCCTCTGAGTAGGTCCTAAAATTCATCCGCGAGAGGGCATCCGTTCCTAATTCCCATTGTTTTGTGTAGGCAAAGGCGGTGAGAGGGCAGAGTTTTTTTAGGGAGGCCCTCCCCTTGATTTTCACTCACCTTTCTCACCCCCGGTCGGCAACAAAGCGCCTTGCATAAGTAACACTCAGGCTAGGGCGGCTTCTAGGCCTAGAATTTCCAGGGGGCCGCGATGGGTGCATCGGAACGGGGAGCCAGAAATTGGCGAGGATGAAGGTGGCATTTTAGGGCCTACCGTGAGGTGGACAAATGCCTGGAGCGGTGCGAGCAGTCGTCGGACAACAGCGCTCGAGTCAGGCAGACGTACGCGGGCATCCGCTTCATCTGCGTCGAACATAGCAAGGGTGAGGGGGGGATGGCGGTATCGGAGGGGGTTTTCGCATTGTCAGGCGGGAAAACTAACTTTTTTTTTCTTTGGTATCCAATTTTTTTCCACGGTGTTTTTCTCCTTGGTAAACGGGAAAACTAAGAAATTTTTTGCTAAAAAATACAAAAATTTGGCGTTTTTCACCGTTTTTTTTTGCTTGGGGTCAGTTTTTCCGGGCTAATAAGCTAGGGGATCGGCTTCAGAAGTGCCCGTTTTAGGAGCATCGCTTTTTATGGCTACAACTCTCGTATCGGTCACGTCGGTTAGCAACGCTCTATTTTATGCGCCCGTTAATAGGTAGGGCGACTTCAATCGTCTCCCTGGTTTAAAAATCGCTATTTTAGTGTTTAAAAAAGCTTAAAACACCTGGGTTTAGTTTGCGACGCCACGTCTAGGATTTCCAAGGCTTCTCTGACTCACAAAACCCATGATATCACCTCCCAGATAGTGTTGGTTTTTTACCGGTACCGAAACCCAGTACCGGTACCGAACCCCCCCTGGGTACCGCGGTACTCGGCGGGTACCGGTACCGAACATCGGTACCGGGGAGCGGTACCGGTACCAAGTGAGTACCGATGGCATCGGTACTTTTCCGGTACCGGTACCAAGTGGGTACCGAGAGGGTCGGTACTTTTTCGGTACCGGTACCAAATGGGTACCGAGAGGGTCGGTACTTTTTCGGTACCGGTACCAAGTGAGTACCGACGGCTTCGGTACTTTTCCGGTACCGGTACCAAACCGACCGGTAACGGTACTGCGGGTCGGTACTGGCGGGGTCACAGGGCCGCCTTGCTTCAGGGCAGTGGGCCAGACCGTGGCGTGTGCCCTGCGTACTTTTTACAAAAATAAATCATATTCCTCATTATTTATACTGGGGTTTGTATTGCTATCTGTTCTAAAGAAATTCTGCTCTTCCTTCGATATATGGCTTTAATTCGATAAGAAATACCGGCGGGCCCTTGCCTGTCACCGCGGCGACACGCCACGCGTTGGCCCCTGCCAGGAACCAAGGCGGCCCCTGTGACCCCGCCAGTACCGACCCCAGTACCGTTACCGGTCGGTTTGGTACCGGTACCGGAAAAAGTACCGATCGGTCGGTACTCACTTGGTACCGGTACCGAAAAAGTACCGACCCTCTCGGTACCCACTTGGTACCGGTACCGGAAAAGTACCGAGCCGGCGGTACCCGCCGAGTACCGGTACCGAAAAAGTACCGACCCTCTCGGTACCCACTTGGTACCGGTACCGGAGGTCCGGTACCGGTAAAAATGGCGTCGGTAAAAAATGGCTGTCGGTACCGGTACTGGGTTTCGGTACCGGTAAAAAACCAACACTACTCCCAGATTCACCCGATTTCGTCAATCCCCCCACGAAAATTGAAAAAAAATCGTTTTGCACCTGAGTCACCTGAATCAAATCTTTACGTTTCGAGGTTTCGAGGTATCCAGTAGGCGGGAGGGCAGGTCGCTTTTCGCAATTCGGCTCAAGTGCCCAAACCACACGGGCCCATCCCCAGCCTTTTGCGCCAAAAAGGCGCGACGACGAGGGCACACAGCCCACTTAGCCAACTTGACGGTCAATCACGCCAAAGGAGAAGGAGGAGAAGCCCGGGGAGGAGCAGGTTGCTCGAGGGGAGCAAGCAGCGGATGTCGACGTTAATTTTTCCAGATTTCGGCGCCCCCAACATCGGGCCCGACACTTTCGAAATGGGAAGATGAAAAATTGGGACTACAGGGGGAAATTGTTCTAGAAATTTCAGCCGCTTAAAAAATTATTTCGTGGGGTTACTTAAATTCGTCTTAGCAGGTGCATTTTAGCAGCTTTAATGGCCCGATAGTACGGAATTTGTCGCAAAAAACGAGGCCTAGATGTAAAGCCCAGGGGACCGATCGGGCGGTGACATTACGGCTATGAAAAGGGCGATTTTGAGGTGTTCCATTTTGGGGAAGGTGACATTTCAAGGAATATTACGGCTTTGGAATTATCGGTGGGGGATGGGCAACTTTTTCTTTTGTGTCCGATTTTTAATACAAGTCTTCTAAAATGATTTTTTTCGATTTCTCAACCCAAAAATTGACAAATTCTTGTTAAAACATTACAATAAAAAGGGGATTTTTCGATAAAAGATAGCCTTTTTGGACCAAAATTGCGAATTAAAAATATTTTAAATTTGTAGACATTTTTTCACGTTAGGTATAATTCCGGAAAAATTACGGAAAATATTAATCAAATGTTTGCTGCTACGTTACTAGGCGTTGTACTTATACCAAAAGATCCCCCCGATAATGCTAAAACTCCCAAATGATGATCAGGTATGTAGTCTATACAAATGACTTCAGCATCTTTTACCTAGTTCTCCTCCAGAAATTAGGCCCTCCCCTACCCCATCACCCATCAACCGACCGGGTCATAATTTGTACGCGAGCCCGGGGCTTGGCGGAAATCATGGCGCGTCTCCTCATCCGGCCGGGGCCCATTCCGGTGGGATGCGCGCCTTTGATAGAGACGTTTATGGGGCCCTGGGGGGAAGTGTGACCATTGGCCGGACGGGTCTTTAGCATTTACTCCGAGGCTTCGGGGTGGGGAAGGTGGATAATTCGGGGGAAACACACCAAAATGACCGACCCAATCTCGATGGACAAAAATGCCGACACCCACAATCCTGAGAGCTGTGATGCCGACAATCAGAATCCCGAGAGGCCCAACTTTTTTTTCGTCATTGTACAGTTTTTACCCAACCGGTTGAATAACCATTCATATAAATCTGGACCGTCAAAATTCCGACATCCAAAAGCTCGGCAGGGCAAAATATCGACAGCCTAAATCTCGGCGGCAAAATTCCGACAGCTAAAATCTCGACAAGCCAAAATATCGACAACAAAATCCCGAAATCTAAAAGGAAACGGTTTTTTCAACGTGTCGGTATTGACTTCCCGGGTTTTGGCTGTGGAGATTTTGGACCGAAATTCATCATCCATTCGTGTCAATTTTAGAATTCTTCGAAAGCCTGCCATGCCTGGCGCGCGAGGAGCCGAGAGCCATGGCCACGTGCAAAAATGAGATCAACGCTTCGCTGGAGGCGAGCAATCGATTTAGGTGAGATATTTCGGAAGCGGAAGGGGGATCCTTTCGTAATATCGTAATCAACTTTGCCTTATGCCATAATTTTCTATTTATATACTTTTCTGCGATTCTTAAACGTAAGAAATTTAAACAAATTTATTTGTTTTGAAGAAAGTTTCTCCTCCATCGATTTTGCGAGAAATTCTTTGATATTTTAGCAAAGCCGTCATCAACCGCGAGCAGCACTCGATACGCCAACGATTTGAGAATCTTTGCAAGTGAGTGCCACATAAGTTCACAGAAAACCACAAGGCAAATTCGTAATTTCCACCAAAAATTCCAGACAGCTCGGGTCGATGATCGACTGCGTCGAGCCGGTCACTCGGAAGGGCTGCGGCGACGACGCCGCCTGGATGATGCTCAGGTTTATCACCGTTGGGTTTAGCAGGTAAGTCTGATCGCTATTGCCCTAAATATAAGCCTTTTTTAAAGTACATTTTTTAAAGTTATAGTTTCCAAGTTGCAAATTTTTTAGCTTTGAGCAACTCTACAGCCAGCTCGGCATCTCCGACCAGCTGCCCACCTCCTGTAGATCGTTGCTGAACTTGCGGTGAGTTTTTTTGCAAGCGAGATTTTGGATTTGTAACCAAAACTATGTAAAATTAAGCCTATAAATTTAGACATCAACCCATGGAGCGCCACTCGAACCCGAGATCGCTGGCTCGCGGCGCGGCCATATCGTCGAACTACCCGATTCTCACCCTTCTGATGATCATATTTTTGCGTTAATTCAAATTCCCGATTTTTTTCCCGATAGACTTGACTGTAATTTTTGTTGTTTTCTTATTCAATTAGATCCCCGAAAACCCACCCGAACCCAGTGATGCCCCCTGTTTTCGTTACCATTACCTCCAATTGCTTGAGCTTCATCAAAACGAATATTTTTTGATTTTTTATTCGATTTTAGTCACCTGCCAAGTCTTATCGCGTTTTTTGGGTAGTTATAGAGAGATTTTTTGGAATAAAACTTCTAATATGTGTTGAAGAAAAAGAATAGTGGCCGCTAATAGAGTTAAACTTACAGAAATGAAAAGTTGCTATGGAAAGAAACTTTTATATAGCAAATAAGATATCGAAAAACGTTAGAAAAAGCAGAAGACCAAATAATTAGCAAAACAATTGGCTTACGCTCCCCCTAAAAAGATGAAAAAGACGCTCCTTTCTTTATTGAACAAGTTACGGTATCGAAAAAGTCACAAAAAAAATTAAAAAACGGAGAATTATGGCTAAAATTTACTGGCCTTTTATGGATTTTGGTCTAGATGTTATTTTTCTGATATTTTTGCCTTTCGACCACACCCAAAACTTTCTGGAGATGGTATGATCAGGGCCCCGTTTTTCCAGCAGGCTCCTAAGTACTGGCCGTCACCTCGAATCACCTTTAGTTTATGTAAAAGCATAAAAAACAGCAAAAATCTAGCCTTTGCCAGGTGGATCTAATCAGCCGCCGATCGCGCTGACGCGCCGTGAGCTGGTAGCAGGGGGTTGGCGGTGGTTTTTGTCGGACAATTTGCGGGCCGCTGATTTTGGCGGCTGATAATGTTTTGGGGGACTGGCCGCTGAGATTTTTAGATTCTGGGAAGGTCACATTTTAGCTTGGCGTCAGCTCGAGTTCGCGAAGGTCAAGGGGTTTTTTGCAGTTGCGACACTTACAGCATCGTCGTTAAGTTATGAAGTTTTGTTATTTTTATGGTTTATTAAGCCAGTTTTTTAAAGTTTATTTATGACTTTCGCAATTTTCGCCGACCTTCATTGCAAAACCCCGGTACTTTTGCATTAATGGGGGGGAGGCTTTTTCCCTTAGGATCCAATTCTTCTACCACAAATCTGGGACACATTTTTATCCTGTTTTTACTATTCTAAAGCTCACTAAAACTTTGCAAATTTTAATAAAAATACAAAAAATACCGATTTTTGTTAAAAAACGGTTGATTTTCATGAAAATTTAGAATTTTTTAAGATTTTCGATGTTTTCAGGGAGCATGGTTATATTTCACTAAAAACTGTATTAAAATACTTACTTTTACCGTACTGGGGTTTTCTGGACTTATCGGTTCTGCCTGATTTATGCATTACGGGATACCCCTTGATTCTACTGTATTTTTGTGATTTTTCCCTCTTTTAAGCTATATAAATTAAATCTGCTTTAATTCTTTACAGGATACACCCTTTCTGTACTACTTTCATGCATTTCCCCCTATATTTCGCCCCTCTTTCCGAATAAACCCCCCGCTCGCGCCTGACCCTAATTGGCTGAAGGCGCGTGGTGGGAGGCTGCTTTTCGATTTTTTTTTCTAAATTTCCAGCTGCCCTGGCTGATAATTTAGAAACCACCTAACAAATGCGGGCCGCAGACTACCGTAATACCCCCTCCATTCCCGCTGTCGTGTACATATGTTTCTCTGACGGCGTGTAATTAGATTTCGAGGCCGGGCCCCCGGGGCCACCCATTTACTTTGCCATTTCTTTTTACGTGGCTCCCGTTTTTGTTCGCCGGGCGGAATGGGGACTAAAAGGCATTTTTTTCGCGGGTGGTATATATGCCCCCCCCCGGTAATTCACCAGCGCGGAATTGGGATGCTAAATAACAGTAGCCTCAAACAGGCGGGTACGGTAGCGTGAGCCTAAGCTAAAGTCTAAGCTCAAACCTAAGCCTAACCTAAGCCTAAGCCAAGCCTTACTTTTGTTTGAGAGGATTCCAAAACCGTGCGATTTCTTCAAGAAAGAAAGATTTTTGCCGCGAATTTTTAAGCAAGGGCTTCCCAAAACCTAAAAATTCTAAGCAAAATAATCTATTTTGTCCCTAGAATCCTTGGCTGTCCCCTGTGGTCAGCCCGGGGAGTATTTTCGGGGGGTTGGCCGGCGAGTTGGGTGCTGTGTTTTCGAGGGGCTGCTGGCTAGCAGAAAGAGAGAGAGAGAGAGAGAGAGAGAGAGACGCCCATTTCGCAAGGAGAGGATCGATGAGTAGGCTGTCTCTCTCTCCCTCTCTCTCTCTCGCCACTCTCTCGCCACCATTTCGAGGCCGTGTGATCGATTGTTGACTGCAAGCGCGGGGGGCGGCTGACCCTCCGCTATACAAACGATACACGTGGAGCTTTCGGCGCGGGTGTTGCTATAAAAATTCAGCGTGTGATTTTTATAGTGAGTCTGTTTGTGGGTCTGTTTTTATGCCTGTCTGTATGTCTCCGAGGACCGTCGTCTGTCTGTATGCATTTTTCCAGCAATTTTTCGGGGCTTTTTAGCCGTTGCGAGCCTTTTGCGCGCGTTTTTGAGAGCATTTTCCTGATTTTTGTCAGTTTGTCCATCAATTAATAGGCTTTTTCTGTAAAATTCGGGTTTTTTAGATATTCGAGGCTAGAAAGCTATTGTAGAGCGTAATTGGACGATTTTGTTGGTGCTAAAATCTATTTATAATCGGGGGTTGAGGGGTTACTAGGACAAAAATCTGTTTCAGTACGAATTTTTACGTTTTCTAGCCTAGAAATCGAGTTTTCAGACGGGATTTTACGCTTTTTTTTGAACCCAGAAATCGATTTATCGAGGGTTATTTTGCGTTTTTCTGGCCCAGAAATCTATTTTAACAGTTTTCCAGCGTAAAGATAAATTCAAGACGAATTTTTCGGATTTTCTGAATGTCAGCCATTCCCAACTCACATCTGGCCCCCCAAAAGTGCAGATCCCAGGGTCCGATCGCCTCCCCTGGCCCCCAGCCAATTTGGGCGGATTTTATGGCGCCGTACGTGGGAATGAATGGACAGACGGACAGACAGACAGACAGACAAGACGGACAGGTGTTCGATGACTACTAACAGAGCCGAGACATCTGTTCCACTTGGCCGCCTCAAAAATGGCATCATCGCAGCCCCGAGGGGATCTGGCTTGGATTTGGCACCCTGAGGCCGTCGGTGGACATTAAAGGGTCCGAGAAGTGTCGGGGAATTTGCATATGGTGTGATATGGCATATCGGCATACGTCTAAAGGGCCGAGGAAGGTGAAGAAGTGCTAAAAATACAAAAATGTGCTAAAAATTCGGGGTTTGAACGCGATGGCGACGTGGAAAATTGCGAATTTGCATGAAAATTATTAAAATCCAAGAAAACAATTTCGTTGCTGCTTAACTGATTTTTTTCTAGCAGATTAGATGGCTTGGAAATTTGCCAAGTTTTCCCTAAGTAATTTTACAAATTTTCTAGCGCTTATTTGGGTTTTAATTTCAGGTTTATCTACATGCAAAATCGTTATTTTGGATGAAAACTTCGAAAATATAGTAGAAATTCACTAAGCCTAAATCCTTGTCCAGAAGGCTTGAATCTTGCCAAAAAAATTTATAGGAGTTTTTAGAATTTTTCTGGACCTTGGAAATGCGCCAAAAACAATTTTTTTTCACACAATCTGCCCGAATCCCCAATTCCCACTCAAAATGCCCCGATTCCGGGCGACACCCAATTCCGCCCAGACCCAACCGTGGCCCGATAAAGCCGTGCGATAACACCACCTCGCGCCGTGCCCTTACCCCCCCCGTAATTTGTTGCGGAGCGTACAGCTCAACCCCCCCCGGGCTGTATCAGAAATGGCGAGGGGCTAGGTGGCGGGGGTGAGTAAACATGGCGTGTTTTGGCAGGGTGCCAGCGCGCTGGGAGGCTTTTACACGCCGCGCCGCATCGCGAGCCCCCCCGCCGCTGTTTGTGTAAGGTGGTGTAGAGTGTACTTTAGCCTTGGGGAGGGCGTAAAAAGGAAATCCATGATCTGGCAGGACGGCTGGGGAGAGGAGCAAGAACGTCCTTGATACCATCTCTATCGCGCCCCTCGATTTTCCAGCGCGGGCCACCGGCTATCCATTTTCGCGCCTAAATCGCGCGCGCGCCCGGAACCTTCGATTTTGGCCTTTTGCCAGGAGGGGATGGTTGAATCGTTGTTTTGGAAAGGCGAGCCGAGCTATAAGAAAGAATCTAGCTCGAAAGATGGTGGAAAAACTCGCTAAACGAATCTATTCTTTTTGGGAGATTTATAGTCTAGAAAAGGGTTTTTCGTAAAGTTTAAAATAAAATTTTCTAGTTTCAAACCTTTAATTTTAATTTCTAAAGCTTGGGAAACTGTTTTCAGTTATGAATCGACTGTAAAACTTACTAAAAGATAGTCTATAACTTTTAGGTAAATTTTTATAGCCCTAAAAAGTTTTACGTATCTTTTTCAACGTTGTAATCAATGTTTTTCTTATCCTTTTGCACCCTATTTATCGTCTAGAACCTTAAAAAATGCTCTAAAATATATTTTTACACCTTAAACTACCCTAGACCGAGACCCGATGAAATCCGAAATCACACCCAAATTTTGCCTATCTTTTCGATCCCAAAAAAATTTGGGCATAGGTTCCCCTTAGAAAACGGCGCCATCTGATGTCGTGTGGGCTCTGTAAATTTGGGGATCCATTCGGTGTCCTATTTACCCCCATATCTGCTAGAATTCCATCTTTTTCCGGTTCCAAAAAATTTTTGGGCATGGGTTTGCTTTGGAAAACGTCTTTTTTGGATAAATGTAAGGTGCGGTCTGTAGGGCGCGCTGGGGGAATTTTTTTGCTTTTTCGATTTGCTCCAAAAAATTCGATAAAAATCGTGTAAAAAAATTTCGCCAGTTCCGGCAAAACGCGCAGATTTTGGCAAGTTTTTTTGGGTAAAATTTTGAACCCTATGGGAGAATTAAAACCAATTGTCTGTCTGTATTACATTCCAGGATTGCGGCCAAGGGCAGGCGGCCAAGGCTGGACCTCCACAGGGATCCTCAACAGGCGGTCGTGGGGGACAAGGTGAAAACCTTGTAGAAATTAACAAATTTTCGCTTCCGGCATCATCAACGAGGGGTTAAAACTGCGGGCGGGCAAAACGGCGTCGATCGGGGGTTGTGCGGCGGGGTGGTGTGGGCTGAAATGTGTGTGTTAGAGGGGGTCTGGTGGTATAGAAAAGGGAGGCCACGCCTCCAGAGCACGAGAGAAGCGAGACATTGGGGAAATAGTGGACAAAGACAAGAGCGAGCAGAGAAACGAGGCGATAGGCACGTGTACGCGGCGATACTGTGGTCGGGGCGAGGGTGTGGGGGGATGGGAGAGAGACCCCGGCGACCAGGCCGTTGGCAGATGGCCTCGGTCGCGCGCGAGCGTCGCTCTCTTTCCACATTTCTCTGTCTCACTCTCCCCCTCACTCTCTCGCTCTCTCTACTAACAGACAGACACATACATACATACACACACAGCGAGCCCCCAGCAGCAAGCAGCCCACCCCGCCTCGCGGGGGGCGATCCGAAAGGCTAGCCCCAGCCTCCTCGGCCCGGGGGACCACCGACCAATCCCGTTTTTCCCCCCTGCGGATACCCGGAACTTTTTCGGGGTTGTTTACCGGTTTTTTAAACTTGTAGTTAAGACCTGTAATCTTTAATTTCCTTAAAATCTCGTCGCCAAAAAACACCGGAGTTTTTTGGTGCCAGCCGCGCGATTTTCGTCGCGTAAACAGTTTCTAGAAAAATTTTTAAGTTTCTAAGTTTTAACGTTAGTTTGACGTTTTAATAATACTGAAAATATGCCTTCATATGTTCCTAGAGCTTTTTTCAAAGATTTACATTTTATTAAACATAGAAATCCAGCAAACTAAAAAACTAAAAGCCACCGAAAGGTTCAAAAATTTTTTATTACTTTGCATGATAAATCCATGATGATTTCTATCAACTATAATAATTTTCTTGACGCGTCCGTCTGTCTGTCCGTCTGTGTGAAGCCGAATTCAACTCGAAGGGGAAAGGAGCTAGAGCTTAGCTCTCTTCGGATTCGGATAGAGCGTGGTCAGAAACCCTCAACTGATAAAAAGTTACGAAAAATTTTGTTTAAATTATTAAAATTAACTTTGAAAGTTTTTCCTTAGTAAAAGGGGTGGGGGACGGAGGTTGGGGCGGTTTTGGACATAGTGAGCCAGGTCGCGCGCGTTTCGTGGATGAAAACGGGGGTTTCTTTCTTTTTTTTCTCTTCCATCCGGTCGGTCGTTATTTTTTTTTTTTTGAGGGTTTCAGCCATGGGGTGTATCTGAGCCATCAGGAAGGTATTTGGTAGTTTTTGAAGGGGATTTCAGCCATGGGGGGTATCTGAAGCCATCAGGAAGGTATTTAGGTAGTTTTTGAACGGGATTTCAGCCATGGGGTGTATCTGAGCCATCAGGAAGGTATTTAGGTAGTTTTTTTGAGGGTTTCAGCCATGGGGTATCTGAAGCCATCAGGAAGGTATTTAGGTAGTTTTTGAACGGGATTTCAGCCATGGGGGTATCTGGCCATCGGAGGTATTTAGTGTTTTGAGGGGTTTCAGCCATGCGGGGTATTGTGGAGGTGGGAAAAGATGTGGTGGGTGGGCATGTAGGGCGCCCGAACCCAGTGGTTCGTCGCGAGCGTGTCCTCTGGTGTTTCAACATTAGTTGAGGGTTCAATTGTAAGGAAGATGCGCTTTTATCGAATTTTGATCTAAAATAAAAAACAATGAATCTTTGTGCCAATTTAGCAACATCCGGCGAATAAACACCAAATCCGGAACACTGGTCGATTCTTGCAATTTGTAGCCAGGGCCGCCAACCCGATTTTTGTGCCGGGGTGGAAAAACATCCGTGACACACACTCCCATAACAAATGCTATTTTTATTTTACCTTTATGGCTTTTTATAGTTTCCAAGAAAATTTGGGGTGAATTTTCACATTTTTAATGTTGCGCTTTTTCTTTGTAAAAAATGTGGGAAAATGACTACATTCGGGGAATTTCTCATGGGCGAACTTTGGTTCGTTGCCGGTTATTTTGGGAGCTTGAAATTGTCGTTTTTGGTTCTTTTGCATTATCGGGGGGATAGCAAGAGGATAAACACTTTTTTATCGAGTATCACTTTTTTATATTCCTAAACCCAAAAACTTGACAAATTTTTTATAAAAAAAAAACACAAAATATCGATTTTCTTCCAAAAATGGCGCTTTCGGCAAAAAGGTTCGATTTTTAAAAGTTTTTAGAGTTCGATTTTGAAGAGTTTTTTCACTCTAAATGGCGTTAGCTTTACTAAAAACACGATTAAAATACCTACTTTTACGTCGTTCGAAATCCACAAAAATTATCCCCCCCCGTTACTGCCAAAGCACCATTTTTGGGTGCCTTGGCACCTCGCCAAAAACCAAACTATTTGTTTCTTGATAAATTTCAACCGGCCCATCAGTCGAGCGTCACAATGAGTGCCATCTAGCCCTCGCCGGCGCGTTTATTTACTCGCCCGGGCCCTGGTGGCCATCGTGGAATTTACCCCCCCTCACGAAAAGGAGCGCAAAATAGAAAATCTTTCTTTTTGCTTGGTGTGTCTCTGCTGACGGATTAGGGGGGCAAAATCCGTGGAGTAGTGTGTGTAACTAGGGTGGAAAATGGAATTAATCCCCCCGAAAATCCCGTTTCTTGTATGAAAAAATGTTTGCGATAGCTTGGCTCTAGTCGGATTACCCGAAAAAATACGCGGCATTTTTGTCTAATCCCCCCGGAGAAACTGTTTATAAAAACCTCCCTCTAATCTCGCAAGAAACCCTGGGGGGCAGGGAAACTAGGGAACTTTCGCATTATCGGGGGGGAAGCGAGATTTTTTGATTATGACCCACTCTTTCTAATGTAAATTAAAAAGTTTTTACAAACCTTTGTGCTATTACTAAAGGTAAAAACGCTACAAAATTTTGTTCAAAAGTGCACAAATTTGGATTTTTCCACCAAAATTTCAAATTTTGAGGATGTTTCTGCATTTTATAGATAGTTTGATGCTTGAAATATCGTTAAATTTGCTTGAACAATACTCTTAAACTGTTTATTGGTTTATAGGCTTTTAGGACCCCCCGATAAGGCAAAAGCACAAACCAGAATTAAAACAACTAATTTTTGCAAATCGATTATTTATCCATGTTTAATTCTATATTATTTTTTATTTTGTATTTTCAAGCTATTCTGGATTTTATTCAAGAAAAAAATACTTTTTACTTACAGCAACCGCCCCGAAAACGCCCGAAACCCGAAACCCCGGCGAAATCAGCATGAAGTGAAGTTACGTGGGGGCGTTGCCGAGCAAGAACACCCGCAAATTCAACAAGATCTGAACACCAACAATTATATTTCGACCAGAAAACGATGTCCTTATCGAGTCCGCCGGCCCGAGAATCGCGGCACGTCCTCGTTTCCGGGCTGCCCGAGTCGATGACCGACGAGCTAGTGCACGCACATTTTTCAAAGTAAGCAAAAAATGGCCTAGAAGAGATTTCTTTAAAAACAAAGACTTGCTTTAGCCCCTTAAATTTCGTTATTTTGGCTATTTTTCGGGATTTTTTCGACACAATTTGATAGAGCTTCGAAAAGAATAGGTTGAAAAGCTGGTTTCTTCTGTATTTTGAAGACGCCATTTGATAAAGCACCAAAAAATGTGCTACGAGCTGTAATTTCAGCCCAACGTAATGTAGGATCGAAAGTTATCAGAAAAACCAAAATTCGAAAGACTTCAAAATTTACCTAATCAAATTACAAATAACTATTTATCTGCTGAAATCGGCATTATAAAAATAGTTATTATGAAAATTCGGCAATATGAGCGCAAAACGACCAATTACGTGCAATCGGGCAGCGAGCCAATTAGCCGCACGCACTTCGCTGTACCTTTAATACTATCGACACCCGCCAATCCCCCCAGCAAATCGCTAACAAGCACTTTCCAACACGGGCAGAAGGGGGGAGGGTGCTGGTGCGGTGAAAACTGAAAAACAAGAGCGGCGCTCATGATTTGCTGGGGGTTTCTTGGAAACAGCTCCATACAGCATGCCGGTTAGTCATGTAAACTGATGCGGTCGTGGCGCTTGCAAAATCGCGGTTGAAATCGAATCGAAATCGCGTTTTATGGGGGGCGCCGGGTGGAAAAATGGGCTCGGAAACTTTGAAAACTACAGCTTTTGGGAAGGCTCTTCCGTATAAAACCGTTTTATTCCGTCATTTTTCCTTCAGGACCCAATTTTTGTAATCTAAAAAGGAACCGTTTGCTCTGTTTATTACAAAACGCAAAAACTCGAAAAAGTGCATTTTTCGACCAAAACGTCAAAATTGGCATTTTAGAGCAGTTTTCTATGTCCGAAATTTTTTCCTGTTTGGATTTAGCTTCAATTCGCTGAAAAGGCTATCCATAAACTTTCTATGGCTTTATTAAAGGGGCTCCGAACTGCCAAATCAAAGCCCTTTTGGGAGGGCTCTTTGATTTCTGGCAAATTGCCAGCGGCCGCTGCGGGACGAGAGCCCTCACTCTTTCGATTTTTGCGCGAAGTTGTTTTTGCTCGGTTTCTTTGTGAAAACACTATAATATGCGCATTCTGAGCCCATTTTTAAAATCCTCACTCAATTTTAAATAGTTTTGGTGTTTTAATCATCAAATTTGGCCCAGAAACAGCCTAGAACGTGATTTCGAGGTGACAACAGGCAATTTCAAATTTTGGGAGCTTCCCGGCCCCTGGGCGTACAGAGGCCTCCGACGTACAGGGCTCCGATTTTCGGGCCGTCACTCAGTTTTTGGCATTTCGTAGCCCCTTTAAGTATATCTGGAATTACCGGAAAATCAGACCCTCGGAAAATACCAAAGAACCCCCCTCCCCAATATTTTGTTCCCTTACACGCGCCGTCAGCTCAAAAATTACAGCTATCGTATTCTTATTTTTCGTAATTTTCACGTGTTCGCGCTCCTTTTAATTGAGCCCGAGCGCACAAAAGACTGGCTCTGACCCCGCGCAGCTGACCCGGTCGCCCTCAATTATCCCCCCGGCCGGCACTTCGAAAAGTCTTCGGGTGCTGTGGTGTATGTTGGGAGGGGTTTTGCAAAACCTCGCGCCGCTATTTTGTTCTGCTTCGCCCCCGTTAGCGACTCGGGGATGTGCTGCTGCTGCTCCTCCTCCCCTCCTGCGCCCCGGTGACCCAATATCGATTGGACGGTGTTCGGTTTTCGGGCTGGGGGAGAATCGGGGGCGCAGCCTGCCCCCACACACACAACGTATCGAGGGGTCGGCTCGGAAATGAAATGGGAAAAATCGATTGTTTTAGCGGGGGTTGCGCTTATCAAGTGAAAAATATGGCACAAAACTGGATGCAAAAAAATTATCAAGATTTATAAGTTTGAAAAGAAACGGTTCTTTGTTATTTCCAGAAGGGTTTTCTTGACTTGACTTTTTTTCATTCTAAACGCTTTTTCTCTTTCTTATAAGCCCAAATATCGTTATAACAAGCAATTTAATAGGCTCCTTAGTAAAATTTAGCTATATTGCTGTCGAAAAAGTATCTAAAATACTCTTCCAAATCTCTAAAAATTCCAATTTTTGGTCGAATTCGAACAAATTTTCCCTTATAAGCCCGATTTCCCCAAATTATTAACTTCATACAAAGTATAATCTAGCTAATTGCTGTGGAAAACTATCAAAACATTACCAAAAAATCTAAAAAATTGAAAAAATTGACTGAAAATCGATTTTATTAAAAAATTAGATCCTAACGAAAAACTAATAAACTCCCTTCCAGACACGGCCGTGTGCAAAAAGTGGAAAAGGTGGGCAGCGGCTACATCGTCTCGTTTATGGACGTGCGCTGCGCGCAGAAGGCGTCGGCCGGGGATCGTAGGATGGAGAGTCATTCATTTACTGTCTCCTACCACGATCCCACCGCCAAAAGGTTGGTAACGCTGAAAATGTGTTAATGTGCACCTTACCCCAAAAAGTCCAAAAATACCTTCAAAATGCATGATTTCCCAATGTTTCCTTTGATTTCCTTGCCCTCTTTCCTCGCCTCGCCTCGACTTCTTTAAACCTCAATCTTCTGCACTTCCGGAAACGATTTGCATATTTCTTATCTCCCGTTCCCTCCGCCCAAAAGTGTAACAGGGATCAGGTGGCCGCTAGGGCCCGGGGCCAGCTTTTTACAACCCCCCTACAACTGTCACCAGGCCCCATCCGACGGGCCCAAATTTTGTCAGGGGACCTCCAGGGAAATTGTTAAAGGACGGTTTACTATCAAAGAAGATCAATAATTTTTTTGAATAATGTTAGCCCCGGAATTCGCAGTTTCATCTCCCGCCAATGTGCGTAGTGGGATGACCCGGAATTGAAATTCTATTAAAATTGCGCAGACCACAAGACTAATGATCCGGGTGGATGTGCGGGCTTCCCCTAATGCGCGGGAGATAAAATTACCAAAAAAAAAACGCATTTTCATGTTATCCTGTGGGCGGAAAAGGTCATCCGGTGGGTATATGGAACAAGAAGAAGAAAATCTTTGAAAAAGCGGTAGCTGAAAAGAGTAGAAAATTTTTGAGTTCTGAAATATGAAAAGGAAGGTGAAAGTGCTGGGAAAAATCGATTACGCCCTGAAAATTTCCGTCGATAGTATTGACATGTAGCGGTCACGGTCCGGAAATAATTTTTTCGGCTTCTTCTTTCAAGCCTTACAAATGTATCTTTCCAGATTAACAATTATTAGAATTAGAAAAGCATTAAAATACCCTTTGATGCTCGCTTTCGACGCCTTTCCCCCCTGGCAAACAACGTTCCTTTGACCGGAAAGCTGCTGCTTTTGTTTTCTTTCTTAGCTTTCGTTTTTTTTCTGACGGCCCGTGGGCTTTCGAACCCCCGTTGGGTGAGGCTGACAGTTCGTGTGGCCGCAGGGTGGAGAGGTTTCCTCCCTTCGAAGGGCCTCGCGCCCACGTGAAACCCTTCCCCCCATCCGCCCGGTCGAGCTTCCCGGTCACGTACCCCACGCGCAGCGCTGCTCTGCAACCGCCCGATTCGGATATGCTGTTTCTCTCGACGTTGGAAGATTTTGGAATTTGATTTTTACGGTTTATTTGGGATCTTAGGCCGAATTTCACCGCTAGAGCTGAGAATCTCGCTCCTCGTAGAATTTGGAGTTTTATTTTTAGGGTCTATTTGAGATCTTTTATCTTTGTCTTTAATTTTTTTTTCTCCCAGTCTTCTCAGAATTTTGAACTTTATTTCCTCCGATCTATTTGTCTTTTTCGGCGTCATTTCCTTTGTGTCCTTTTTTGTGGTCCTTTCTCCCCTTTTTTGCGATCATTTTTCGTTATCCGAAATCGTATTCAACGCCCGAAAGCCCGTTTCCCGCGTCTGTTTTCCTGATTCTCGATATTATTTTGGGCTCCTCAATTTGTCTTCAATAAGCCTCTCAATAAGCTCTTAATTTTTAGTCTACCGATGGCGACGCCGTGCCTTGCAAGTCCACGCGGCTCCGGCTCGGGCACCGAGGGCCCGTCGAAGAAGTCGGACAGCCCGCATCGCTCAAAAGAACAGAGGTGAGCTCCCTACGGATTTTAATCCTTTTTTTGTTTAGAATCCAAGCAGCAACGTCTCGCTACCCGGCCTCTTCTCCCTCTACATCTTCCGGCAAGCGATCGGAGCACGAGCGCCGTCGGGAATCCCGGAAAGCCGAGAGGTTTGTGTTATCACGGGGTTTTCGCAAGTATTTTGTAACGTTTCTACGTTTATGAATAGTAAAAAAGTGCAGAAAGCCTGTATTATATTCGAAAAATCGATACTACGAACCCCTCCCCCCCGATACTGCGAAAGAACCTTGGCGACAATATACAAAAAATTGGGAATCCGGTTTGGGGCTCTCGTCCCGGGGCTGAATAAATCGAGCGAGGTGCGCTCCTTTGTGCGGATGTTATGTGTGTCGGATGGTCGTGGCTGGGGGGTGCCCCCACCCTCCTGGGGTAGAAGATGTGTACGCACGACAACAAGAACGGCCAAACATCCTCCTCCTCCCCTCCTCCCGGTCCGTTGACTAGGGGGGCTCATAATCTCTGTTTGGCCACGTCACCCCTCTGGGGGGCGCCGTACAGAAGCACTCGACCCCCTGCGCGGTCGGTTCGGCCACTCCTGCATAGAACGGGAGCGATTTGTGCGGAATTGCGGCCCGGGGGTTTGGGATAAGAATAGAATAGAGAATGAGAATTAGGGATTTAAAGAACCCCGGAAAATTATTCTTTTTACCTAGTTAGGCTTCTAGAAAAGGCGAGAATCCGCGTGTACCACGGCCCTGATCAACGGCCTTCACCCCTCAAATGATAGCATTTGCACTGGGGTGCGATTGGGCATAAACCCTGAGCACCACCACATTTGCTCAGGGGGGAGAGGGCAGAGAAAACGTGGTGATAGGGCTGACCTCGCCAGAGAGGGGGGGGGGATTGACCTCGTTCCCCACGACCCCCGAGGATAGTATCTCGTGGTGACGTGAGCACCACGGCTGGGAGGACTTTTTGGTCGCTGGCTACGGGGTGGGGACCGACAGAAAAAAAGATAGAGGAAAAAGTACGTTTTTTTCCAGCTCGGAGCCGTCGTCTACTGCCTCAACTTCTGGTCTGCAGGGCATCTGGCTGGAGCGCCTTCCGAATCGAGGGGAGAACACGCTGAAAACGGCCATTCAGGAATCGGTGAAAAAGTGAGGGTTTTTGGCTTACTGTAAATGGTTTCCTTGCTCAGAATTTTTCATTGGCTCTGAGTCTGTTTTCCAAATTTTTGAAGGAGTTTTCAAAAATGGCGGCGATATGAAACGACCCGAACTGATTTATCACGCTCCCCGCAAATTTCGAAAACGGAGTCTGAATCAGCGCAAAATTCTGCGCAAGATAGGTTAGGTTCCATACGGAATTTCTAGCCATTTGAAAATATTGTTTTATCAAAATTTTTGCAGATTCGGCCGGCCTTTTCATATCCAAATTGACGTCGCGGCCGACGGAGCAAAAAGCGCGATACTTCTTTTTAATCGGTAAGCTGTATTTCCGGAATTTGGAATGGAGCTCTTTATTTTTTCTCTAGCTTTTGTTTTTGGTCTAATTTCACTTTATCCATTCTTCCATGCAATACAATGCAATGCAATTGCAATTTTCCCCACTTTTCAGCCCCAACGATCTGATCCACTCCAAAACACTGCCAGTGCTCAACCAAGAAGCGCGAGTTCGACTTCCCAGCCCCACCCAGCTCACCGATGCCCACGCTGCATATTTGGCGGTCAGGAAAAGCTTCAAGGCTCGATTTCGCTTTTAGGCTAACACTGTCGTCGCCGCCGGCTCGGGGGAAGCGGGGCGGAGCTCGCCGTCGATTTCCGAACTCCCCGCCAAATATTCAAGCCACAACGGCACGATCCGCGAGCAGGACAGGCCATGTTCGGCGGGCACCGGCCAGGAAGTGGACGTTTTCAACAGCAAGGTTCGTTTTTGGCACAAGATAATTTAAATAGGCTTCGGTGCAATTGGACTTGCACAGTTTTATCCTGTTTCTAAAATGCTCCTCATAATCTTGGTTTTTTAGGCAAGCAGAACCCTCTATGTTGGCGGGCTAGAATCGAAAATCTCTGACGAGACGCTCCGGAGACGCTTTTCCAAATTTGGAACGTAAGTGGCTGTTTTGGGTAGCTTAATTATCCCCCATTCAGAATCCTCGACGTCGACGTGAAAAATTACGAATCCCCCTCCCCGTTCGCCTTCATCCAATTCGCCGACATCTTCTCCACCGTTCGCGCCATCAACTACCACGCCAAGGAGCCGGTGGCCAGCAAAAAGGGAAAGGTTGCTCTCGTTCACTTTTTCTCTGTCCCTGTCCTTTCCCTCCTCTTCTGGATTTTCGAAAATGGGCGTATTTTAGAAATTCTTGCCCAACTTTGGCCGTTCGATGCAGACGAGCAAGCTGTGGGTGGGCGGGATCCCGAGCCACTGCTCCGAGGAGTACGTCCAGAACAAGTTGACGGCACTTGGGGATGGAGGGAATGTGCTGTACGATTCGAAGGTGAGAAATAATTACCGCCTGACACTTTAGACTCTGTTACACAAGTACATTGTTTTTAAAACAAAATTACGCCCATTTTAATAGGCTTTTCAACGTCATTTAGACTAGGAGAATAGCGATAGAAATTGTTATCGAGAATGATCTGCAATAGCAAAAGCGGAATTTTGCATCAAATTTCCGGTTAGCAAGCGTCTGGAAACCGAACAACAGTGTGAAAAATTACAATACCATTTACCTTTATGATTATTCCGTAAATTACCCATTTACAGACACGCGAGGCCCTCGTCACCTTCCCAACGCAAGAACAAGCCCAGGCGGCGTTGACGAGATTGCGCAGCAACGGAGCCAACGGCACAAAACCATTGTAAGCAAAAATTTTGCTACTTTTTCTTTTTGGACTCCTTCTCTTCCTATGCTTCGAATATCATTAAAGTTTTTCACATTTTTCTCAGCTCCGAATTTCCGTCAAACCCCCCTTTCAAAAAATCGTACACGCCTTCTCCCGCTCCATTTCCTATTTCAATCCCCTGCTGACAGCTAAATTCCCCCTCGCCAACCCCCCATATACAACACCTATCCGTTTGATGAAGGCCCCCCGGGGCCAGGCGCGTCTCAACCTTAATTAGGAGGTGGTCACGCGCCCTCGCGCAAAGGATATGCATAGAAAGCAGCAGCTAGATTGCCCAAATCAGCCGGCGCGGATGGCGCAACCCCCGAAAGGCGGAAAAAATGGTGGGGCGGCGGCCGCAGGGTGAGCAGAAGCCGCGTGGGGCGGGTCTAAGTGGCCCACGGGGGTCCGCGAGAAGAAGGGGCCCGCGGTGACGTCCCGTAATATGGGAGCGAAAGAGTGGGGCGCTGCGTAGAGCCGGGTGGCAGAGAAGCAGGGCTGGGGCAGGGAGCGCGCAGCAGGTTGGGGCCCAGCGTGGGGCCGCCGCGGGCCCCCTACCCAGGGCCCCACCGCGGCACGAGGTCTCGACGCTTAATTTCTGCTCCTGGCTTCATGCCTGTAATTTCTCTTTATCGTCGCCGGTCCTGCCGAGGGCGGTCAACGATCGGAATATCGAATTTTCAGGATTTTGGATATCCCTAGGCTCGCTGGAAAATTCTTCAGTTTTCTGGAGCTAGTTTTTAGATTCGATCTAAGTTGCGCACTGTAGTATAGCTCGTTCGAGAAAGCTTCAAATTTCCTATCCTATAAGCGAGAGAATTTAAATATATCCCTGCTTTCAAAAACTTCCAGACGATATCGGTCTATAGAAAAAAATTAGCTGAAAGCCTACTTTTTATTAATCCCGGGCCAGAAACGGGCAAAATTTCCCATTTCGGAACCAATTTTTCTCAGAGGCCGTGGCCGTTGAGAGGCTTTTGAAAGATGGGACTTGCTCAGAATTTCGGACTCTATCGAATGAGTCGTGACAAAGAAACATAACTCCAAAAATCACCTAAAACCCTTTCCTTGTTCTAGTTGATTCCGGCTATAAATTTTCAGCGTGCTGAAAATTTTAGATTACGAAGCGCCTAGATGCAGAAAATTCGAAATTCTGATTTTCGAGACGATAAACATTTTTCGATGTTTTTTGTGATCCTCGGATCCTCCCATCCCCCTAATTTCCAACGCCATCCCGTCGATAGATACAGGGGTGTACGTCTCCGCCGGGATGAATGGCTTCTTCTCGCCTCACCCCGCTGAGGCTCGCGTTCATTAGGGCTGGCTGGGACCCTCCCCCGTTCTTCTAGCCTCCTCCTTTCTTGGCTTCTTCCCGCGCCACCCTTTTCCTCGCGACGCCATTGATTCGTGGCATTCTGTTACGTAGAGGATTTTTTTAATGTTAAGAAGACGATGTTATCATCTTAAAAAATTTTAATTCTGCTTTCCCAGCTTCAGAGTCACCACGCTTCCGATGCTCTGTGGTGTATTTTACATGGTCTTCCAAAGGAGCTTTTTAATGTTGAAAACTGAAACGACGCGGTTTCTACTATCTAAAGTTTTTCTGATTCACTTTTTCACAATCTCGCAATTGGCGCTCTGCCAAGACGCGGAATCCCCCGAGCCACTAGCTGTTTATTTTGTTTTCGCGCTGATGTGTGAGTCATTGGAAAAATTTCCAGGAGGGGGGGGGGGAATGTTAATTTTCTTTTCTTGTTCCTCGTTCCCGCGCTGTAAAAACCGTTACGTTGTTTCGGCGCAAAAATAGATTCGCTCGTTCGTTGATATCTAAACTAGGATCTGCTTTTTCAGCGTTATCTAGCGCCAGAACGGCATTCGGATCGGGAGAACAAAACAAAGCCGTTCCTTATTCGCAGAAAAATTCGAAGCAATATCACAAATTTCGACGGAATTTATTTTTTTTCGGAGATCGTTTTCGGCCTGTAAAAAAAACAGTTTTTCAACTGAAAAAATTCTAGCTTGGGCCCTTTTCTACCTAAAAAATAGATCTTATTCGGCGCCTTCAAAAGAACCAAAATACCCCTGTTTCGCATAAAAATCCCGTTAAAATCATAAATATGAAAAATTATTCACCGTGCCGTCCTATGTCACCCGGGGCAATATTGGTGGGGAATATCGTGGCGGTGGTTTAGAGCCGATTCGCCCCTACTACCGGGCCGTTCGTTCCATTGGGCCCTAGCAACCCTCTTCCACGTCCATCCATCCACCCTTCGTCTGGCACAGTGCCAATTACGGGCCCCTCACCGGGCGTGCACGGCCCCACGAGAAATGGCCCACCTCCATTTCCTGCCTCCACCATTAACGCTAGTGGTTGGGGATGAGCCACTACTAAGCGCCCCCAATTAAAGTGCACGTTCAGGCACGTTGAACGTATATTGCCTATTGACACCTGCGTCTCCTTCTTTTCCCAGTCTCTCGGCGTCAATAGGCAATATACGTTCAATATAAATATACGTCCCTGAACGTGCGCTTTAAGCCCCACCCTCTCTAGGTAATCCGTCCACATACCTTTAATCGTGGGTGGGCAGTGGAATTGCTGGAAAAAGGGGTTGCTATCAGATTAAGGAGCTTCCGATCATTTACTAAATCGGAATGGCAAAGACTGTTTTTCGAAAGTCATTTTCTCGCAATCAGAATTTGCGAACATTTCAATGGCTATTTCCTAACCCCTGTCAGTTCAACCTTTTCTTTTTTTGAAAGCTGTGTGCAATTTTTTTGGAAGTTTTGATTTTTGAAAACGTGTTTCTCGAAATTCGGAGTTAAAAATGAACACGAGGAATATGATTTTTCGACCTAATCCGCGAAAAGGTGATTGTCGGAAAATTCATTCTAAAATTTGAGCTTGAAAGCGCTAAAGAGGGCGACTAAAAGTACTTGAAACGAAACTTAGAAAAAGCCGAGAATCTAAAGCAACGCGTCCAATTAATTTTTTGTTAATATTTAGAGACACGTTAGGGATTTCATCGCTAAAAAAACTATTAAAAACCATAAAAATACGCTACCACGGAAAGATCTGGTCATAGGAAAACCTCAACTCCCGGCTCGGTTCGTCTGAACATCGAAACCGTACTTTCGAAAGCCCCTGCTAGTCTGTGCATTGCTGAAACAGTCGGGCCCCGCCGAGTCACTCTTGAAGCCCGGCCAAATTTTATGCCGAACATCCCCCTCGCTTATGCAACGAATCCTAAAATAAAAAGACAAAAGGACCAACCGCCGCGCTTCAATTCCATCCCCTCTGGCTGCCTGCAAACGATGTTATTTACGGCGTCTTCATTTGCTGCCCCCTCCGGCTGAATCATTGCTTCCCCCTTCTTTTTTTTCCACCGCCCAGCGCGCCATTCTGTATTAATTTCCCCCCTTTTCCTCCTCCTGCCCGCGCCTCAGCCATGAATATATTGGTTTTGAAATTTGCGCCACTCGGGGTGTGGCGAAACCCGAGTTCCAGAACTGTTTTAATTTTTGCAATATTGTAATTATTGTCTGTTTTGCAGCGCCTTCAAGGACCAGACTGGCGGCGAGGTGCGCGTGCCCGCGGATTTTTGCTCGGATCGGCTGCACGACTTCTTCGTCGATAGGAAACACCATCCGGTAATTTTTGTGGTTTTTTTTGGCGACCCGAATCTAACGCGTTTTTCCCTGAAAAATATAGTTTTTTTTCCCGGGGCAATAAATACGGATTACCACTTTTTTAAAGAAATTACGCCCTAAAACCCCTAAAAACCCCACCCGTAAAATTGGTCAATCCACCCGAATTGAGCTGGGCCTCCTTCGTCAAACCAATTTTTGTAGTTATTCCATGCCGCCGGCTGGCCCGACGCCAACATGCATACGCAAGTTGCCTGGCAACTTGCCAGCTACATTTCGCACCTGTTTACAGTAGATCAGCGCAACCCCCCCTTTCTGCGACTAAAACTGGGCACCCGGCCAAACCCCCCGTCGCGCTCCATTTCCATGCCGAAAACTCGGGGCCTAGTCGGGCGTTTCGTTGAGATTCCCTAGAGCCGGAGAAAGAGGGATGGATCTGAGAGCGAGAGAGAGAGAGAGAGAGTGAGAGGGAGAGCGACGCCAGAGATGGAGATTAGGAAAAGGCGGATTTATTCGGGAAGAGAGACCGTTCCCGTGACCAATTTGGCCTCTTTCCGGGATTATGTCGTGGCAAAGACGGGGGCCCTTGGGGGCCGGGCCGACTCGAGCCGGCAGGTGGAAATTGGCACCGTACCTGCCCAGGGCTCATCAGGGTGATTAGCGTGAGGCGGGGGTGCCAGTCTCGCTGGCTCTACGGTTCGTGGGGCACAAACAGCGCCCTTCTGAAGCACTTGCCAATGGGCTACGGTAGCGTGCATCGGGATTTTCGGGACTTGCAAAAAGCCGTATTAACTCGGGAGCGAATAGCGTGACTCGTGACAGAGGTTTATTGAAACGAATAGGCAACCTGAGATTTTAGGAAAACCGTGATCTGTTCAATGCATAGGGATAACTGATCTAAAATTGGCAAAATGCCAACCGGTTACGCTATCAAAAAAAGGGGAGCAGGAGAACGGAAAAGGGTGGGCAGAAAAGCCGATTTTATGTTGTTTCACATGGGCTCCGTTTAACTCTACCTTTTTCAGCCATCGGGCCCGTCCGGCTCGCCTCCACAGCAGCCCCCGGCCGAGCGCATCCTCACCCCACCGCCCAACCCGCCGCCGAACCTCATCGCCGCCGCCGTGCCGGTGCCCGGAGCAGAGATGCCAAGGTTTGTAGGCGAAGCCTGGGTGTCGAAATTTTTTCGACCTGTCAGAACATCAACAATAAACATATCAAAATTCCGAATGTCGTATTTTCCATAGGCTGACTGCTGAGCTACCGTCTGAAACCGACTCTAAGCTTGTAAACATGTGTTTCCTCGAAATTCCACGCAGTTCGTAAAGTTGGATCAACCTATGAAAATGTCGAAATTCATAAATTAACGCATATCTCACCCTCCTCCTCTCCCCCACGTATTACCTTTACGAGCTCCGCACACACATCCAAAATCCCCACCCTGTCGCACTAGCGCGCGAGCTATTTTCGGAAAATGGGGCCCGCCAAAAACCGCGGGGCCTGCGCCTGCCCCTGGCCCCGCTGGCAAAAAAGGGTAGACCCCGCGAAAGGGCATCTTTTAGGGGTGGGTGTCTCCGGGAGAGTGAGAGGCATGGAGCACGGACAGAGCAGGTGTGTGAGAGGGGAGAAGCCGATGAAGGGGAGGGGAAGACCGTCCCGCCTACCCCATCCTGCCCTGGCCCGCGGCCCTCCCGCGCCCCACACACCCATCTTTTCGCCGCGCCGATACTTTAATATTCGGGGCCCCTCCTCCATTCCCCGCCATGCCCAACCTGCCAGCTTACTATATTCACTACCATTCCAGCTACGGATCGTCGCATCGAGACTACTACCACAGATCGGACCGGCGATCGGATAGGAGGGGAGATCGGAGAAGGGATCGCTCTAGGTGCGTTTTACTGCTTGATTGGGGTGTCCCAAAAAGCGGTCAATCTAAGTGGACCTTTTGCTGTTTAGGTATCTATCGAAGAACGCCGAGGGAAACAAGTCCTTTTGTTTTTCTGAATTGAGGATTTTGTTCAATATTTTACGCCAGAAAACCGCGGAAATGGCTAAATTATGACATCGGCATGTCAATTGCGGTTTCCAAGCTAAAGCGCGCGTTTTTCAGAAAACCAAAGCTACGCGTTTTTTTCGCCTTTCCGAGAGCTTTAAGATGGTGTGAAAATAATCAAAATCGAGCTTCCGGCGCGGCTAGAAACGGACCTTTCTTCGGACACCCCGGATTTCTGAAAATTCCTTGACTTCCCATTTATCAACTTCCATTTTTCAGGTCCAGAGAACGCTCGCGTAGGGATAGAAGTAGCAATAGAAGAAGTAGAAGAAGAAGTAGATCCCGTGGCTCGAACTACTCGTCCTCGTCATCAAGCGGCAGCCCCCGTCGACGCCGGAGGAGCAGCTCCGGAAAGTCGTCCACCTCATCTGCATCCGGGGATAGCCGCAGAGGTGGCCACCGCCGAGACCGCGAGAGGAGAAGCCATAAGGAGGGGCATTCGAGAAGGAGGGACGAGAGACGCAGAGACGATGAGCGGCATACAACTGATCGCCATCGAACTGAGGACCGGCGGGATGGCAGGGAGCCTGAAAAGTCTCCATTGCCTCCACCGCCACCACCTCCACAAGTGGCCTGTACGTCGCCGTTGCCGGTGAAGCCTACGCTGCCGTCACCAGTTCGGGTTGGTTTTTAGAGACTTGGAAAAAATTCCTTGTGACCAGGCTTTTCTGAGCAATTGATTTTTTGCCTCATACGAAATTTTTGGTTAAAATTGATGGTATCCTTCGTTACCTAGGATAGTATCTTTCTAACACGAAGTCCTAGATTGGTCCATTGAATTACTCACTTCAAGGAATTAATCACGGAAATTCGGCCTACGGTCTCAAATTTCCCCGGGACGCCGGATAATCTCCCCATCTGAATATGAATAACTAACGTTAAATTTGAAAATTAGAGAGGGCATTACTATATGAAATTATTTTTTTCTTGCAGCAGGCACCCCAGCTACCTCCGCCACCGCCGGTTCTTCAAGCCGCCCCAAAACCTCAGCCACCACCAATTCTACAACCTCTACCACAACTCCAGCCCCAGCCCCAGCCCATCCCCACCACCAGCCATGTTCCCTTGGAAAGAAGGCCGGAGGATCGACGACCTGCGAATTTGATGAATTTGGGCGGTAAGGAACTACCTAGGTCTTTGACGTTTTTTTAGCACAACCAAAACGCGCGTCTCTGGAGATTCCACCGTCCACCAGCCACTCGTTGCCCTCGCCAGGAGGTGTGGTCTCGGCTCCACCGACCCAGAAAATGCACCCGAAGGTCGGGAAACGCAAAATTTTTTTTGTCCCATTCCAAAACATGCTGAAAATTTTATTTTCAAAGGCAAAATACCTTGAGTCTAAAAACTGTTGAAGGTCTCATTTTCAGGTCCCAGAGCGATCCTCTTCTGGCAAAGAAATTCCGCTGGAGTCGATTCGGATCGGCCGCCGAGATTCCGGACTCTCCGAAGATCCGCGATTCGACGAATGGGAGGAAAATCGCAAATTCCTGCGGAAGCGCGCTGTGCACTTGGGCTTGCCGATGGGCTACCCGAAAAGCCGAGGGCCCATTCTACTCCAATCTGTCCTCGCCAAGCATAGCCACCAACAAAAGTAAGTCCTTTTCAAAATAAAGGCATATTTTTATAGTTCAGCGTTTAAATTGGACCATAAATCTGTTCAGGAGACTATCCGAGTGCCCCACCAAAATGCAGCACCCTTCGATGCCTTCGACGACAACACCCCAGCCTCAAAAACGGCCAATGAGCCATTCGCAGTCGACTTCTCGCCATGGCAGCATTTCTTCGGAACATGGTATCTATTGATGCGTTAAAATCCCAAATTTTGCTTTTAAGAACCGTTGTCGAGACGCTCTTCCGGTGTCGTCAGCCCTGGGCCTTTGATTTCGCCAAAAATGCGCCCGTCGATCAGCCAACTTACGTTGCCAATGCAAAGTGAGTATCTTATTTTTTGATAATAGAAAAGATTACGATATTGAAATTCAAACGCCATACTACGACACTTCTAACCCAAATTTTTGCAGCAATCACCCCGAAGAGCTCTGACGATGATGAGGAGATGGAAAAGAGCAGCCCGCCACCTTCCGCCCTCGATGCCTTGCTCAATGACGTCGAGGAAGGAACGAGCACCTCCGAAGTTGATCTCCGCAAGAAAATCAAGGCCCTCGGCAGCCGGCTCGACTCTGTCGACTCGACCATCAAGCTCACCAAGGTGGCGACCGACCAGTACGAGGCTGCCCCGAAACCTGCCGCCCCGGAAAAACAGTCGAGCCTCGACGAATTTGACCGGCTGAAGGAACTCAACCGGGAAAGACCAAGGCTCGACCCGACCCGGCTAAAGACGCTGACTCGTCAGTCTCGTCTCTCCAACAACTCCTCCGCCTGCTCGACACCCATCAACGATCCGCTGTCCCACATCCTCCCCAGTTTGCCCTCCACGCCTACCATCAATCGCAGCACCCCGGGATTGTCAGTCCAGATTCCGACGACGTCTTCTGGCCAGACCTCGGCGCAGCCAAGTCCGATCCTGCGCAAACCGTCGGTGGTCCCAGCCCCGGTCCGCTCGACTCCGTCCGGGTCCTATGTCCAAGTACCGAAAACTCCGACGACCATGGACCGGCCTGGGATTGGCGGCATCCCTTCGCTGCTCTCCTACAACTTCCCGCCTCCGCCGCTGCCCAGCAGTCTTGCGACGTCTCCACCAGGGGTTGAACCCTTGCTCTCCGCTCCACCACCACCTCCGCCGTTGCTGGTAAGCTAATTTTTAAAACTAGGTTTTAGCCCTTTCTTTGAAGGTAGTTTATTCTTAGCGGGGGAGGCTTTTTAGCCCGTCGTACGATTCCAATAATAAAATATTCACGATTTATGGAGTTTTTCGCCGTTTGTAGTATAGAAATGAGTAGCTGAATCGTCGCAAAAATTTTACAAACTTTTGATTTGGTAATAAACTTATGAAAATCGTTGAAAGTGCCGATTCTTAAATTTTATATGCATGTTTCTATGACTTTTTGCTAAACTAAACCAAAAACGCTATAAAAATACATCATAAACGTGATTTTCGCTAAATAGCTTCCCCCGATAAAAGACCAGTACCCTTTTCTTTGCTTTCTTAACTTTTATAATTTTCTAATTTCCAGGGTGTGAACACCACCGGACGTCGCGACTCCAATGGGAGCCTCCACGCAATGTCACACCATCAACGGCATGTCAGCCCTCCGCGCTCATCATCAAGCAGTACGGCAGCGGCCCCGTCTATGCCCGCCTCGATCACCACTCCAAAGACGCACCGGCACGAGTTGCCCGGAATCCCGAAACGTCCTCCTCTCCTCCCCGGCCAGCCTCAACAACGGCCCGATGGGAAACAGGCGGCTCGTTCCGACTCGTTCGCTGGAGTGACCCGCACCAACAGTGTCCCTCAGAACCCATCACCTTACGTACATCGCTCGATGTCGATGAGCGAGAAGACGCAGGCCCCTCCAGTCACTCGTGTCTTCACAAACGAGCTGATGGAGAAGTACCTGAGCAACTCCCAAAATCGCCCTGCCCTCTCCGAGGAGATGAAGAAAATCCCGCGCATCGAGAAAAAGCCCTCGGCCGTTCTTGAAGCGCAACGGGAAAAGGAGCGCGAAAAGGAGCGCGAACTCCTGAAGCAAAAGGAACGCGAACGCGAGCATAAACACAAACATCGCGAACATGCTGAGCGTGAACACCGAAAGGAGCACAAGCCTCGCCGCAAGGACGATGGGACCTACGAGACCAAGGAGGAACGGGCAAAGCGAAAGGAAATGGAGCGCTCTGGAAAGGACAAGGACAGATCCGAGCGGAAAAAGGACAAGAAGGACAAGCTGAAGCGATTGGCTGAGCTTGAGAAGTTGGAGAAACGGGCCAAGAAGGAGCGGAAGGAGAAAAAGAGGGAGAAGAAGCGGAAGCGGCAAAGTGACAGCGAGGAGGAGAGCGACGACGAGGAGAATGATGACCTCAAGTCGATGAGGCTCGCACAACGCCTGCAGAAAGAGGAGACGGTCGGTGGCTCGATGTACGACAGGGTCAAGAGGAGGAGCAGCGGCTTGAATAAGGTATCGATGCTTAGAATAGCCCTTTTAAACTACTTTTTCAGGATGACGAGGAAAAGAAGAAGTCGCTCGAGATCATTCGCGAGAAAAACCAAAAGAAGAAGCGCCGTGTGATGCTCAGCGACTCCGAGGAGGAAGAAGAGGAGGAGGATGGCGAGGTGGCCGAGAAAGAGGATGGCGAAGAGGCCGACAGCTCTGACGAAGAGGAGCCCGAGCCCCGGCACAAGCCGCCCAAGCACGCAAAGCCTACGACGGTTGGTAACTCTGCTGTTTTTTGAAAGAAGCTGCAAGTGCTTTCGGAAAATCAGTCTAAGGTTTTTCTAGGAGTCCAAATAGGTTTCTATAATAGCACGTATTTTACCTTAAAATACCTTAAAAATCAATCAAAATTAATTCAGTGGCGTTTTCGGTTCTAAATTTCTTTAAAAACCTGGAATTCTGCGAGTTGCCCTGGTGGAGGACTGGCCAAATAGGCCCGCCCCATCCCCCTCTCTCCACCCTATCGCGTGGCCGAGTGGCGAAAAAGGTGGGGCGCCGTGCCCAGGGTGCGGGTTCGACCCCCGCCGGCGGCTCCTGTCTTGGCGCCTCGGTCCCAACAACTGGCCGTGGTGTATGTTACGGGAAGCAATAGCATGCCCTTCGGGGAGATCAGGCTACTTCGGTATTGGGTGCAGCATTGTCCAATATTATCCTCTGGGTCTGAAATATTTTGAAGTTTTTTGGCACTTTGGCAATATCGGGGGAGCTTTTTTCTAAAAGTATCGCCCTAGAAATATGCACGGCGCTTTTCGGTTCTGTTTAAAAAAATTAAACTTATTTCAAGTAGAAAACTATGCAAAAACCTTGGGGAATTAAAATAATTATTATTTGGGGGGAAATTGGCCATTTTTTCGGGGAAAAATCCATTGTTTTACTCATTTGTAGTAAAATAACGCTGTTTATTGCAATCAAGAATCGTATTTATATGGTTTCTTTATTATATTTTATATTTTCAGTCAAAGGAAGCTCAAGATTCGTCCGATTCTGCTGAAAGTGATGACGAACCCACACCGAAGAAGGAAACCAAGGTTTTTTGTCATTCCTTTCCTTTTAAAATGTTTTTAGAACTTCAACACCGATGACGTCTTCGGGGAGAGCGACGACGACGAGAGCAGCACTGCAACAGCCCCGATTCGCACCAAGGAGGAGCTGAAAAAGGAGAAGAAGCGACACCGAGAGCACACCGACTCGGATGACACTAGACACCACCAACAGCACAAGAAAAAAATGGAGAATCTGTTCGGCGAGACGAAGAAGGAAAAGAAGGAGCATCGCCATCGGGAGGAGCGCAAGCGCGCTGCCGAGAAGCTCGAGAAGAGCACTAAACGGTCGAAGCCGGATAGTGACCATGAGGAGGCGAGCCGGGAGCGGACAACGTCGCTGGCTGGTAGCGAGGGTGGATCTTCTGTTTCTACCGCTGATAAGGTGAATTTTTTTGAAGTTTGTAAGTTTACGCTCGATCTGATCTTCCGACTGAAAAAACCAATATTTTCCAGGTTCCACTCGGCCGCGAAAAGTCATCATCCTCAGAGGTGTCCACAATCCATTCTCCAAAGCTGCACAAACCTGCCGAATTTGCCCCCGCAAAGCCAGAGGTCAAAGACGAAGAGGTTCGAATTTTATCATTTTGGTTTTGGAATTCCTTTTTTTTTTGTCGTAAATTTTTGCATAATTGGATTTTAGATGGAGATCAACGACGAGCCGGCCGCACCGCTCGTCAGCCCGAGCGCCAAGCTCAAGGTATCGACGGTCGACGGATCACGCAACTTTTTTACATCTCAGAACTCCGTCAAGTTCGTCTCTTCGTCGTCCAGCGTGCAGACGTCGATGGTCCCACCTACCGTGCCGGCAGCGGTACGTTTTTTTTGCATATTACGAGTGCCGCATGCCAGGCTGCCGGAAATTGGAGTGCACTTTTGGTCTCTTGTGCCGGTTTTTGTCGACTGTTTGATATTGAATTTGATGTTAGTGGGACTTTACTGTTAACGGGGGGGCAATATATCATTTACACACCTAGGAATTTTTGGCGTTTTGGGCACTTTTGAATATCGAAAAGTCCATTACCATAATTTTTACAAGATGATACAACCTCTCCATTTTACTACAACCAGTCGACAATCCCCCAAAATTCGCTAAAACCGTACCGAAACGTAGTGTGCGTGCTCGTGCTGCGCTTTTTTCCAGAGAGTTCTCCGTAGCGTGGTTGTGTCATTTCAGAGTCGAGCTCCCGTGACGGCTCTTCCACTCTCCGAGGACTCCTCCGCATCATCGAGTGAGGAGGAGCACGAGAAAGTCGAACCTCCCGCCAAGGAGCCCGAAAAACCACTCACTCCGGCTCCGGAGGCCGACCATCAGCCAGCCGATCCAGCGGCGGCTTCCTCGTCTTCTTCGGATGACGAGGTGGAGGAGATGCTGGTGAAGGCGTTGGAGGAGGAGAAGGTTGTCGAACCTCAACAAGAGCTTGTCGTTGAACTGGTCCCCGAGGTCCCGAAATGCCCGAGTCCGATCCCGGAAGTCAAGCTGGTGGAGGCTAAACCCTCCATTGTCCTACCCATAATCCCACTGCGCGATGATGAGGCCGAGTCTGCCGTCTCCGGCATCCAAGATGACGTCGAGGAGCAGGAGCCTGACCTCCCGGCCCCGCCCGTACCCTTGATGCGCCCGCCCGCACCGATGTCCCTGCCCCCGGTCGTGCCGCTTCACCAGCCCCTACCCCAGCACGCGCACCCGAGGCTCGAGTCCGCCCCGGCAGCTATGGTTCGTCAAATTTTCGATATTTTTTTGGCTTTCTGCAACTTTTGGTTGACTTGTGGCTGTAGTTGTAGTCCTGTCCGTCACACTGGCTTTATATATTTTTTTGGACTTTTTGGATGGCATGCGCATGGATTTTGGGGTTCAATTTTTGGATTTGTAAAGCAAGCGCGTGAGTTTACAGAAAAATTTTGTCGGCACAATAGAAATCGCAAAACCGAGCATTACGAAGTTTTTTTTGAGCCAAGAGATGCCTAAGAATCTAATAGCAACGTATTTTAGTAGTTTTTTTATAAAATTTAGTTGATTCAAGCGAAAAAACGAACATTGTATAAAACTCAGAAACTTGGTCGAAAAATAGTTTTTTTTTAATTTGGAAAGATCGGGTTTTTCGAAAGCACCGAAATTGTCAAAAAACAACAAAAAAGCTGCTACTGGTTGCTAAATTCGACTTTTTAGGAAACCAGCAAAGCGTCCTCAACTCTCGCCATCTTCGACGACGAGGAGGAGCCCGAGCCCGAGTACCCCGACCAGGACTTCATCCAGGAAGTCTCCCTCCAAGCCGAAGCCGACAAAGCTGCCGACGAGGAGGCTAAACGAGCCGCCGAGGCCATCCTCGACGAGTCGGACGAGGACACCGAAGAGAAGCCAACCATCAGCAACGTCACCGTGCAGATTCCTGTTGCGCAACCCGAGCCGATCATGGTCAAGCAGGAATCGCCGTTGATCTCGCCGGTCCCCTCGAATGATGGGCGTTCCTCAATCGCGTCGCTCGCCCAAAGATCAACTCCTGGACATCCAGAGATCCCGGCCGAGGTGGCCACCATCGCCCCCGGACCTCAGCCCGTTCAGTTTGCGCTGCCGCGTCAGCCTGAGGCTCAACTGCCCCAGCATATGCAGCAGCCGACGCAGCAACAACATGTCCCTGCGACAGTTGCTGCTCAACAACAGGCTGCTCAGCTGCTGCAAGTTATGGCAATGGTTGGTTTTTGGAACTATTTTAATTTATTTATCAAAACTGAAGCCTGTGAGAATCTGCAATTGTCGGATTTTGAAAATTCAAGCTTAAATTAGCAATTCTGTTTTTCTATGACCAAAATAGCGCAGTCTAATTGCTCTTTTTTACAGGCTCAAGCTCGTCAAGCTGCCGAAGCTGCAGCTGCAGCCGCTGCCACCGCTGCCGCCACAGAAGCCACCACCACACAGCAATACCTGCAAAGGGTCCGTTTAAAATTTCACTTCCAGTAATTTCAAATTTTCAAGGTAAACCTCTCCCCGATTTTCGTGAAAATTGCGAAATCGGGGTAGTCCCAAATTTTTGCTCTTTACACTATTTACCGGTGATGCCAAGTGCATTTTTTGCCCTCACCCTCGCTAGCGCGATGCCCTTGCCAGTATATTGATCAGCGACGGCCCGGGCTGCGGCTATCCCCCTACGAAATTGTACCAAAAACACTAGGTCAGACCGGTTTTGCGACTTTGTATTTTTGGGAGGTCAGCATTACGCTTACTACTATCGGCTTTTTCTGGCGTGGATTTTAATCCTTAATTTATTTTTTAGTTATTTACTTTTCTCTTATAGCAGGTCACCTCGTTGCCGTCGACAACTACGAACGCCACTGTTGCCAGCACGTCGGCTGTGTTGCAGGTGAGGCCTTAATTTTAATTTTTGGCCAAGATTCCGAGTTGTTTTTGACTGTTTTCTGCGGCGATTTCTTTCGACTTGAAAATTATAGTATTCTCACTATACATTTCAAACATTTTGATATCATTTACACCTTTGTATCTCCAAGGGAAGCCGAGATGCGAAAGTTGGGATCATTTTTCGCTGTCTGCCTGGTGTCCCTAAAATTCTTGACTTCCCGACCCCTTTAAAATCATTTTATATTTTTATTTTATATTTTGATATTATTTTTAGCCGTCAAAAGCACCGATCCCTGCCATCTCGCCGGTCTCGATCCTCGCCCAGCAGCCGCAACAACACCAGCAACAGCAGCAGCAGCAACCACGCCAACCCACCCCATCAACTGCAACTTCGCTGCCCGCCCAGGCATCCCTGGCCCAAGCTGTCGCTTCCAGCTCCACCGCCGCAGTGCGCACCGCCACCCCGGTTGAGGCCAAGCCGAGCGCTTCCCTCGCCCAGGCCCAAGAAATGCAAGCCCTCTCTACCGCCAACCAGGCTGCTCAGCAACATCAACAGCAACAGCAACAACAGCAGCAGCAGCAGCAAGCCATGGAGCAACAGGCGCGACTCTACGAGATCCTCCAGCGGAATATTTTGGCGGCACAGGTATGGTTTAGTTTTCTTTCAAAGAGAGAATTTTTCTTCAGCGCCAGATGTAGGCTGTTTATGGGCAAATACAAAAAAATAATATCGATTTTTCGATAAAATTTGCAAACTCAAGCATTTTCTAAAAGATGGTCTCCCAATTTCACGATTTTGGAAATTTAGTTTTACCCCACCTTTTTTAGGAGCAACAACAACAAGCCCTGGCCGCTCATCAGCAGCAACGGGCTGCCGCCTCGCCAGCGCCGAACGCGAACCAGGCCCAGATGCAAGCCGTCCAGAACCTGCTGCAACAATACAGCCAGGCCATGGCCATGCAACAAAATGCCGCCGCCGTCGCCACCACGCAAAATCAACAGCGCCAACAGCTGTTTCAAGGTACGAATTACGATCTGTTGACTCCGATTTACCGAAAAAATTCTGAATCGCATAAAGCCGGGTTCTCATCGCGGATATTTTACAATTTTTAGTCATACGTAATTACGTACCTTTTCAGCTCTCACCCAAGCCCATGCTCAAGCCCAGGCGATGCAACAGCGAACCGACAGTCCAGGTATGCAGCTGGTTACCTTCTCCCATTAGTGTTCCTTTTAGCGCACTCCACGCACTCGCCTCGTCCCGAGACGTCCGCCACGCCAGCCCACATCCAGATGCATATGCAGCTCTTAGAGCAGCAGCGGCAGCGGATCAAGCAGCGACAGGTGAGCAGACGGAATCTTTTAATTATTTTTGTATATTTGAGATTATTATTGAATATGAAATTCGTTGCAGGAAGCCTACACGACGGAGGAGAGGCGTTTGCGCGAGGTTCAGACACGTCGAGAAAATATTGCCCAAATCAACGCCGTCCTAGTCCAGGTTGGTGCTCGATTCCTCTCTCTCTCTCTCTCTCTCTCTCTCTCTCTCTCTCTCTCTCTCTCTCTCGCTCTCACTCTCTCTCTCTCTCTCTCTCACTCGCTCTCCTTCTAACATCTCCCTTTCCAGCACATCACCCAGTACCAGGCCAACCTCGCCGCCGCCACCCAAATCGGCAACGTCGCGATGATGATCGAGTCGCAGGCAAATATCCAAAAGCTGCACGCCCAGTACTTGATAATGCAAACTGAAGAGCAGCGACTGAAGGGCGGATATGAGGTATGTAACTCCGTTATTTTTTGGATGGTTTCCCATTTTGCAACTTGTATAAATCCGTATTTTTAGCAAGGCATGGTGGTGCTCCAAGAAGCGCAGCTCGAACTCCAGCGCGAGCAGCAACGCCTGCAGCAGATCCAAGCACTGCCCCATCACCACCAACAGCAACAACAACAGCAGCAGCACCTCCCCTCGCCGACCCCCTCGAACATGTCGGCCCGGTCGACGCCCGCGCCGAACAGCGCGGCGCTAGCGGCAGCAATCCAGCAGGTGCCATTGATGGCCACCCCGCAGATGCAGCAACATGTGAGCAATTTTTTAAAATTTGTTTATATAAATAACTTTTAATAAATTGTTTTTTTTTCAGCTTGCCGAGGCGAAGAGTGCCTTCCAGCAAATGAACCAGCACATCCCTCGGTTAACGGGCGTCCCGGCGCATCAGGTTTGTAGTTTAGATTTTTAGCTAGTAGTTAATTTTTAATAGTTGTTTTATAAATTAGTAATATTTTTATACGCTTTTTTGCAGATTCCGACCACTTCGCAAGATCAATCGTCGCAACAACAGCTCCCGTTCGACCAGCGTGCCCCGCTGCAGGAGGCGAGCAATCGTGGCGCTCCGGCCAAGGTTGGTAGCTTACGGGATCGCAAATTTTTCGAGTTATTACGGGAGTGTACTGTTGCCACCACCATATCGTATTACTTAAATGGAGTTGGAAAGAAAGAGAATCAGCTCTTACCTTTCGTTATTAGCTCCGATTTTGATTCGTTGAATTTTTGAAAAAGTAACCATTTATGACTCTTTTTCATCGATTTATGACGAAAAACTCCACTTTTTAGTAGTTTTATTAATTTTTGACAATAAAAACATAGTGAAGTTAGGTCCCCTACCTAAAAATCCTTCCCCCTCCCCTTTAATCACATCTCAAATCAACCACGCCGAAAAAACCCGGGGGGTTCTGCTAGCTCGAGAAAAACCGTTTTCCCACCCGACCGATGCGGGGCGATCCACCGGGCCGATAAGCGATGCGTGGGGGCCGTCGTCGCCCGCAGTAGAAGCAGCACAACGCCAGATATGGCGGGGCTAGCTATGGTGGCGCGCCTTTCCCCCAAAGCCTCTCGATCCGATCCCGGGCCTATCGGGAAAAAACGGTCTTTTTCCCGCTGGGTTTGGCCCAATCCCACGCCTGGGAAAGACGAAGATGGATCAGGGAAGGGATGGGAAAGACGGCTAAAGAACTATGGTATAGCCGCCTCGAAATGTACGGTAGAGCCGTGGAATTTGGCATTGAACGGACAGTATTGGTTAGTGATAAGATAGGCAGGCTAAAAGGGAGGTGAAGGTTCAGCAAAAAATCAAAAGTACGGACGTTAATTAACAAAAACTTGGAAGTTTTTTTACTTGGCGCTTGAACGACGTAGACGTATCGTAACGTAGTCGGGATATTGTAGCCGTGTTTTTTCCGGGCCTGAAGATTACTGTAGCTCATCTTTGGCCGGGTTGGTTTTTAGAAGGGTTTATTGAGGTCTTTTTCGAGCGATTTACCACGAAAAACCCTGACTTCCTGGTGCCTTGAAGGTTATTGTAAATCGAGTTTTTACTGAGCAAGGCTTACTGTAGCTCATCAGGTGGTGTTTTTATTCAACACCAGCGCCCAAAACCCGCTTCGCGGGCCTTGGGCGCTGGGATGGTGCGTTTGCATGAGAAGTTTGACTTTCCGGTAGCTCGGGTCCTTTGGACCCCCCCCCGCACGCGCGCGTGCAACTCGCAAGAATGAGGAAATTTGTATTTTTCCGCATTATGCAAATTAGCCCTCCGGGACCCCCAAAAATGAATAAAACCGGCTTTAACTTTGTAAACTTGTATTTTATCAAAATTCTGACAACGTCATCGGAAACAGAAGGGTCGATTCCCCCGGGTGACGGAGAATTAAGGCTTTTTATGCACGGGAAGGCCCTCAAATCCGGCCTCGAAAGTGACATCCACACACACACACACACAGTTACACGCCAAAATTATATAAGGTAGGATTTCTCTAAGAAAATGCCGACTTTTTCGATTCGAAACTTTCACCTGGCGTTCCGGGAAAACCCCTATTTACGCCCTAAGCTACAGTAATCCATCAATTCCGGGTCCAAACGTCCAATGCCCCCCCTCTGACTAATACGGCCATACGATACGTGTAGCCTAGGTATTTCAGGCTCCCTCCTTCCCCTCATCATTTCCCCCGGATTTTAATTTGGCCACCCCCTGCCCGGGTGGTGTCGAGGGCAACCAGGGCCCGGCTAAATGCCCGGAGGCATTTTTCTTTCGCTCGGCCAGCGGCGTTTCACCCCCACAGCGGGGCCGATGCGTTGGCCGAAGCGGAGGGGGGTGGTCCCCTGGCACTGGGCGGTACCACCGCCGCCCTCTCTCTCTCTCTCTCTCTCTCTCTCTCTCTCGCATCTAGGCTTGGCTCGTCCCCCCTGCTGCCCGAACCAACACAAAAACGAAAAAAAAACGCGAGCGCACATACAGGGAACGGCTTGCGCACAAAAAGGGGAACGCCGTTCGCGCTGGCGGTATAGCCTAGGGAGGGGGAGAGCCGATCCCCCCAAATCTGGGCCAGCATGGTTAGGGAGGGGGAAGTGGAATTTTGGGGAGATCGGATTGGGGCTTTGGGTTACGGTAGGGAACCAGAAATCAGAAAAACAACGAAATCTAGCAGGAAATCAGACACGAGAAAATCTGAAATTATTTATGCGCTTCGAGGTTTAGTTCGTTCTTCCAGTAAATATTCAGATTTAAAGGGACAGCGACATACTTGAAACGATAAAGCGATATAGCCTAAAAGGTGACATTTTTGCCGATAATTTGCGCAAAAGGCCTGAATTTTTGATTGCGTCTTCTGGTAAAGCCTTGGCTAGGCCGTGAATGGATTGCGTCTTACTGCCTCAAAGTGGAATTTTTGGGCGCTAATTTGGCTAAAAACCATGAAGATAGGGCGACGCGCGATTCCTCTGGGCACCGTTATTTTTAGAGCTTCCGGGCCCAAGCTTTAGTTCGGACCCAAACTTTTTTTTCTCACCCTCCTAGCCTAGACTGTACTTTGCCGATGCACATCCTCCTACTTGCTTTCCCAACCACGATCTCCCCCCTCGTTGTGTTGAATTTTTCACCAACACCCACCCGCCACCCCCCGATCCATTGCCGCTCATTTCAGGTCCCCCCTTTCTCCTGCCCGCAGCTGAAGGGGGCACTTTTTAGAACGGCTGCCCCGCATGGAGGGGGGGCGAACGCTTTTTGCGCCAGTCTGACCCCTCCACAAAAACCGCTGCCCATCCTCGAACCTGCAGCAGGCCCTCTGAAATTCTCTGCTCTCTCCCCTGCCTTGATTCCGGGTTTTTGCCTTATTTCTATCTTGCCTCCCTCCCCTCCTCCAGGCTCTCTCCATTTTTAGACACTTTTTTGGGGCGGCGTCCCTGGGGGTCGGGGCACTTTTTTCTGTGGAGTATCTGTGGACCCTCTGCGGGCCCGAGTGTTCCCTGGCGATGCGGGAGGGGGAACGCTTTTTCGCATCTCTAAACCACGGGTTTTTCCGCCCTCCAACGCTCCGCCCCCTTTCTGCGGGAACTTTTCAAGCTGTCAGCCACGCTGGTCTCTCTCTCTCTCTCTCTCTCTCTCTCTCTCTCCACTTTTTCATCTAGCGCACCGAGGCCTCCGATCTAGCCCATAAAAACTCACTAGTTGGCCGGGGTTCTCCCTCTCTTTCTCTGCGCTCTCCCCCGAAAAGACGAACGCTTTCCCCCCGTTGTGTGTGCCCGGTTTTTCCCTCGCCTTCCCACGGCCTCGAACGCTTTTTGCCTGCGTCTCTTACCGAGTACGCGCTGCGCTCCTTTTTCCACCCATTTTTCAGAGCCACAAAAGCCAGCGAGGCTAGAGAGAGAAAGAGCGCGAGCGGCTAGAGAAATAGAGTGTCGCTGGAGCGCCCCCCCCCCCCCCTCTGCGTCGCCGCGGTCCATTCCGTACTGGTCGCTACACTCACATTCCCTCAGCCCCCTCCCCCTTCTTCTTCTACTCATCCTCCCCCCTCTACGGGCCAGATGAACCCGAGCGCCCTGGCCGAGGCCATCTTGGCCCTGCAGCGCCGCCCGGTCATCCCGCAACTCCCCCTCGGCGTTCAGCGCAAAATCTCGGAACCTATACTCCCGCTGTCCGACCCGCTAGTCCATATGAATTCCCTCACCTACTTCCAAATTCAAATCGCCATCCAGAACATGCAACAGCAAAATATTTTGCACACCTCCAACCCGAACCCCTTGGAGATCCCGGTGCTCTCCCAGTCGGGCCTTGACTCGGCCGCCCAGGTCATTGGCCTTACTGCCAACTTGATAAATAATGTCATCTCAATGACCACCAACAATGGCACCATCGGCCAGTTGGCAAACCACCCGAACATGCAGGCCCAGGCCGCCAAGCTGATGCACTCGTTGCACAGCCTTTTTCTTGCCGGCAACTCTGCAAACGAGGGTCACCAAGCCGCCCTCCTGGCTTCCCTACTAGAAATGCCGGGCGGTCTTCAAAATATTTCACTACTCGGCAATATTCTGAAGCCCCAGCTCATCCCCCAACAAATTCAACCCCAAGTTCAACTACCAGCACCCCCTCCACCCCCTCCGGCCCTTCAGCCCCCTCCGGTGATACCCCGGAAAGTCGAGCGCTCGGAATCGCGCCGGAAACGCGGACACATCGAGAAAATTGTCCAAAACCCCAAGCGCCACTCCCCCGAGAACAAGGAGCCGCAAAATGGGGCTCAGGTCCTGCAAGAAATCCCCAAAGAAACCGTGCTGCCTGCCCACATGGCCTCCCGTTTCGACCAGATCTTTGACGAGATCTACGGGCCGAGCACCGACGACGTGGTGGAGGTGAAGGACGAGGTGCTGGATGTGGAGGGAGAGGCGGAAAAGGAGACCGAGAACCGCAACCCCCGCCTGAACGTCTTGAGCATCTCGGACTCGTCGGCTTTCCGAAAGGTTTCCAAGGGTCCGGAGCCCGTGGGGGAAGCCAAGCCGATTAATGAAGCTCGAAATTCGACCCCCGATGGTCGGGTAGATGACCTGGACGGGGCTTTATTGGAGCGGATTGCGAGCCTTGGACTGGCGCATTTTACTGAGTCCGGACACCCGCGACATTTGGACGAGGTGAGCGAGTGGTGTATAAAGGGATTGAGTGTAGTTTGAGGGATTTATAATTTATAATTTTTTTCTAAGAATTTGAGATAGACAGTTTACATGTCGAAATATTTTTTGAGTCCTGGCTTCATTCCATTGCGCCGTTCCTTTGTTTTCTCCCGAAAAAACATCTCGAATTCCCGAATAACAAAATTCCAACGTCAGCTCACGAAGACTGATTCACGAATACGTTCTTTTCCCTATGTGGCCTCTCCCGCCGACGCATCAAATGTTATTCGGGGCTCTAACAGTTTTGAAATTTGAAAAAATGAGAATTTGTGTCTGAAATTCCGCCCCAAAAACTTGAGGATAATTTTTCTCAGCATTTCGTGAGCAATAGCGCATAATCCCGAACTTCTACACGACTCGATACCTTTAACGACTTTCCCCCTAACTATTTCAAAGATCCGCCTCCAACCCCTCATTTGTTGACCTCGCTGACCTCAAAAACCTGCACTTACTATTTCATGCCCTCCACCGTACTCCCCTTAGTGTCGATGAGGACTCAAAATTCTGCGCCCTCCCCTTTTTGTTGACAGCCTCATGCAGCGGGGGGCGGTTGTGGTGCACCGGGATCGCACTGGCGGGGGGTTGTTGTCAGTAGGCCCGCAGTTCCGCGACGCTCCCCCCTCCCTTCCCTCCCAGGACGGCGCGAACGGCTGCTGCAAAACATGGCCAGCCAGCCGCCGTGTTTTCCCCGATCCCCGCCCTGCCCTAATTCCGGCGAACTTTTGAGCCGAGTCCCGGCAGAGACAAATAGTAGGCCCACCAAAAAATATTGGCACGGACGGGCAGAGGCCGATTTTTGTTCTGAGCCAGTGAGAGATAAAAAGAGCCAGAGCCAGAGCGAGAGATAAACAGAAAACAATAGGGGTGCCCTCGGGGCATTGACGCCTAGACCAAAATACATCCCTGCATCCCGCTGCCTGGATTCCGCGTCAAAACAAATGACGTTTTTCCCATCGCACCAACAGGCTTTTCAAATAAGTTATGGACTTTGGACGCGAAAAATATCTTGCCTTCAACGGCCCTTTAGAATGTTTTTAAAGAAACCTGGCGTGGCATTACGTTTATGCAGAACGCCGATCGGACACTTGTGTCTATAGGAGCGTGGCGTAGCGCATGGTTGAAAAACTTTAAAAACCTAGCAGCTTGTATTACGAATATGCAGCGCGCAACACGTACCAACGTCTAGAGAAGCGAATCCTATCGCACGGTTTGGAAAAAAAATAGTTTTTAACGGATCGGTCTTTAAAAGCCCTGGGTTACGCCGCACTCCTCTAGACCTTCATACTTACTTCGATTGCTAGTCGTATTTTATGCTGGTTTTTAAGTTAACCTTGATTTTTTGGACCTGCAAACTCAAATTTTGCAATCTTTGCCCTCACCCCAATCAACAGACCACAATTTCAACCGCCGGCAGACCGGCAAAATTTTCTAGTCCACCCGAACTCTGTGTTGACCGTCATCGGTTCGGCGGACTCTTCCGAAATGGAGGGAACGCGGGGGGTTGTTTTTCATGGCCTGGCTGGCCGCCCGCCGGCGGGGGAAGGTGCTCCATGTGAAAAACATAAAGGACTACGGTAGCCTCTGGGAAAAAAGACCTTTATGCGGTCTCGGGTTTAAAAACTGTGTGAAGCTGGTGCATTTTAAAATCGATTTTGAAATGGTGGTGGCAACAATACTCTAAAAAGGCCTGAAATTGAAAAAGCAGATTAATTAAAGTCGGTTCTAACCTTTTCATTTTTCAGAAGCTCAGCTGCGACTGGCGCGGTAATGTGATCCTGAAGCAGGCGGAGGCCGAGGTGGAGATGTACCTACTCCGCGGAGATCTCGACTACGTTCGGAGGTATGTTTTGTAGTTTGGGTTCAACTGTTATTGTTTCACTATCAAATATTGAAAAATTTTCTTTACTTTTTAGTAAAATTTATTTTCATGGGGAACCAAGTCTATTATTTAGGATGATCGGCGACTGGCGCAAGATGCAGAACCTGTGCATCCGGATCAACCAGCGGATGCGCATGGACGACGTGCACGTGAACGGTGGGCTGAGAACTGCGCTTTCGAATTTCCCTGTTGTGTATCTTTAAAAAGAGAAATTCGCTATACAAAATTTCCGTTCACTTTTTTTGCGTTCAATCGGTCACCCCCCAAACGCTCGTCTCCCCTTTTTCGGTCCTTAAAAACGATTCTCTCTGCGGCGCGCCTAGGCGCGCCCCTCCCTTTCTTTGATGGTATGCGAGCGCATAGTAACCGCTGTGGGCAGCAGCATTTACAGTGCACGGGCGGAACGAGTTTTTCCTTGTGCTTTTCCCCCGCTCGGGCCGGGGGGGGCTTCTTCTCTTTTTCCGAGCGCAACCTCCCCCAGGGGATACCCTTTTTCGGGGAACAGCGGATTAGGATAGGAACCGGGGGATACGGTGGGTGGAGAGGGGTACTGTAGCTGGGTTACCTAGGAAACGGAGTAGTTAATTGGGTTCAATTCCTAGCGAAGATCGAGCCGGAATCTCTGAATTTTAATACCGATAGCCAAAATTACGATAGGGCCAAAGTGCCGACAACGAAAATTTCGAAAAAGACATTTTTAACATCGAAAATGCCGACAGTCGTCAGCCTAAATTTTACTACAATAACTTTCAAGTTCCGCGCTTTTGGCTGTCGACATTTCGAAAGTCGGTGTTTTATCTGTCGGTACTTTTAGATAGTTATTATATTTTGTCTGTCGGTATTTTTGATCCAGATCGCCGGCATTCTTTTGCTGCTTCCGCTAACCAGGTCAAGCTCGCCTTCTAGCTTGCAAGCCGCTCTGCAAACTTCACAAAGCTACTACCCTGCCCAGACATTCCATATTTTCGACCTATGCACCCAGGGACTAGCGGCACTCCGCTCCTGCTAGACCACAGCCCCGCAGAAAAAGGTTCCTTGTTGTTTGGGGAGTGCTGGCTGGCGGGCTGGCGGGGTGAATAAGGCATGTTTTCGCCGCCCTGGAGCCCGAGCGAACCCCCAACGCGCAGGGGGGGAACTCGGCGACGAACCAGTACGCTGCACGCCTCGGCCAAGTGGCCTATTTTGGAGCACCACAGGGGGATGGCTCGATTGGGGGAGAACGCCGAGTGGGGGGGCGTTGAGCATCAGGAGAAGCTAGCTGCTGTTCTTTATGGGGACAATGAAAGGGGACGCTTCTCCTAGGTTTATTTTTTAAAGGGAGAGTGACAGAGATATTCTTGAAAATCTCAGTTTCCAAAGCTCTTTTTCGAAAATCCACCTTGTCGAAAGCCATTTCCGAAAATTGTTTGAAAATCTCAGGATTCTGAATTTCCAAAAGTTCAAAATTTTTCAAAAATTTTCAAACAAAAATTTCGAAAAGCGACGATTTTCGAGCAGGCTTCTAATCCCATCTTCCCTTATTAATATCTTCTTTCCAGAGACCGTCCGAAAGATGCAGCTAGCCGACGTGGCCGTCCTGCTCTGCCTGCCCGTCGGCGAGACGTTCGACGAATTGGCCAGTCAGCAGTCGGCCTTCTCCGCCCAGTTCGTCGAGTATCTGCGCAGCAAGGCTGTGGCTGGCGTGGCGAACGTGCCGCAAACGGTTGGTTTTTGCGAGTTTAAACTTGATTTTTGCAATAAGTAAAAACTAAAGCGTACTTCCCCTTCCGAAACACACAAACAACGTAATCAGTAGCTATTCGGAGATGGCCCAGCCTCGCGGCTTTCAACACGTCCAGACACTTCCTCATCCAAAGATCCCGTCGATTCCGGGCCGGGCGCACAAGTTCAACCCGGGGCCTCTGAAAAACAAGCGGCGGTGGAGCAAGGGCTCGTCGGGGCCAGAGAATGGCGAAGTGAGAGTGAAAGATAGAGAGCAAGATCGTGAGCGCCAGCCACACCCCGTAAACATATCGGCCAACGGGGATGGCCTGGGCCCAAAATACGAGAGGGCGAACAATAATTAGGGCCTCCCCGGCGGGGTCCCGGCTGCAGCCCCCGGGTACAAAATTGGGCCAATGCCCCCCACGGCGTCGGCGATACTACCTACCCCCCCCCGGTCATAACAAAAAAAAATTATTCACCTTTCCCCGCGCGAATAATGAGCTCCACCCACCTTTCCGGGAGCGGCGTCGGAAAACAACCGGTGTCTGGCCGCGAAGGGTGCAAACCTGAGAGATTGAGAATCATGTCTACTGTCGTGCTCCTTTAACTCCCCGTTTTTCAGGAGCAATCTTCCGTGTGCATGGCCCAGTTCTTCCCGCCGTCCGAGTTTGCCGACTACTACCTGAAGAGCCTCAGCAAGGAGTACTTTGACCGGATTCAGCTGCGAAAGGTGAGAAATTGATGTCGTTTTTGTGATTTTGGGCTTAGGAAAATGCTTGTTTTGGGGAAACGGCATTAAGATATTGTTTGCATTCAAATCAAAATAAACGAGACTTGCCATTACCGGCGTTGGATTTTCGAGTCCACGACAGGCATTTATAGTTCAAAAATCAAATTTTTTGCCTTTCCGGTCCCTTTAAAACTGGTTAGCCGTGAGTCCATATTCAAACTATAATTTACCCGTCTTTTGCAGTTGAGCTACCTCCTCTGCGTCGTCTGCCCGGATGAATAGCCCATCAAAATCATCAAGCCGATGCCGCCACCACCATGTGCAAAAACTTCTTCCTCTCTCTGTGTGTAATCCCCTCGTTTACTATTTTCGAATTTAGTCCCTTCCTTCTTCCTCCTCCTCTTGAGATCCTATAGGCCACAGGTACACACTCACCCCAACTACCTCGACAACCTCCCCGCTATTCCCCCCGCCCCAGAAAATGCTGTATACTGGTCTTTTTTACTTTTTAAATTTCCAATTTTCTTTCCCCCTACCTAACAACACCTAAGGGTACAGTCCGTTGTGCTACCGGTATATCCAAATTTCGCCCCGCCCCCCATGAATCAAAAATTGTGCTCTCCCATTAACCCCTCATCCAAACAACGAACCATCCGCGACCACTGTGCATTATTTGGATCGGCGCGGAATTTTTTTCAAGCGGATGTTCGATCCCCCAATCCATCTATCTATCTATCCATTTGACCCCAATTTCCATATGCTAAACGTGTCCTTTTTATCTCCAATTTCTTAAACCACCCACACCGTACCTATTTTTTGCACCGTGTTTATTTCCCATTTTTTTGAAATTTCCTACGTTGAATTTGAATTTTTTGGAAATGGTCCGCCAACTAGTCCTATATGGGGAATTTAATTCTTCTTCTTCTCCTGCGCGCGTCCCCATCGCGTGTCTGTGTGTGCGTGTTTTTGTCGTTCCCAATTTTTCACGAAACTACTCCGATGTATGCAAGCAGAAGTAAAGACTATCCTGAAAATATCGTCTCACTCTCAGAAATACACCCCAAAAACTACACCCGATTTATTCCGTACGCACAGAAGCATATTCACAAAGAAAGACCTGAATTAATTACTCACTAGAAGTTTAATATTTCAAATCGGCTTCTAAACATCGTTGAAGGTAGCTTTTTGCTTCTGCATCGCCGCCATCCCGGCCGTCATCAGATCCTCGCTGAGCAGCTGCGATTGGTTCCACACCTGGAACAAGCTTTGAACTTAGAAGTTTTTCGTTAGAGTCCAGATTTACGTAAAAACGTTGCACATTTTCACTAAAAAGAAAATCTTCCTTTCTTTTATGAAAAAAAAGACCGATTCAAATTTTCTAACGAGGGATTCCCCTTCGCAAAACAACTAAATTTTCTCAAAACATTATCTCCTTGCTGATCTGGACGCATAGAAAAAACACCGAATCCTTATTTCCTCACTGACCCTGACGAATTCGAGCGAATCCCGGATCGTGTGGTTCCGCGCGTAGTTCAGGTTTATTTTGGTGCCTAAAAAGGATTTCTTCAGATTAAGCAATAGCTTACCCTGCACAGCAATTGGGCTTTTCTCGGCAATCCGCGTCGCCGTTGCCAACGCTTTCTCGATGACGGCCCGCTGATCGGGTAAAATGTCGGAAATCATCCCGTATTTCAAGGCTTCGTCGGCAGTGAAATCGCGCGCCGTGTAGGCCAGCTCGCGCGTCAAGGAATCGTTGCCGACGAGCTAAAAAGTCGTTGAAAAATAGGTTGAACTTCGAACCTTCTGGATACGATTCAACGTCCCCACATCGGCGGCCAACCCAACGTCAACTTCCTGAAATACTTATGCTTATTCATAAAACAACGAAAAAGTATGTTAACTACCATAATGCCAAATTCAAAACCTTTGGCATCTTCCCGAAATTTCATAACAGCGAATTTCCTCAACAATTTTTTCCTGTGGGCCTAGTAACCGAATACACAGTTTTTCTGTAACGGGATTGGTAACAAAAACTAGGAAAAAAGATCTGACATTCAGAAATTTGCGGGAAAAAATAAAATTTTCGACCCACAAGTTTTTTTATTCAAATTTGTAGGTTTTGCGCTTGCGCTATTTATAGAAAAAAAAGATCGACTTGCTCCGAAAAGCGTCAAGCAAACTACCTTGATCGAAAACACGGCATCGTTAGAGGCATATCGAATGTCGCACGCCGTAACCAGGTCAATCCCCGCGCCAACGCAGTGAGCGTGAATAGCGACGATTACCGGCTTCGTACAAGACTCGATCGACGTGAAGCTTTCCTAGAGAATTCATTGAAAACAAGTCTCAAACATACTTGTGCGTCCTCGATATACTTCCCGAGTTTTCTGGCCTTCCTCGAGGTATCGAGCTCCGGGTCGTTCGTGATTCCCATTAGCTGCTGAGAATTTATGTAGAAAGATCCATCTCACGCACAAACCGTGATGCCCTCCTTCAAGTCGATGCCCGCGCAAAAGCTCTTCCCGCGCCCGGAAATGACGATCGCACGGCATTTCGGGTTGTCGGAGAGGTCGGTGAAGATTTTGCGGAGCTCCCTAAAATGAGAAAATTTTGCAAAAACCCTTAAAATTTACGATACAGAATTTCAGTCATTTCAAAATCTAAAAACGATCAAAGACCTACTTGTTCGCCCTAGCAATCCGATGCAAAAATTCCGTGCACAAACCTCCACTGCTCGATGGCAAACGTGTTGCGTTGCGCGGGGCGGTTGATTTCGACGTGGAAAACGTGGGATGACGGCTCGGAGATCTAATAAAAAGCTTTTTTTGTTTATTTTACTAGCCAAAATACCTCAAAATCAGCAGCAAGTCGACGACTCGTCGATAATCGGGCTGCCTGGCCGAGTATCCGCCGGGATAGCATAACCTGTAAATACAGAATTCTGTTTCCGGTAATGTGAGCAAGAAAACAAGAGAAATAAGCTGTTATAGGTCGAGAAACGTGGTCGCAAAGATAAGTTCTTGGTTTGAAAGGCAGGGAACGTTCCTCGTAATCAACGATACAGGCAGGGGAAGGGTGAAAGTTGGTCGAGCAAACTACGAAACCACATTCAACAGCTGCGCCAACCCGCCGAAATGGGAGGAAAGCGATATAAAACTGAACAATCGTCGAGCAGAAGCTTATTACCGAAAAAAAATCGAAAAGAAGCATTGAAAAGCTAGGAAAACTATTTCCTTACTGAGGAGAAGTTTAACACCTAGAAAGGTGCCATAAAGTTTTCCAGTAACTATATAAAGTTTAATTTAGACTTCTAAGCTTCCAACAAATTCAGGTCCGGGCATACCGCGACGTAATCGATTCTCCGTGGCGCACAGTGTGTCGTTGCTGTTGTTCCGCGCTATCGGAGCAAAGCAAAAACGACAATTCCGCCACAGCCAATCAAGACAGAAAACGTATAGAAAACGTAAAACAAGCAAAGTTTAAAAGATAAGGAAGAAATTTAATTGCATTTTCCAGAAAAGCCCATTCCGGCCACCCCTTATTACGATTTCCGTACTGTGGAATAGCGCGTAGTCGGCGTTACGGTCCACTGCCTGTCAGGGCGCGCATGGGGGTGGGGGAGGGCGTGGCCTAGTGGTCTAAGGCGCCGGTCCCAACTCCAGGCAGAGGGTGCTGGTTCGGTTCCTCTGACCGACAGAAGCCCGTTAGGGTTTTGCGCTGTTTTGCAAAAGGTACAGAAGGGGATCCAAAACCGATCTAAAGAGAAGCCCAAGCCGAAAATAAAAAGTTTTGCTATTTCCCGGGCTCTAAAGAAGAAATTGTCTCAGATGGTGCCGATTCGCTCAATAAAGGAATATCATAATAACAAAGACATGTACTGCCCAAATTAGCCACAATTCAATGATTTCAAGCCCCCTTCATCCGTACAAAGCTGAAAAATTTGACTAGCTTCAGTTGTTCAATTATTAGGATCTCTCATTCAGCACCTTTTTTACTTCCCAGGACGGCAGAAGTACCCAATTTGACCGTACCGATTCTTTTCCGATGAATATCGGTGAACAAACCCGGAAGAATGCGGCTAAACGCAAAGAAAAACGCGGCGCACAAAGCTCGTATTTTCGCAATTTTTCCGGCTTAAATCCTAGATAAATCCTTATTTTCACGCTAAATCACCCATAAAACCCCTTCCAGAATGTGCGCAAGAGTCTTCTCTATATTTCGTATCGGTGGACTCCCCACAACAACGTCGTTTTCAAAAGTTATAGGCATTTGAAGTTGAAAATTTGTGCGTTTTTTTGGCCCCTTTCTTTGCCTCTCTCTCCGAAAAATCATGGATCGGTAGGCAAGCATAGTGTGCGCGCGGGCATAGGAACGCTACGGAGCGCCCCCACCTCTCATGAGCGCATTTCTTAATATCTGACAGCCAGTGGGTCGCGAGTTCGATTAGATTTTCCATCGATTTTCGTCATTTATCGAGGCGAGATCGTGGATCGTTCACGGGCCCAGAGGGATAAAAACCGGCCCGTGGATCGTTCACGTTTCCAGAAATTAAAATTCTTTTTCAAGTTTAAACTGTCGTATTTATTTATTTTAATGTCTTTCGGCCCCCTAGAAATAACGCCCTTATGTATTTAACTAGCTGCAAAGAGTGCTTTCTCCTGTAAATGACTCCCTTATCTCTCCCTGTTCTTATCTTGTTAGCATATCTAGGTTTTTGGGGTGTGTTAAATACGGTAGACCGTTAAATACAGGAAGGGCGCGAAAGGGCGTTAACTTTCGTTTCGTTTCAAGTCATTCCATCTAAACTTTTGTAATTTCGATATTTCAGGTTTGCGCGAGGCTCGGATTTCTGTGATGGCAAGGAAGAAGCGCGGTTCAACAACCCGCATCGTCCGAAAGCACCCGCGCGGAGCCGGCGTCCGAATCGTCCGGGTCCGAGATGACAAGCTGTTCGCCTCGTTTGTGGACACCCCGCTGTACCACAAGCTCAACCTGTCCAGCGTGTTGGAAGGATCCGGCTTGCATTTGTCTCCGGTGATTTTTTATTCAGACTTTTGGTTACCCCATTTCTTGATTTCGTCTGAAGTTCAGGTTTACATTAAAATGGCCCCTTCCAAATTGAACCAAATTTTTAGCTCTATTAATGGTGCCCTTCCGTCTTACCAGTCTTCACATTATTCCTTGTTTAGGCGGTTGTCTCGGATGTTTCGCAACTAGAAATACAACGTCGTGCTCCACCAAGAGAAGAATCGCCCGAACCGACGCAACCGGCGCCCACCCTGAACTTATCCACGGATGATGAAGACTTCAGTTTGATCTACGCGATCAACGGCGTCGTCCAGAATTCAAAATCTTTGAAGTATGGCATTGTTTTTTAATATCACCTTGGAATTTAGACATCCGGTCAAGCGCCCGTCGGCTCGGCACCATGATACGGCCAGTGCCTTGCCATGTTGTAGCACGAAGGGCCCTGAAGTCTTGCCTCGCCAATGTAACAATACCGTTCCGAGCGTTTGCGCGAAGTCAGATGCTTCCGGTACAAGCTCGTCCACTCTACAAATTGTCGACGCTCAAAGTCCATTTGGTTCGCACGCTGCCAAGAAGACGTCTTCGACACTCTCGGCCATGGACGTTTCGCCCACTCAACAAGCCGCCTACACTCTAAGTGAAATCACGTTGGACACTGCCAAGACTTTCTCGGAACGCTCGAACATCAAAAATACGCGCTCTCATCACCTCGCCGACACTCCAATACGAGGCGTGTCGGACGCTAGTGCGGCCGATAGCCCTTTGCGTTCTACAACTCTCTGTTCACCTAGCCGGTGTGAAAATTCGGCAATCCTACGCGGCAACATCCTCTCGCCTACTCTGAAAAGTCTCGGATCCGCTCGCTCCTATGCTTACGAAGGTTTCAAGCCCGGCGTTACTTCTACACCGATCCGCGCCAGTTCGAGTGTTGGTTTTTCAGAACCACTTTTCAACTTTCATCATTTTTAAACTAGGTCTTTTATTTTAGGCTCTGCCACACGACGATTCTGTGCCCCAACTCTCTGGAGCCGCAAGCGAAAAAGAAGGGACAACCTCGGGATCTGCATTGAACGCCAATAGCCGCTCCAGTGGTCAAGCAAAGCCGACTTCGACTGATCTCTCGACAGCTCTTCTATTGCCCACTTCGCAGAGAAGTCTCGGATCCGCTCGCTCCTATGCTTACGCAGGTTTCAAGCCCGGCGTTACTTCTACACCGATCCGCGCTAGTTCGAGCGTTGGTTTTTCAGAACCACTTTTCAACTTTCTTCATTTTTAAATAAGTCTTTCATTTTAGGCTCTACCACAAGACGATTTTGTGCCTCAACTCTCCGGCGCCGCAAGTCAAAAAGAGGGGCCAATCTCGGGATCTACATTGAACGGCAACAGTCGCGCGAGTCGTCAAGCAAAGCCGACTTGGGCTGATCTTTCCACGGCTCTCTTATTGCCCACTGCGAAGCGAAGTCTCGGAGCTGCTCATTCCCGTGCCTACGAAGGTTTCAACCCCAGCGGGACTTCGACACCGATCAGGGCCAAATCTTGTGTAGGTTTTTTCGAACGCTATTCTAATTTTCGTTGTTTTTTAATTATGTACTTACAATTTAGCCGCTGCAACAGGACACTTCTCTGCATCAACTTTGCGAAGCCATACGCCAACAAGAAGGTGCCTCTTTCGGAGGGCTCTCGGGTTCGACCCTACATGCCAGCGGCCGGTCGAGTTTCCATGAGGGTGGCCCTGCGGATGTGTCGGCAATCCCACACGAAAACGTCATGTCGCCATGTCCGAAACGAAGTCAGCTCTTTGGTGCATCTTTCGACGATGGTTTCGACCTAGAAGCTCCGACCACACCGACCAGGCCCAAATCCCGGGTCAGTTTTTTTTGCCGTCTTGTTGAACGTGAAGCAATTGTGCTACGTCCTAGTTTTTCAGGCTCTCCCGCACCAAACTCCCCTTCAGCACCTTTGCCAGGCAACGGGCCAAGATGGCGTGCAAGAATTTGATGCGATCCCGATCGAGTAAGCTTTTCTTCTTTCTTTTACCTGGCTATTCTAGACCCTTATGTTTTTCGTTTGATCATACTTTTGTTTAGTTGGGACACCGTGGTCAAGCTCGGCGAAGGGACCTATGGCGAAGTTTTCGCCGCGGAGTGGAATGGCGAGGCGGTAGCCTTCAAGGTATCATTTTTGCGTGCCAATCTCGTTCTATTATATTATCGATTCTTTCTTAGATCCTGATCTTTAGGTGATCCCATTCCTCTCCGAGCCCCTGCCAGAAGCCCAACAATTCCGCATCAACGGCGAACTACCGCGACTGGCCGGGGACGTGCAGGTCGAGGTAGTTTTCTTCTGATTGGTTTTTTAAAATTTTCTTTAGCTGACCCTCTGCCAGGAATTGTCAAGACTCGCCGGCTCATACCCGCGCAACAGTACGCCCAATTTCGTGCGCACCGTCGACGCCCGGGTTGTGGGAGGTTTGTGCTCAAATTTTTCAGTAAATATTTTCTTTAGGGCAATGGCCGATCCAACTACTCGAGGCGTGGGACAACTACGCCGCCAAGAAGACCACCGAGAACGACCGGCCTGACCCCGCCCATGTTGACGTAAGCTTTTGTGAATCTTTTTCGTTCTTCCTATCATCACTGGCAGCGGCTTTGCCGCAAGGTTGGAAGCGGCTGCACTTCGAGCTACCCTTCCGCTCCTTCCCCTCGCCCGCTGGCCTAGAACTAAATATTTTTTCTAGTTGCTGCACCACCTCCTCATCGTGCAAAGCAACGGCGGCGCAGACCTGGATCACTTTCGAGTGGAGACGGAGGCCTACTATGCCTCCATCCTCTTCCAGGTCTGCCTCTCCCTCGTTGCCGCCGAGAAGCAGTTGAGGTTCGAGCACAGGTAATAAAGCATTTTACACTTGAGAAATTTTTTTTTAAGGGACCTCCACATTGGCAATGTGTTGGTCCAGGAGACGACCAACGTGCGCATGGATTACAGGCTGGACGGGGCCGACGTCGCGCTCAACAACCACGGCATCCGGGTCACCATCATCGACTACACGAATGCGCGCCTGGAACGCGGTCGGTTTTTAAATCACGACTTTTACTAAACTTTGAATTTAGACGGCAACACGATCTACTTCGACCTCGAGCAGGATCCGGACATCTTCACCGGGAAGGGCCTCTACCAGTTCGATGTCTACCGCCTGATGCGCAAGGCCAACGGGTCAGTAAACACTTTCCGGATTTCATTTTCAATTTTTACAGGCGCGACTGGGCGCGCTTCGAGCCGAAGTCGAACCTGCTCTGGGTCCACTACCTAAGCAAGGAGATGCTCAAAGGAAAGAAAAAGGTTTGATCTTCCTTTTCTATTAGTATTTTTTTTTTCAGGGCATCTCGAAGTCGCGAAAGCAGGCGTTGCAGAAGGTCTTCGACAAGGCTCTCAAGTACGACAGCATCACAGCCTTCCTGGAAGAGCCGGCCCTGCAGCAACTGAAGGCCCAGTACATCGTCAACACCTAACGACCACAATTATTACTGTGATTAATTTCTGCCTGAAGTATATGCATAATTGTGGATGATCTGTGACGTATCCTCGCCTACATCTGTGATTAATTTCTGCCTGAAGTCTATGCATAATTGTGGATGATCTGTGAGGTATCCTCGCCTACATCTGTGATTAATTTCTGCCTGAAGTCTATGTATAATTGTGATGATCTGTGAGGTATCCTCGCCTACATCTGTGATTAATTTCGGTTTTAAATCCGTGCATAATTGTGATGATCTGTGACGTATCCCCCCCTACATCTGTGATTAATTCCTGTGATTGGTTTTTGAATAAATGACTATGGTTTTTTGAACCAAAGCCGTGAACTTTTCGTAGATCTTTGGGCAGCTTGTCTCAAACATTTATCCACACACACAAAATCAGGCATATATTGCTGGCAAATTGTGCTTTTTTTGCGCGAAATTCGATATTTTCGTGCTTCCCCGCAAGAAAGATTGGTAAGCCTATCTCGGCTTCCTATTTGTATACAGCTGTGCAAAGTATACCTAAAGGTTCGTATTGCTCTAGCACCCGTAAAGGTGAAACGCGCATCTCCAGGGGACACACCTTCTTTGGCCGAGAAAAGCTGAATGAATCCCCACAAAATAGCCCTCTCGAACCATAATTGAATCTCTACTGGTCTTTTTATTTTAAGTGAATTTATTAATACCGAAAACACCGAGAAAATATAGTCTTTGGAAGGTTTAAGATTTTTGAGCCCAAATTGGCGGAAACGTCGTTTTAATAGTGGCGGAATCGTCGTTTTCGCCGTTGGCAGGAATGTCGATGAGACGCGTTTAAAACACGTTGGATATCTTTTAGCATTCTTCGTGCACTTTAAAGTAGGCCAGGCCACTTTCCGCTTTCCGCCATCAGCATCTTCATCGGGCATCATCATCAGCCGCCTGGGCCCGTGGATGTTTGTCTTGGCTTCGCGCCTGCACTTGGCGGCTAATTTCTGATCGGCCGGTTGTGAGGCGGGCCGGCAAACATCTTCAAGCCGCGCATCTTTCGGCACACGCGCTGTTTTTTTTTGGGTTTCCGCGATTCTTTGTTATTTCCAGTGTTCGGATGTAATATTTTTTAAGATGTCAAAACTAGTTTTCCCTCTCAAATATAGCTACATTTTTTTAAACTGCCTATTCAATTTCTTGCTATGACACTAATAGGCATTTCTGGACTTATAGAACAAAAAAATAGGGCTGCCCTTCGGAAGTTTTCGTTCTCCAAGCAAAAAACCACTCGCCTTGTTGCGAAAAAGTCTCCTCGCGCTGGCAATTGAGCGGGGCCAACTAGCGCGCAGCCGGTTTGGCCACTGATGGACCCCCGTTTTTGCGGGCGATCGGTTTCAAGCGGGCCGGCCAACGGCCACCGCCGACCGGTTCGATGTCACCTTTTGCTTTTGTGCGATGGCGTGGCGATGGCTCGGATGGGCGATCAGCCAGTTTCTCACTTGAGCACCGCCATCTGGCTAACCAATTATCGCTGGCGGCCGTCATTGCGTTGCCACGATGGCATGCGACTTTTGTATATTTTGGTGGCATCTTATAAGAATTTTAGAACGTTTTCGGGAACTAAAACTGAAAAACTATGGTTATAAGTCTTTTAGGTCTTTAAAAGGGGTCAAAGAGCTCTTAAAAAAGTTAAGTAAAGCTAAAAAAAAACATAAAATCAAGTAAAAATGTTCGATCTAGCGTTTTTAGTCTCAAAGAAAAGTATTTGGATGTTGAAACCTCTTTTTGAAGCAAGAGGCAACGCCAAGGTTCTTAAAAACTTCCATTAAGGCATCTATCGAATTTTACAAAAGAAAAACAAAAAGTACGCTCAGTAAATGCAGTTATCTACACAAACCCGAGGGCTTCTTGATTGCAAACACAAGAATTCATCGCGCAAGAAAATCTCACTGGTTTCCCATTGCCAGTCCTCTTTTATACCCCCACCCCCACTAGTGAGCCAAGCGCCGCGTGTTTCGGCAGCAACGGGTGAGCATCGGCTTTATTGATGTCCCAGTGCTCTAAACTGTTTTATATGTTAAATTCAGCGCGATTTTTACTTTGTTTAATGTTTGAAAATACACTAAGGCTTTTTTTGCGTTTATCAATTGGGAGAAAGCTGATAAAAACTGATAATACTACTTTGAAATTAGAGTGCGGCTTATTCAAACCGGGTTTGAATAAGATTTCCGTTATTCAAATCAAACCGGTTTGATTTGAATACGGGATCCTTATTCAAACCAAACCCGGTTTGAATAAGGATTCCCAACTCAAACCAAACCAAACCGGTTTGAGTAATTTGAACAAGGTTTGAATAAGAACCATTCTCCAAAACGGCCTACTTTCTGCACTATTTTTGCGTTTTGGCACCAATCTATGGGCGGTTCACTTTAGGGTCGTTCGGCAGCATTCCTGACAGGTTTTAGGGGTTGGCGGACTATTCCGAGGCATTTTTTCTGGCAGCCCTGCCAAGGTTATCACGACCATTCGGATAATTGTGAACGGTCGTGAATGCCAAGCCTATGGTTAAAAAGTGTGTAAACTCTGTAAACTAAGCCAATTTCATCATTATAATGGTCATGCAAGGTTTTGGAAGGGATGCCTCGAAATCTTAGCTGATTAGCATCCATCAGATCGATTAACATGCTGATTTGCCTGTTGTTCAAACCAATTCAAACCAACTCAAATCTGCTCGGTTTGGTTTGGATAACGGATCCTTATTCAAACCAAACCGGTTTGATTTGAAAAGCAGATTCTTATTCAAACCGCCCTTATTCAAATCAAACCGGTTTGAGTCGCGATTTGATTTGAATAAGCCGCACTCTACTTTGAAATAGACCGATCAACTAATGTATGCACTTTTCTCCGTCCTTTCTTGCCTGGACTGTATCCATATCCCTTAGTCTCGATGACAGCTTCTCACCGGACCGGCTTCTGTCTATTTGGGTCCTGGGGGGCTGCGCCTGGGGGGGCTCCGATCCGCCATCTCCCCCACCGGAGGGCCCAAATCCGCAAATATTCCCGCACACGAGCAAGCCTCTGAGGGCTGGACAGAAGCTGTGTGTTCTCATTATGCAAATCGGGGGGCTGTCCGGTCTAATGCTAGTTTTCTATATAACGCACTTTCTCTCTCTCTCTCTCTCTCTCTCACTCTCTCTCTCGCTATATCTCTCTCTTTCTCTATATCTCTCTACAGCTCTCGCTCTGTCTCCTTGCATAGCTTTCTTTGTCTATCTGTGTATGCGCATCCTTCGCCCTCTGCCTTTCTCTCCCCCCACTCTCTCTAGCTCTCTTTCTGTCTGCCTCGCATTCTCATTTTTCCTAGAAACTTCATTCACTTCCCAGCCCCTTTAAAACCCGCTCTGACCCCAAAAGTACGCGTTGAACCTATAGACACCTCGCCAGGGCCCGATGTATGTTTGTCGCATACCATCGGGTTGCTGCTGGCTGTCACCGAATCTGCTTAGGGGGTTCCGGGGTCTTGGAAGGGAGGGCTCGAACAACTGTCCCCTCCTTCGCGCACACCTTATGCTAATACAAAGCGCCAATTGACCCTCAGGGAGGCGGATAGCTAGGAAGGAGGAGGAGACATAGTAAATATTACAGACCACTCGACGAGTCGCACTTGGTTTCCGGCCAACTGGCAGGAATTGGAAGGTTTTGGGAAAGCTTTTAACTGTTGGATTGCCTTGTACGCGCTCTCTCTCTCTCGCTCTCTCTCTCTCTCCCTCCCTCACTCTCTCTCTCTTTTCTCTCGCTAACTACACCCCACACCTGATTACAGGTTGTTTTCCTGTTGATCCCTGGTCATCCGGTCCCCCTAAAAAGCTCCAACTCCCCATCAATCACTCAAAGTAGTGAGGGCAAGGGGGAGAACGATCTGTGGGCAATCGGCCCACCCCCACTGGGCCACTACGGCCCACTGGCCTTTTTCACAAGCATCCAGTAATCGGGCACGTTTCGCTACTATTGACCGTCCTGGAAATCCGTTATTTAGATGTTTTCGAGTGGGAACATAAAAAATTAGCACTATCCATCCCGCGTTTCATGCCTTCAGGGTTTTCGTTCTCTCTCTCTCTCTCCCTTACCATTTCCGGAATTACTAACAAATGCATTGCGAGCTTGCAACCGCGATTTTTGGAAGCACTGGCAATTTTAAAGGAACCGGACACCCAAAAAACGTTGTATTTTGCTATAAATTTCTTATTTTAGATCATTAGCGTTTGCGTTGTTATTATTACCTATTTTTAGGCCCCAGAGAGTCATGAAGATCAGAATTTGCAATTCCACAGCTGCCTAAAACAGACCAAATTGAGTGCATGTGACCCCCATTGTCCGCATCCCCCTTAAATGCCCCCAGGGCATGTTAAATGATTGGGACAAGGGTGGTGGTCGGGCGGCCATCTCGGCCTCATCCATCTTGCACCGATCAGCAACCATCGACCCCCTAGGATCCTCATTGTCGCTAGCTCGTCTCCCCGGATTGCTCTCTCTCTCTCTCTCTCTCTCTCTCTCTCTCTCTCTCTCTAGCTCTCTCTCGTTCTGTCTCGCCCCATCATTCCCTCGGAATGGCCCATATGTTCGATTTTTACCCTTCCGCATCTCATAATTTTGCTAATTCCACTGCATGCTCGCTGCCTCATAATTTCGCGAGAGAGTGAGAGAGTGAGAGAGAGAGAGAGTGAGAGTGAGATATTAGTCTAAACTTTTCCATTCTTCTATCTTGTTAAAAACGCAAATATTCCCAAGCGGAACATCATGTTTATAATTTCCATGGCTCCCGGAAGGATTAGTTCCACGCCGCCCCCCGCGCGTTGAGCCCTGTTTTTGGTAATGGAAGGGTGGGAGTGTGTATTCGTTCCGGGACCAGAAACGGTCCATTTTGGTGCCAAAATGAATAACAGAAAGTGTGCCTATTTTTGTAGATGATTTTTGCGTGGTTTTTAGGGGTTATCTGAGGGGCTCCTGTAAAGCTAAATTGTTTTTCATTTTCTGCCCCTGCTGCTATGCCTAAGCCTAAGCCTAAGTCTAAGCCGAAGCGTAAGCCTACGCCTAAGCCTGAGCCTAAGCCTATGCCTAAGCCTAAGCCTAAGCCTATGCCTAAGCCTAAGCCTAATCGTGTAATCGATAATTTGACTATCCTCCTGCGGGTGCGAGGGCGTTTATTGCCTCCAGGACAGCGGGTGATGCTGATTCTCTGCTGGTTGGTGGCTATTGATACCATCAGAGTGAGTGTCCGTCTCTTTCCCTTCTCCCTACGCCACAATCCTATCCACACCCCTCCTCCTCCCACATCCCATCTTCTCCCTTAATTGGCCGCTGATTTATGGTCCCTTTCACCCGCGCTCTCGCTTTCCCGCCCGCAGGCTATATTTCCGGGCCTACCCGAGTGTTTCGGGAGTTTTGGATTTTGTTGGCGAGTTGATTGGTCCTTTAAGAGAATAAAACTTTCTCTCACTCTCTGCCTCTCTCTTTCTTTCTCACGCTTTTCCGCCTTCTACCTCACGCCCCCTCTCGATTTCTGGCTCTCTCTCGCTCTCTCTCTCTCTCGCTCTCTTTATCTCTCTCTCCCGCTTTCCGGCTCTCTCGCTTTCCGGCTCTCTCGCTCTCTCTCTCTCTCTCTCTCTCTCTCTCTCAGCTCTCTCTACGAAAACAGCTAAACCCACCTAAAAATACCCAAGATTTTTGGAACACCTTCCGTTCCTAGGACTTTCCCATTCCCATGTTAATTAGTTTCCAGGGGCCCCAAAATTTATGCCCCAGCAACCTCTGGGACATCCATTTTTCTGGCCGCAAAATGCGACCGCCCCGGGAACGGGATCGTAAATTCCGCTCCGATCCCGCTGACGTTTCATTTCGAGCCGGACATCCAGCCGACAAAAAGTGTTAAAGGTCGAGGTCGTGCTCATTTCTTATTCTGTGTTGTGCTCGTTTTTCTACTGTTGGGCGATCTCTCTCTCTCTCTCTCTCTCTCTCTCTCTCTCGTTTCTTGCTTGTCAACCCTCCCCTCAGCTGGGAAATGAGGTCTCGGCCCAATCATCCATCTCTTCCGATGGTTGGCCATCCGGAAGGAATTTGTTAGGGGCTTTGCATTGGGTACGGTAGGGCGGAACTCTACGTAAAGCTACGCTGACATATTTTACGCACTATTACGTACAGTTATACCCACGGTAGTGAGCCATTTTCTGAGCTTTCACGCTATTTTTTCCATTTCTATTTTTCAAACTTCTTGCGCGCTGTATTTTACATAGTCATCATTCTTTTTTTCAGCCTCAAAATGCGATAAAAAGCCCTGAAAAACGATGGTTCGGATGAATGCCGCGTTGGCAAAATATTGGGACTCGTTTGAAAATGCTTCAGGTCGGTTCAAAACTAAATTTTGCGAGGGCGATAGTAAGCGAGTTTTTGGCGAAGCCTAATCTAAGACTAACCTAGGCCTACCCTAAGCCTAAGTCTAAGCCCAAGCCTAAGCCTAAGCCTAATCTAAGCCTAACCGAGGCCTAACCTAAGCCTAAGCCTAAGCCTAAGCTGAAGCTTCACCGCACTGAACCAAATTTTCCAGATTCCGAAATCGGACGCCTCCACAGCGAGGAGAAGGAAGATCTGGATACAACGAAGAGCGAGACGAGGTGCGAATAGGATTACGGTAACTAGGGCATCTTTTAGGGAATGGTTGTCTCAACTCTCGCTATCTGTCGAACAGGAATGCTCCTCGATACTTTATGCGAAGAGTTTGTTAAACAGCGAGGACAATGTGCAGGTAATTTGGATAATTCCGATTTTTATACCATTAACTATTTTTAAACACAATTGTTATTTTTTCGTTTTTTTTTAGCCGGCCACCCCCGCGAGCCCGCGCACCAAACGTCAGCATCGCGTTAGCGTGGCGATAAAGTGAGTATTTTGGATGCTAATTTCGGTGTGACACATTTGAAGAGCGAAAATTCACGACATACGGTTTTTGGCTACCAGAAATGCCAAAAAAAAAGTAAAAAAATGACGAATTACCAGACGTTTTCTACCACCAAATTTACAACGCCAATTTTTCCTTTTGAAATGGTTTTCATAATTCAAAAAATTCTGCATTTACACGTGCTTAGAAAACTTTACAAGCGGTACTAAATCTCATTAAATCCATTCAAAATTTTTCGAACTGAGAAATCTGCCTTGCATTTGCATAATTTCGATTTCCAGTGCTATCTTTGAAGCCAGGGAATTCCAGAAATTGAATTATATTTATTTTGCTAATTGCCTGAGGCATAAAATACCACCCCTAAAGTTTATAGGAACCTAACAGAAACCCCCTATCCCCTGGCTAGCCGATCAGCCGGTAAATACAAATTAATCTTGTGGCAGGGGTTGAATGGGTCCCGGGTGGACAGTTGGCACCTGGGGGCACAAAAAAAGAGGCAAAAGGGACGAGGAAAGAGGAAGAGGATGATTCCCGGGTCGAGATTCGCCACCCGTGATCATTCGATTCGATTCCCCGATTTCCGCTGGCTGTTTTGGCATTGATTTTTTGATTTTCGGACGCTTGAAAAATTTTCGCATCAAAAATATTCGATGGACGAGCCGATCTACGATCAGATTTATGAGGGGAGACTGTATCGGTGGGTTACGGTAGCTGGTGGGCCGGGGAAAAGCGAAATACCGACAGCTAGAATACCGACAAAGGACCGACATTTTAAATCCCGACAGCTTCGACAACCAAGTTCCGAAAGGCAAGATCACGATACCCCGAAATCGGGACATTCAAGACCGGTCGACGTAATGCCGACAACACGAAATGCCGACAGGCCAAGATCCCGACTATCCGAAATGCCGACAGCTAATAATCCTAACGTTCGAAATTCCGATTACCATAATCCCGGCTTGACCTCCAAACTCCCGCTAGACTTAAACACCGACAGCCGATAGACAGAAGAGCCAAAATCCCGACTTTCAAAATACCGAAATCGAGCTGTGCCACCCCTTTAAACCCTATTTTCAGCACTCCACATCTCTCCCAATCGCTCCAAAATGTCGCCCAGCCGCCCCCGAAGCCAAAACGCTGCATCGCCCGGCTCACCGCGACCAATGGAAGCTTTGATACGTAAGTGGCTTGGGTGGGCTTGGCTTGGCTTGGCTTGGCTTTGGCTTGGCTTAGGCAGCTTAGGCTCATCCTTACCTTGTCTGTTCTTTCTCCGTCGATAAATCCTAATTTCAGAGCAATCTCCGCCGCCACCCCGACCCCATGCAGTTTCCCCTCCTTCTCCACGCAGGATCTCGTGGAGATGTGCAAGGAGGAGCATGCCGTAAAGAGGCGCGAATCCGAGGCGTTGTCGAGTGAGTTTGAATTTTAAAGGGAGCGTGACATGAATGGCAGAGTCGTGCGAACGTGGGAAACTGGTAGAGGTATATGGCGAAAATTCTTATTTGCTTAACTTTCCCTTTAATTTATTATAGCGTTTTCGGGTGGTTTTTTTAGTTTTCTAGACCTCTAGATAAAACTCAGGGACTAAAACCGGTCGCCTCCTAAAAACTACCCGGTAATCCAGAAAACGGGGTGCCATAAGCCAGGCTGGGTGTCGGAGGTCAAGTGGGTAAGCGGCCATCAATCAGCCGTCGCCCGTCCACTAATCCGATGGCGTTGTTTCACGCGTTTTCTCTATTTTTATTTTGAAGAAATTTTTTTGTTTTAAAGGGCCGTTAATGGAAGCATATAGCTTTTAAAGTGTAAATTTTCAAATCCTACGTCTATGCAAATTTTCAGCAATTCCCAACTTTCCGACGAAGGCCGCCGACTCGCCGCGAAGCCTGAGGCGACCGATTGCTCGTCAGGACAAGGGGACCCAGGTGGGTGGTCCTTGAAGCCTAAGCCGCCTAAGCGAAGGACCAAGCCTAAGCCTAAGCCTAAGCCTATGCCTATGCAAAAGTCTAAGCCTAAGCCGCCTAAGCCTAAGCCTAAGCCTTCGCGGAATTTTCTATATTGTTCTGCGTGTTTATAGGTTCCGTTTGACGGTCGGTGTGAGCGTGTGAGTGTTTGTGTGGGAAACTGGGGGCCTGGGACCATATGTCCGGGGCCACTAATTGCGCACACCCCCCGGCCACCGCCTTGGGGATCCGAAAATCTGGCACTTGCCCTCGGTTTTGTCTTTTCGAAAATGCTATTATTTTTCTTTTATCTTTTTTTTACCCTTTTCTAGTTTTCTAAAAATAAAAATAGGTAGACGATAAAAAAACCCAGCTGATTAAAATTATTCTTAGTGGACGCCGCCTGGCTTCCGCGATCGTCGACGTGTCTCGACAATTATCGATACCTCGACGGGGAGTACGGCTCCGCCCACACCTCCCGCCTTACGATCAGGTACCGCCTCACGAAGCCAAAGCCTAGGCCTAAGCCTAAGCCTAAAATTCCATATCCCCTTGTTCAGCTCCGCATCCGGGTCGAGCGGTCTGGCAGCAGAGTGATCGGCTACCGACGTGCCAACCAGCACCAACTCCGCCACACCATTGCCGTCAACGGCGACGACATCGAGGCGGCCATCAGCCACTGGTAAGCCGGCTTTCTTCCTGCAAACTTTTCTCAGCTTTCCAGTACCGATAATCACAATTGCAAGCGCTAATTCTAGCGAAAAATTGGCGCCCACGGCTACGATCCACAACAACAACAACAATCATCGCTCCTTGCCGCCCCTGCCCTCGCCGAAGTCGTTGGATTCGACGAGCACGGAGAGTGTGGACTCGGGGCAGTGCTCCGGGGAGTACAGTACGTTTTGTAGTCTGTAGGCAAAACCTAAGCCCAAGCCTAAGCATAAGCCTGACGCCTTCCAGACGCCGGTAGCCTACCCCACCGTCGCTCGGCTGGCCCCCACTCATTCCGCCGAATGGAGACCATCCCCCAACACGAAGAGGTCATCCCCCTCCAGCCCGACGATTCCGAGCTGTACGGGGGATATCAGAAGTCTTGTCTGCCTGGATATCCAAGGATGGCCAGTGGGTGGCGGTTTCCGATTCCTTTAAAGAGTTCTTAGGCACGATGGACCACATCTTGAGGACGGCTTCGTCGATTTACAGCTTGCTGAGCTCGGCGCAGACTCCGCAGACGGCAAGGTGGAATTTAAGCCCAAGCTTGCCTAACCTAAGCATACGCCCAAGCCTAACCTATAAATTCAGAGACCTCCTCGCCAAGGCCGCCGTCTTCATCCAGATCGTCGAGACGAGCCCGTGCGGGACCTTTTTGCCGAAATATGTGGGTTTTCCAAGTATTTTTTTAAAATCTCTTGTCCTTAGGACATCGACGTCGTCCGGCTTCAACTAGCTGACCTCCAACAATCCCTGCCCGAGCCCTGCTCCATTGAGCAGCACCTTCCCCAACAGAAATCGCCCCTGATCACCAACTACTTCACGATCGTGCTGCGGCGGATGGTGGAGCTGGTGTTGTCGTTGTTTGCCAAGGTAAGGTTAAGCCCAATCCTACGACTAAGCCAAAACTTAAGCTTAAGCCTAAGCCTAAGCCTAAGCTATACTGAACTACCCAAATTCCAGATAATCGCCCGATACCTCGGCGAATGCGTAAATAAAGATAGGCTACTGGCCATCGCCCTTGAACACCTCATCCATCTTGTCTTGTTTGGAGATGACATGTGTCTGGAGACGATTCAGGTGAGGCACAACTGTTGAAGTACGAGCTTAACTTCCTAGTCGAAGCCTAAGCCAAACCAAAACCATCATCTTTAGGCCGGCGGCTTATCCTCAATTCTGAAGCTCCTCCGCCAGCCCTCGACCCCCGAAGAAACCTGTCGGCTCCTGCTCCGGGCGCTAGCTGTTCTGTGCGGGGTGTCGAAGGGATGTTTGCATCTGTTGGCGGTGAGTTCGTTTTTATACCTAGTCCTAAGCAGAAGCCTAAGCCTAAGTCTAGGCCTAAGCCTAGCTCCGCCACGCGTCATTAGCAGCTTCGCGCAGTTTGTCGAGACCCAGCGCACGAAATAGTCGATTTTTTCGGTTTTTTCAGGTCGGAGGCCTAGAAGTAGTCCTCGGACAGCTCCACGGCTCCTCCATCTCGTGCTCAATCGAGGCGTCCGGCGTCCTCACCCAACTCACAAATCCGCAACACTCCTTTGTACAGCTGGCGAATATTGAGTCGATTGTTGTGAGATTACTGGGTAAGATAAATTTTTGTAGTCATTTATGTTAGCTTCAAAAGCTTTAAAAACGACTGAAAAACTAAGCTAGACCTTTGGATAATTTTCCATCTTTAGAAGTGATCGACATGTGCGAGACGGCCGAGTCGCTGCTTCTTTGCACGGCTGCACTGGCCAATACGTCATTACAGGTGCGTGCGGAGCGCCAAAAGATGTAACATCGTTCAAAGTACAGCCTCCATGAATTTGAGATCCAGCTACAGTGGTCTTCGTGATATCGTAAAAAATAGCTTTGCGGAACGAGTTTTCGCAGTTTTTCAATCACAAAATTCAACCGGTTACGGTATCTAAATCTCATTTTTGCGCAGAAATATGCCAAAAAACTGAAACCTAGGGTATTTGCAAAAAATACGGCTAGCAGTTACAGTAATTTTTGATATATTTGGAAAAATCGCTTTTTGTCGTTGTTTTTTAGTTTTTTAATTAAAGTCTAGCAGATTACGATATATAAATAATTTTTGGTAGAGATATATAATGGCCTAAAACCTGCATTAGCTGAAAATTTCAACTCGATCGCTACAGTAATTTTCGAGATGTTGCATACAAAATAAATTTTTTTTTCCATTCCCAATCGATTTCGCCATAAAATTCCTCCTTTTCAGGACAACTCGGCGATCGAGTTCTTCTACAAGTACAACGCCGTCGCGCGCCTCATTTCCGCCTACAATCGCCAGAATTGCAGCACGATCTTTGTGCAGGAACAGGTTCGCGAGGTGTCAGCGTCCCTTTAGAAAATTCTCTAGTTGGTGACGATCATGTCCCGGATGGCAGCCCGTCACTATGAGGAGTGTCTCGTAGGGCAGGGGGCTGTGCCTGTGCTGCTGGAGATGCTCACCGTCACCGACACGATCCATGCCGATTATTGTAGGAGGATACGGTAGGTCGAAACGTTAAATATTTTTTAGAGTTTGTTGTCTTGACTTTCTTTTTCTAACCTTTTGATAAAAGGTCTGAAAACTAAAATATAATAAATTGTTAAGTTGAACCATTATCCCTAGAAATTGGTCACTTCCTAGTTCCTTTAAAGTCCAACCAATTACGCGAGGAAATTCCGATTTTTAGGTATAAAGCGGCGGTGTGTATCGGAACGCTGGCGGCGACGGGAGTCGGACTCAAGGCATTGTATAATAATCAAGGTAAGTCAAGAGGAGAGAGAGAGAGAGAGAGACAGAGAGCAAGAGAGAGCTACAAAGAGAGCTACCATTCAAAAATTCCGAAATTCCGCAATTCCGTCCCATTCCAGCGTACGCCATCCTGTGCAACGTGCTCCAAATGGAAAACGCGGCCTCGAATCCGCTAGGAATGATCTGCGCCAATATCAAGACAAAACTCGAGAGCCGCCAAGAAGCCGAGAGCGCGGTTTAGACAATAGAATTTTTACCTGAATTTTTTACCCTTTTTAAGGCTCTATTCAAGTCTTAATCATTGCTAGTCATCAAAAAAAAGCCTAAAATCGTATTTTTTTTATTGCACCACCTATCGTAATCCCTTGAAAAAAAGCCATAGTCACTATTGTAATATCATCCACACCGTGTGCATTGTGATATTTTCCCCCACCCAGACCCAACACCCACATTTCACTTACCCTATTTCGATACTGTAGAAATTGATTTTAATGCCGTAATAAATTCGATTATTCGATAATTCATAAAAAAATAACTTTTACTAATAAAAAACTATTTAATAAGACTCTAAACTTCTTCCAGCACCTGGCGCCGCATAGCCAAAAACAAGTTTTACATAAATCCAAAATGTACCCGAGGATCCTATCGACGCCCGACGTTCAGGCGCCGAATGAAAACCAGGGGTTACGGTCACTGTGGCCACGTTATATCATGCGCCACCGGTGGGTACGGCGGAACATCCTTCTTGATGGCACGGCGGGGGGTCGAACCGGGGTGCTGTGGCTGGGAGGCGCGGGTGGGAACCACTAGACCACAGTCACAGTGGGGCAAAGGTGGGTCTCGAGGCCCTTTGCGGCGCTATGTCCTTGAAAAGGTGCGAGGTTTAGGATGGGACTACGCTTGGAAACTCTTTACAAAGGTTTTGAAAGGAGTTTGGCAGTATAATTCTGCTTGAAAAAGCCTGAGCCTAAGCCTAAGCCTAGGCCCAAGCCTAAACCCCCTCCCATCCCAGTCTTTTCAACCTTTTTTGTGAAATGGTTTATTGTAGGCCTAAAACAGCGGATACAGGTTATTTGTAAAGTTTAGAATTCAATATATTCAGGAGATCAGCATCAGAGATCAAAAATGATAGGTGAAAACCGGGATAAATAAATGGAAAAAGGATTTGTGCTCATTTCGCATCGTCAGTATCCTCCTTCTTCTCGTCGTCGCGGTTTTCCTGAAAAAGCTTAATAATGGAGAGAGAGAAAGTGAGAGAGAGAGAGAGAGAGAGAGCGAGTGAGTGGGAGCGAGTGAGAGAGAGAGAAAGAGAGGGAGCGAGTGAGAGTGAGAGAGATTGAGAGAGAGAGCGAGTAAGGGAGAGAGCGAGTGAGAGAGAGAGAGAAAGAGAGGGAGCGAGTGAGAGTGAGAGAGAGAGTGAGAGTGAGAGAGGGGGCAGATCCAGCTCACCGGAATTCCGCTGGTCTGCGCGATTTTGGCGAGAATCTCCTGCTTCACGTGTCCTGGCTTGAACTGGTCGGCCTGCAATGCGAATCTAGTTTTTTGTGTTTCTTTACGGGATTTTTATAGCTTAAGTTAAGTGGAGTTTTTATACAGCGAAATTGGTTTCATGCTAATTATGATTTTATACAACTAAAAACGGCCAAAGTATATGAAAATTAATTTGAATTTGGTAGCCTAAGCCGAAGCCTTTTAAGCCTTAGCCTCTTAAGCCTAAGCAAAGCTGAGCCACAGCCTAAGTTGGATCGAGTCTCAATCTAAACCTTGCAAACGTTAAGAACCCACTTGGCGCCTCGCCAATTCTGACGTTACCCGGCAATTTTCGCAAAAAAGGGTGACATTTCTTTCGGGGTAGCTTGAGGGGCTGTAATTATCTGCCCTTCCTCTCCTTCAATTCAATTTTGAGCATGAAAATCGCTTTTTTTAGCATGAAAAGCCTACGGGGTCCGTTTTCCAATCCGAAAGAGTGTCTGCTAGCCTGCCTAGCGCCCAAAATACTATAAAAAATCAAGCTACCTGGGAGAAGCGCCGGACATTGGACGGCAATAGGTGTAACGGATTCGTTTCGATCGTCAGCGAGTGGCGGTGGCTGAAACGAAAGAAAATGTATCCAAAATTTTGTATTTAAATCGGATTTGAATTATTTTAGATGTGGAAATTTCGCTTATCGTGCAGATTCTCAGTCAAACTATTCTACCTTAACTCTTACTCCCGGATGATAACGCACTCCGGCCCCTCAGACCATTCCTATTTGCTAAAACTCACCCCGGCGCTCCTAATTTCCTACAGTACGCCCCTGCCCCTGCGTGTTTTAGCCTCGGGGTTGAAATTTCCGTTTTGCGCCTAATCACACCCTACCGTACCCCATATTCGGCTGCGGCTGCTGACTCGACATCATCGAGTGCGGGGATGTATAGCTGAAAATGGATTATATTTATATTATTAGAGGGCGAGCGAGAGCGAGTGAGAGAGACCAAAAGAGAGAGAGAGAGCGAGGGAGAGACCAAAAGAGAGAGAGTGAGAGAGAGAGAGAGAGAGCGAGGCAGAGAGTGAGGGAGAGAGCGCGAGAGAGTGAGAGAGCGACTGCGAGGTGAGTTACATAACGAGGAAGAGGCAGTTAGATAATTGGAGAGAAGAAAGGGAATGAAAGAGAGAGTGAGAGAGAGTGAGAGAGAGTGAGAGAGAGTGAGAGACAGATAGGCAGAGAGAGTGAGGAAGAGAGCGAGAGAAAGCGAGAGAAAGTTAGAGACAGAGATAAGAACAATCATCGCTAAGCCCAATCTAAACCATATTCGCCAAAATTTTGCCAATTCCTATTGGCGAGGAGGAGCAGAGGGAGCATCGCGCTGCGGCATGGATGGGCAATTAGGCGGCCCACCGGCCCGGATTAGGGCCCACAAAAGGGCCCAGAATAGAAACTTTTACGCCCCAGAAGGAGCAACAGAAGGCAGAGGACACGCCCACTTTGGAATTCTGGGCACGACCGAACGGGGGGGGGGTGGAAAACTAACAAAAACGGTGGGCGGAATTGGGAAGTATCGGATTTCGGGATGAAGAGCGTCAAGGAGTCCAAAGCTAAAAAAGCCCGGAGTTAAGCCTCTTCTGCCTAAGCCTAAGAAAAAAATCGCATTTTTTAGACCTTGGCCATATTCCAATTTTTCTTGATCCTTTTTTGAGATTCTCCAGAACTGTGCTGAATTTAGCCTCAAAATCCGTTGTCACGCAAACCCAGAAAATCACCAAAAATCAGCAAATCTTCGGGTTGGTGGAGTCGGCAAATCCGAGCAATAAACCCGGCTCAGCTCTGGCTCTCTTCCTCTCTCTCTCTCTAACTCCCTGTTTCTCTCAATCTCTCTCTCTCTCTCTCTCTCTCTCTCTCCCTCTCTCTCGCTCTCTCTTGCCGACCCAAACCATCAAAAGACGGCTGGGCTCAAGTAAAAATAAGCCCAAATCATGCGCTACAAAAGTCATCGTCCACTCGTTTTCTCCTTCTCTCTCACTTTCTCGCCTCCCAAATACCCCTCCCCAAAGAGAAAAGTACCGTAATCCGTCTTCCCCCGAGATTTCCGATTGACGCAGGCGTTCCCTAAATAGTTGCTAATCCCATCAAGAAACCGGGAAATTCGTTATTTTTTATGGAATCCCCTTGGGTTGTGTTTCCTATTTTGCGCCCCCCCCCCACTCATTTAAAAGGGGCACCGGAAATTTGAGTGATCACAGCCAGTTTTCGGCACTGGGAATAGAAACGGAAATTATGGTCATGGGGAGTAGACACCGCGTGGTCTCGCACGTTTTTGAAATTAAAAAAATGGTGTTGTGGGGTTTTTAAAGGGACGCAGACAGCTCCTTCACGATCATGGCTCATCTAAAACTTGCAAGGGGTGAACCGATTACGCTATGCAAACCTGGAGAAAGAGAGCGTAAGGGAGGGAGTGAGAGAGAGAGAGAGGGGAATAAGAGAGAAAGAGGGAGAGCGAGCGAGAGAGCGAGTTGCATGTGCTGCGTATCTCGCGAAACAGCGAATACCATCGGCACCCAGAGACGGCAACGAGCTTTAAAGGAACCTAGAAGCCATAAAGTGCTCTTAAATGCCTATAGATACACGGTATTGTTTGAAAATGCTTTTAAGTGAGGCGGAAAGCTAAATTAATACTTGAGGTTCAACAAAAGGGCTTATAAAGGGGCCAGATAGTCCATCTCATAACCCAGAATAGCCCAGATTTGGGAGTGTAGGTTTTCAGAGAAAGTGCGAGATTAAGAGAGAGAGAGAGAAAGAGGGAGAGAGAGAAAGTGAGAGAGAGAAAGAGGGAGAAAGAGAAAGTGAGAGAGAGATGAGTTGCCCGGATTAATTAGATCTTTGCCACCTTCTTGATGATAGGATTAATCCCGGCCTCGAATATATGGGATATTGAGAATTTCTTAGGGCCTCAGATGCCCTAGTTGATCATAACAACCCATTTCACACCTGGGATCTTCACGGTCTTTCTCTATCACGCTCTCTCCCTCTCGCTCCCCCTCTCTCTCTCTGTCTCTCTCAGCGCTCGCTCTTTTCTCTCTACCTTTCGGGGGAAAAACCGTAACCAATTCGTGCCCACGAATTTCCCAACCAAAAAATCCTAGGGCCCCTCGAGACCCTAGCTACAAAACAATCAGGCTCCCCAAAAATAGGCGCTGATATTTGTTGGGGGCATGAAATTAGTATCCCTTCGGCGATTAAAGGGACTAGGAAGGCAAGGCTGTGGACAAGCACAGGTTTAGGCTTAGGATTAGGCATAAAATACTCCCTTTATCGTATCGTACATAGTTGTTGAGTGGAAAGGGAGCGGGTGTGTGCCGGCGGTTATGGCAGCAATTTAGTTGGAAGCTGCGAGGCGGGAATAGACTGGCCATAGGCCCTGTCAATCAAATGGCCAACCCGCGGCCACAACAAACGCCAGAAAAAAACAAATCCCCTTAAAGGGACTGGCTGACAAACATAGAAGAAGAACATACCAAAAACGGCGTTAAATTTACTGCGAAATCTGGAAAAAGCAAGGTTTATTTCTCGCCTTCTCTCTCTCTCCCTCTCTAAGTCTTGCTCTCTTGCCATGCGTAAAAAAATTCCATAAAACCGCTAATTACGCGATTCAAAAACCTCGAATTTTAACAATAGCTGAGAAAAAGGGGCCAATCAGACGAATGCAACGTTTTCCGAATTCTTGATGCGTACCTTGAATCTTGGGACAGCCTAAGCCATGCCGAAGCCCAAGCCGAATCCCACGCAGAAGCCTAAGCCTAAGCAAAGCCTAAGTTTGTCCTTAAGCCTACGCCGAAAATACGCGTGAGCCAAAAGCGCTATACCACACCCAGAAAACCTAAATTTAGCAAGACCTGGCAATTTCGACACTGCGTGGAATTATCCAGTTTTTGAAAAAGGGCAACGCCAAGCGGGTAGCTAGGCTGAAAATGGGCCCCGGGGCCCATCAGGAAACCGGAACACCCTAGGGGGGGAGGAGGGAATGGCTGATGGCCAGTCGAGGAGGAGGGGCTGAGAATTACCCACAAAGCGAGAGAGAGAGAGAGAGAGAGAGAGAGAGAGAGAGAGAGAGAGAGAGAGAGAGAGAGAGAGAGAGAGAGAGAGAGAGAGAGAGAGAGAGAGAATTACAAATCCCGAATAACCAGAAAGCCTGCGATTTGGATCAACGGTGAAAATAAACCAATCGTCGTCCCTCTCGCGCGCGGTTTCTCTCTCTCTCTCTCTTCGCGCTCTCTATTTTTTAACAGAAAAAACACACAACCTTAAACAGAGATAAACCGAGCCCAGCTGATTGGCCCAACCAAAATAGACAGGCAGAACGGTGGACAGACAGACTTGCAGACCGACAAACAGACACCCACACACACCTAAACCCGATAGATACATCACCCGTCGGCATCACATTTCATCTGCTGGTCCCCCCGGTGGCCACCCAGGACCCATGAATATCGTTAGTTTTGCAGGGCAGACGTGGGAAAACGCGAGAGCCACTAGATTAAACCCGTGAAAAATGGGCAAAATCTGGATCTGGGGATTTTTGATTTTTGAACTGTGGAGCTTGAGTGGAGAGAGATGGAGAGAGAGAGAGAGGGAGAGAAAGGGAGAGCGAGAGGGAGAGGACAAGTAGTGAGCCATCCGAACTAAGGGGCCAGAGACAATTGGAGGGCGAGAGTTAGATAGCGGCCAATGGCGTGTGATTCAAAACTAGCTAGAGAGCGAGAGGCAACTAGCGAGCGAGAGACCATCATAGAGCGAGAGAGAACTAGAGAGCGAAAGGTAGCCAGGGAGCGAGAGATGATAGAGCGGCAGAGTATTTGAGCGAGAGCACGATATATGGATGCACGTGAGAGACACTCAGAGTGAGAGAGAGAGATAGAGAGAGAGTCAGCCACACTACCGTACCCCCAGAAGCCTCGCAACATCATGCCTCAAAAGCTCTTGGAAAAGATCAATGAAAGGACGGGTGAGCCTCAACTCCAGGAATTCCGCGCCATTCCTCTATACGGGGCCAATGTATGGCGATGTGCTGGGGGGAAATAATGGATGATGGGTGGCCAACCGCGAGCCCCTCCTCTCTACACTAATTGGAATCCCAGATCTCTCCGCATCGCAACTCCACCAACAAATATTTGAGCGCAGCAATGAGAAATTGGATGGGATTAGGGGATTATGAACATCAAAAACCTGGCGTGATTAAAGGGACGGGGAATTTGGGAATTTTGTTGGCCATCGATTCCCTATGGATTTGGGGGCAACCACGGCAAGCGACGCGCCACCAACCTTGATGCGTGGCGTATCGCCGACGCTGGGCTTGAGGCAGGTGAGGGATTTCCTTGAGGAATGGCCGACTAGAAACGTTGCGGATGCGTTGCGTATCGCTGAAGAGGTCGGCAGAGCGAAGGCGAGAGTGAGAGAGAGAGAGAGAGAGTGAGTGAGAGAGGGGGAGAGCGAGCGAGGGAGAGAAGCTATGGATAGAGCGAGAGGGAGAGAGGGAGAACGAGAGAGCGAGAGAGCCAGAGAGAGAGCGAGAGAGAGCGAGAGAAAGGGAGAGAACTAGAATGGACGAGAACGAGAACGAGAACCAAAACGAAAACGAGCACGCGAAATTCGGCCAAGTTTCAGGTTATGGAGTCGCTTCATGAACTTCCAATCCGAAAACTTTTCTAACTTCTAACTGTAACCAGTCTATTCCACATCTTGGAGCCCCTTCCAAAAAGAAAGCGGTCACCCGTGGAGACTGAGCAGCTTCACGAGGCGGGCCGTTGTTTGGCAGCCAGAGGCCGACCCCAAAAACCAGCGCCGGGTGCCCGCGACTCCAAATATCCGGTCACGCGCCCTCCCATTATACTCACCCGATCCACAAAATATATCCAGGGGGATTA